TGAAAAAAAACGAAAGAAAGATTATTATGGTGAGAGATTTCTCTCCCAAACCACGCAAGTTTCTGCCAGGAAGAAGAAATCTTTTTTTTCATTTTATTTAAGATTTTTCTGTCTCTGCTGGTTTCTTCTGACTTGTCGGGGTGAAACAAAAAGTGGAAGGACCCAAGTGCAGAACCAAAAAGATTTAAGGAAAAAAAGACTAAAACAACAAAAACTTTCTTCCAAAAATGTCAAACACGATATCTAAAATCCAACAAAAGCACTAGGGGAAAAAAAACCACATGGAGAGACTGGCATACACACACACAGACATTCATACATGCCACACAATGAACTAACAAAGAAACAGGGGAAGACACGGACTATATATCCACACAGGAAAACGAGCAACGAGAGGCAGGTGAGACACTGAGACACAGGTGAAGACAATCACAGAGGAGGGAAAACTGAGGAAGTAAAACAAGACTAGAAACACATAGAATACACTACTACAAAATAAAACAGGAAACACTGAACACTGATGGAGAATAAAACACTGAAAACATGAGGGAACCGAGGTTGGACAAACTGAAAACTCACAAGACAGGACTACAGGGGAACAGGAACAATAGGGAACAGAAACACTGGGGGAAAAATCACAAAGAAATTACACTTGGATAACCAAAACCAGGGGGAAACTAAATACCAGAACATATCATGACATAGACTTTGTTTTTTTATGTGAATTGACGTTAAAATGTATTGCTTTGAAATGGAATATACAGCAAAAAGGATTATATTTAACACTTTAGTTTTGTTTGAAATCCTGTCTGGGTGGATTGACTTTCCTTCTAGTTCTGCATCTTTAAAATTGCAATCATTACATTTAGTCTCAAATGGCCCCCAAAAATAAAAGAAAACTGTGGGAGCAATTGCTTAAACTTGGGAAAATTCCTCTCCAGAGCTTTGGCTAATAGCAGTCATATGTTGTGTTTGTGTCCCGGGGGAGTGCGCTGATATTATTTGAGCAGAGACGGCCCAACAAAAACACCGGCCTCTGTTGAGTGTTTACTGTTTAATGCTCGTGACAGGATACCTAGGCCCAATTCTGAGGTCACTGCTGGTGTTTCCGACCAGGTATGACACTTTTACAACTGCCAGGCTCAGACTCGGATTGTTTCTGACATCTCTGACTGCTGCTGTTCTCTGTCCCTCTCACAATCTCTCCCCATTTTTTCCTCTCCCTCCCTCTCTCTCTCTCTCTCTTCTCTGCGGCTTGTCTGACTCTCCGTCTCAAACACTCTCTTTTTCTCTCTTTCATTCCCTCACACGCACACCAGCCAGAAATTTTATCATGCATTTCTCAGCCAGACAAAAAGAAAGGACTCTTGAGCATAATTTAAACCCAAAGTCTTAATCTCTCATAATAGGTTCCTTTGTGGAAGTCGAACAGGAAGCCCGTATTTCTTTTTTTAACATCCCTCTTGTTGGAGGGGGTGATAGTCGAGGTGATATCCTAACAAGCATTAAAACAACAATCTATAAATGCAATGAGGCTAAATATAAATTTTCCAGCACAGTAAGGTTGAAATAATTGCATCGGGAGATGATGCAACGAAAGCACAGAAGGTAATTTCAAGAGCGCTGCAGGATTTTTTTTAGGCCAACATTCTGTGGTTCCTATATTGATATATGCAGCTTTCGCTTAACACACACACACACACACACACACACTCACTTATATAACCTAGTACTGGATGAATTGTGTGCAGAAGCTCGGAGCCTGATTCTGGCTTGTTTTGCTGTTTCTGCATTCAGGAATTCTCTGTCTTCACTGGAGCTTTAAATGCACACAGGGAAGCCGAATCAGCCCAGGCGATGGAGTGTTGTTCGGTGGGACGGCGGCAGCAGCAGCAGCAGCAGCAGCAGAGCCTGAGCGATTCAGATGTTCTTTATCTTCCTGTTGCAGTGAAATGTAGAGGGAACGTAAGCTGTACATTTACAGAGGCCCTAAGGAAATATAATACTGCTTCTGCATTGTGGGCTGTGCTAATGTAATTATGCATAGTTCCTGCACAAGCTTAAGAAAAGATTTCTATCCAAGAATATAAACAGTGTCTGCAGGAGTGCCTTTTCATTTCAATAGTAATAATGTTTATATTATGTTTGCTTTGCTAAAATAAGGCCGGGGTGGACAGGTCAATAAGATTATTCTGTAAACAAGCACAGGATAATTCATGAGGAAAACTCTGTCTATGTACACTTATCTGAAGGTGTGAGCTGCATGCAGTCTGCACACACACACACTCACACACTCCCCACGTTTTCGCCCATGTGCTGTGATCTGATTCTGAATTCAGCATCTTGTTTGATGTCTTTTTGATGATGGACATGAAATAATGTCCAAATCACCAGAGGCTGTAACATCAAACAGATTCAAATGAAAACACGGTAATGTCTTCTCGGACCGAGCTTTATTGCGCCTTCATTTGCCACTGCCCCCATGGAAGCCGGGCTTCTAAAAGATGGGTCGATAAATGAAGCACTTTCATCTCCAGCAAACTTTGACAAGTTTTTTTTGATTTGCAACATAAACACTGCATGGCTAATATGCTGCATCATAACACAATCAGAGAGCGGCGGGGGGGGTAATGTGGAGGACTCAATGCAGAGTCAAAGGTGGGAGGATTATCTTTGAAGAGGCTGAATGGCCAGAAATCATCACAGCGGGATAAGGATATCCTGAGATGTGCTGCTGCTTGTATCAAGAACAACCTCCATTCTCATGCGGACAGGACGTGAGCATCTATATATTGTTCAATTTCAGAATCCAATGTTCTTTAGGATAATAGGGTGAGAGCTAATACAGAGCACAGGTGACTTAGTGATAATGAACCAATATATATGCATCATGCAAAAGCCATCCTTATGTTCTGTAAAAGAAGCTCCGCACACGCAGACATCATGATGTGGAATGTTATGAAGACGCAGAGAGGGAAACTTCCCCCTGAAATGACATCACATGTGGCCTAAAGGGTTGGACTCATGTGAAGCTGATCCTTTAATGTTTATAATAAAGATGCTTTTCTCAGACAGCGCTGGCCCGCTCCCTCGCCAGGCTTGAGCAGGTCATCAACTTTGCATGTAATTTGAATTTTCGAACGGAGACGACGCCAAATGTGTGTAAAATTCACACACCAGGTTTGGAGTCTCTCTGGGCTTTTCTGGACAGCAACCGTGTAAACTGAGAGGCTGATGTTCAAACAACAAGGCAGGCGGCCATAGTGGACTCAGAGCTTTAGCTTGGCCTCCATGTCAGACTCCTGACAGCTAACTGGCACCCAGCTACAGCTAATAAAGTGCACCACCCACATTATGTACTCGACTGTATACTGACAGTGTGAGAGTGTGTGCATGAGTGCATGTGTGTGTGTGTGTGTGGTCAGCTGGAGCTGGAAACTCCTGGAGAGCAACGGATGAAAGACATATTGAACGCTAAATCTGCTAAATCTATGATGTGTTAAATCTGCGATGTGGCCCCACTTTGGAGGATGTGCTGCAGTTTCAACACACAAAATGATTTAGACAGATGGTGATTATAAATGACTATAGTACATCTTGTTAGACCTGCATAATTACCGTGAGGGTGTTTGTACAGTAGCTGAAATTTAAGTGAGCGTGCATACCTGGGTAATTATAGAGCATTTCAACAACAAGAACACTCCAGTTATAATAAATTGATCTCTCTGACAAGTAAAGCTCGATTCCTGTAGAGGTTAATCCTCTGTGATCAAGTTTTGATTCACTTCATAGTTCTTCTGCAGACACAACTTTTAAAACCACTATCAGAAATAAAGTATTTTCTTTTAGTTTATGTTTGTTTTGAGACAGAAGACAGTGTTCTTATGCCGCAGGAGGAAACACTGAGAAATACCAGCTTCAGAGCATAAATCATAGAGGAAGTACACAGTTGTTAATGAGGGAGAAATGTTGTTAAATTACTTAGTTTGAAAGAAGTTCAAGAAGATGTAATATATTCAGGCGATGCGTGGCGAGTTCATCTTTTGTAGCAAGGCAAATAATTGTTAAATCCTTACAAGAAAATAGGTCGGGAAAACAAACAAACAAACAAAGAAATATTAAAAGACAACATTTAAAAAAGGCGTTTAAAAACCAAGGAACAAACCCCAAAACAAAAGACACAAGAGAGGAACATGGGTAAAAAAAAAGGGGAACTGAAGAGAGGCCAAGTCCCTCAGAGGTAAAGATGGGAAGTGGTTTGATACCCTGTCAGAGACCACATGAGCAACTAGACCAAGATTTTTTAGGATAATATTCAAAATTTAAAACCAAAACTGCATGATCAAGATCTTTAGTCTCTCAGGCAGCTCTATATTTAAACGGAGATGTATCTGTAGTGAAACTTACTGCAAGTTTTTTGCTTTATCTACAAATGCAGGTTAAAACTGTACAAAACGATGATGAAACCTTGTCCAGAGACGCTAGACTGGAGCCCATTTAGGATGGACTGAGGTGGACAGGTGAAGCAGAAAACTGTCAAAATGTCACATCTCTTCCTCAAAATCCTCCTGTGCTCCAAAGAGGAGAGGGACCACTCAGCTTGTTATCAGTCCACAATTTCAAAGCTAACATCTCTCATGGTATGGGGGATGCACAAACGTCTGAGGTACACGTGTTTTCTACATCTGTGAACAATACACACAGGTCTTCCAGCAACAGAGCTGTCATCTAGACGCCTTTGTCAGAGAAGACCTTGCCTATTTTAGCAAAGACAATGCCAAACCACCTTCTGCATGTGTTACAGCACATGCAAATGTAGCTCAACACTTGAACAGTAACAATAGCAGATGACATTGTCTCTTTACAAAGCTATCACCACACTTTTGTAAAGACTTGGCTCTTATAAAAGTTTGCATTTGTGGAAGTATATGACTTTAACTTTTTGATTCTGCTTGTCCTTGTTCATGAGAGGTCTTTGTGACGGCGGAGAGATGAGGTTGTGGGTTGATTTGTACCTACTATGTGTCAGATTAGTAAAAGAAATGTGAAAACAAGCGAATCCTGATTTATTGATATTACTCGGCTGACAAAATGTAACCAAACTTAACAGGCTGATGCTGCCCGCCAAAGCCCCTGTGTCAAATATGCTCTGGTGTCTTTGTAAATGACTGAAAATGTGACGCATTTGAACTCTTTGTCCTCATAGAGCAACAAAGCATTAATATTTGATCCTGTTAATAGCTTTTATGCAATTTTACCCAGTAAGACAGATTCTCCTGCTTATCCTGCTCCAGTTGCGGCCGTGAGTATAAAAAGTAATATGAAAAGAAAATTATCTCAACAACTCCTCCTCCTGCTGCTTGCTCACTTCTCAACTTCTCCAGCAGAGCTCTACACAGGTGAGTGCCGAAAATCCACTGAGGCCCCAACTACACGAATGCGGATATATTTCAAACCGCACATATTTATGTCCGATTAGGCCTCCCTACCACACCAAAACGGGAGTTTGGAACACTCAAACCGGATAAATCTGAATCCGAAAAAAAAGGTGGAGAAATAAAAAAATATCCGTATAAGTGGATTCGTGTGGTTACGGATCGATGACGTCAAACCGCAGCTCGCGCATGCTAATTAAAAAGAAAAACAACAACAACGATGGCGGACAGACAGGGTATTCTTTACGTTTGTTTTGCTCTTTTGGGGCTAATTTCAGCCTTGCAAGTGAACCTTGTTTTCTACAATTACATCCGCCAGTCAGCCAGCTCACAGAGGCGTCTGCTTTGTTATAGCCGCCACACCGTCACATGGACCCGACGCACTAGCGTAACTTCCGCAAACAATGCATGACGCATCACGCTGTTACGATTCATCGGCCAATCAGGTAGCTTTGTTCCAGATTTTTTTTTAAGCGGCACCAGATAGGATTGAGTTTGAAGGCTACGTGTGGACGCAGATATTTTTGAGGACAGATACGATTATTTAGACGGGAGTACAAAAATATCCTGATAAATAAATATCTATATACGTGTAGTCCGGGCCTCAGCCAACACAGGCACTAAAATCCGGAGTAGACACATAACCCATTACGTCCTAATTACTCAAGACAACTTAAATTGTTGGTGTCCTTCAGCATGAAGGACTATAGCAATGTGTGTATTTCAGGTCTAGAGCACAGACACCATCCTGCTACAGTTAATCCTCAGTGGAGCAATAAATAAATGTAATCTGCAGCTGAAAACAGTCGCCCCCGAATCAGGATTTACTGCTGTGTCTGAGACAGTCTGAACCCTCGCTTAAAAACTACAGTGCCATGCTGCTGAAGGAAATCACTGAGCTTTATAGCACCAGTTTAATGGTAAGCAGTTATGTACTCATTAGGAACATATGGGTTCAAGGCTGAATGTCCCAGACAGGCTTTGAAAATCATCAGACGAACACTAACTCATTGTTAATTTTGGTCTTTAATGGGATTTCTCGTCTGCAGAAAAATGTCAAATATTCTCGGCTCTATTGTCACTGTGCTCGAGATATTATTTCTATGCGCGGAAAGAAGAAGCAGCCAGACATCTGCGAACAAGAAAAAAATTCACATTTATTTGATATCAAACAGGAGTTGAATTAAATATCAGCTGATGATGGGCTCTTACAAAAGAAATAAAATGAACCTAATCAGTGCTGCAACAACTTTTCACACTTTCCAACCATGTTCTTCTTTTTTTTTTCTGAATAGTTCAGTTAATAAATTAATTAGTGTCAAAGGATGAAACATGTCGGCAAAAACTGCACTTATCGCATTGACACGAACAGAAGTCTTTGAACCTGACAATTTCCCTTCAAGTAAAATAAATTACACAAGTTTTTTTTTTCCCCAATTCACTCCAAATCTGTGCATGGCCTGGTGTTAACAAAGATACTACTGGCGAAAAAACTCATCATTCATGAAAGCAAAAAGCACTTCACAAGCAGAGACGTGAGCATGATTCCATATGGTTGATATCTCTCAAAACGTTTTTTTTTTTTTCTTCATATTCAAACATACTACAAGAGTCAAGTGTGAGAGGAAAAAAAGCACATTTCCACCATTTTGATTAACCTTTTTCTGAAGAGTTGTATTAACATTGAAAGGGCATGACTACTGAGCTGTCGCCGTTTCGGTTTTTTTCTTTTTTCTTCCGTTTTTTTCTTTTGTTGACTTTTTACACTAGTGGTACAGCAAAATATATTTTCTTTAGCTGTTACTTGTACAACAGTTAAATGTGCAATAGAGAAAATATAAGGCCTGAGTCTGAATTAGTGGTTTCTTAACTTGACAGTCCTTCCTGTGCAGTGGAGCCACACTAGTTCTAGTTCTGTACTTCATGACTAAAAAGACCCTGGTCCTGCAAAAAACTCCCAGGAGTATGTCAGGAGTTTCATAGTTCTTAGCTCGGAGTATTTTTCATCCCTTATTCTCCAACAGCACAGAACAACAGCCAGACTTCTCTCTGACACGGCCGCCTGTGTGTTATTCTCTGCACCTCTTTGTCCAACAGCAGAGAGTTCACAGTCCACATTGGTCCAGCCTCGGATGGACATGTTTTGTGTGTTGATGAGATCTGTGTGCAAAAAAAAGTTATTTCTTCATTCCTTTTCCCACCCAACAACATCTCACTTCCTGTCCTAACAGGAAGGGCATGTGGAGTGCCGAGCTGGACTTGCCAACTCTCTTGACATGAACCCGACGGCACCCATCTGTTAAACCCTGTGCAAACAAAGATGGCGCGCTCAGAGGCTGGTTATGAGCTGCATTTGTCCGTCGGTGGGCGCCTCCCCTTCCGGTGGGCACTCCTCGCTGTTGGGTGGGATGATGCACCCGTCGCTGGTGCCTCGGTTTATGTGGTAGTAGGACATTGGCTGGGGGGTGTCACCCAGCTCGGGCATGCTTTTATGATACGCGTCCTCGCTCTCGCTTCGAGGTGAGGGAGAGAGCTCCTCCTCCTCCTCCTCCTCAGGGGGGTACGGGGAAGCTGAGGGTGAGGGGGAGTCTCTCAGGTTTGGCATGCTGGTGTACAGGGAGTCTCTGTTATTGTTGGGTGAGTTTGAGCCTGTGTCCTCCACTGCAGTAACAGTCTCAGGGCCTTGGCCGCCCTGCCCCTCCAGGCGCCGTGGGGCCTTCTGAGCGCTGTAGAGCAGGGAGTGAGTCCTCTGAGGCAAGAGTGGGGCCTCCAGTGCCTCCTTGTGGTGGGGGTGCAGGAGCAGCTCCAGCGTGGTGTGGCCTCCTCGTCCACCTCCTCTCTGGGGGGACGAAGCTTCTGCGTGATCCGCCACGATAGCGTCGTCCTCGCTGCCGCTCCCACCCCCGCCTCGGTCCACTGTCACTCTGGTCTGAGAAGGCGGGGCTCTGTCCCGCTCCCTTTGGGCGTCGCGTCCTTTAGGGGCCCCACGGGGCCTCAGGTTGTTGTGGACAATCTCAGATATGATCATTTTCTCAAAGGCGGCATCATCCAAGTTGAGGCCCCCCAGGTCAGCCGGGGCTCTGACGCCCACAGCTTCATAGTCGTCGTCCCGCAGAGAGTAGCTGTTGTTGAAGTTGCCGTTGAGGGGGAGGGTGTCCATGGCGCTGATGTCCCGGCTGTTGCTCAGAGAATGCTGTCCTGCAAAAAAGTACAGAGGTAGTCTGTGAGCTGTACGCTTTTTTCCCCTTTTTATCGAACAAAACAGTCTCCACCACACCACTCACATACAACTGATACTGCTCAGGACACTGCACTCTTGTGCTCTTTGATCTCCAGGTTAATTTCAATTTTATGCAAATACAAAAAGTTTTAAAATTCAAAGAGGAACCCAATTAGCTCCCCATCATGTCCATCCTCATCATGGCTGAATATCATTAAAGCCAATCTAAGAGATTATCCTGAACAATATAGAAGAAAATGAGAACAAAAGATGACGTCAAAACCAAAAAATACAGCACAGCGACACGCGATATCAAGTAGCTGATGACCAGGTAACAACACAGCAGCATACAGGAAGCAGCAGGATAGGATGAGCGTTGAAAAAAAGTACATACAAGCTGATGAGGAAGTGCTGTGACATTAACAATGAATAAAACATTCCACCTGTTAAAAGAAGGCAACACAAAAGAGTAATGTTGAACACAGATGGCCGGCTGCCTCTCCGCACCGGGGCCCCACAAGCACGGCAACAACCCCCACACACCACAACAGACAGGCACGGTGCAATGACTCACTTTGCCACCACTCACATCAAGTGTGTCTGCTCAGGCTATCTGGCCTAAGAACAGCTGATGTGCAAAAAAAGTAAAACAGATGCTTTTTTTCAATTGCAGCAGAAACAACAAAATCACTGAAATAAGACAAAAGTGGAAGCTTGTAACATCCAGCCCGGATTCAGTCTACCCAGCTCGGTTCATGTCCTTGTAATTAACTATCATTCATCTTGTGTTATTGTTTGCTCAAATTGTCCGAGAGTGACAGCAAAATGATGAGTTTAATAGTTTGAGAGAGCTAAAGGACCAATCAAGGACAACTGAATCCTGGACTCAGCAGGTGAAAGGGTTCAGCAGCAAGCAGAGTCTTTCTTTTAAAAACAAGTCTACGGTAAAAAGGAGGGACATTATTTCTCTTTGAATGACTTTTAAAAGTGTACATCTATCACTCTCATGTGCACACACACACACACACACACACAATCACACAGTCGAGCACTCTAATTTTGCGCACCCTCTGACTAAGCTCAAGTAGCAGGATGAAAGTGAAGGGGGCTAGTTTGATTTGATATGAGGATTTTATTTACTGGGTACACTGAGAGCCGGTGAGTGAAAGGCTTGACATTTTGTCGGGTGAGGATGTCGTCACTGGCAGTCTTTTGCGCACAGAAGAGAACGAGGGGAGACTGTAGTCTTAGCTTTCAAATGAGCGTGTCAGAAAGTGGATGATGGCAAGCGGGGAAAAAAAAAAAAAGTCTAAAAACAACATCAAAGACTTTCTCAAAAAGAGAGGGGAAAGGAGCGCAGGGAGCAAAAGGGCAAAATACGGGAAGGGAGGGGGGAGATTATTAGACTTCTCTCTGAATAGACTCTACTTCCAAATTTGCATTTGTTTATGCACAGGGGTGATTTTTATTGCAGACAGGTATTGTCTACCGGGAGCAGGGGAAATGATGTGAACAGAATTCAACTGGACACGGCGACAGCTGCACTCTGGGAACCGTTCCAGCAAAGATTCATCCAAGATGTTCTCTGCACAGATTTTTTTACTGCATCAGAACATCTGCAGAGCATTACTTAGTATTAATACACTTACAATAGAGGACACGCTCATCCTTTTCCAGGAGCCAAATGTAATGACTATAGCAGGCGAATTTTTGCAAAAGGCTCATGTTGAACTTGACAGTCTCTCTGTGCGTATTTCATACTTGGTTTGTGATCTTCACACCTGTTTTTGACATTTGTGTGTCATATTGTTGCCTGCTGCTCTGAAATCAGTTTCCGTCGTTTTAATCCCTGAGTTTTTATCCATTTTTCCTGATCTGCTCTCGCTGCTGTTGTTTAAAAGCGACTATTTACAGCAGCTCGCCTCAGGGGAAGAAGAAGAAGAAGAAGAAGTCTATCAACAGGTAAAGGAGATGTTTACGTCGTTGTTTAAATTACCTGCTAATTAAAAATATCCCCACTTTTTAATCCGTCTCCTGTGCACAAGTGTTAAAATGCAATTATCCTGCAGTGATTAAGTAGGTAAACGTTTTAGGGCAAATGATGCACAAGCTGTGTGCATGAACGCTGACTTCTGTGTCGAAACTGCAGCTGAGCTCACATTAAAAAGCTCAGAAAATCACTAAATGTCTTATTTTCGGTGAATATGTTGTTTGGTCCCCAGCCTGCTTCATTATCGCTGAATGTACAGCTGCGATGACTGCAGAGGGTCAAAGCTATATGTTTCTGCAAACCCTCTCCTTGCACACTTTGGCCATATTGCTGTTTTTCTATATTCTCTTTTATCATCAAATGCCTGTGAATATCTGAGGGCGATGACTCTGCCCGCATTGCGTCATGCGCTTCTGTTTTTTTCCTGTCTTTGATTGGGTTTCTTTTGCACTGCCAGAGAGGGAACTAGGTCACCATAAACACTGACGCGCTTTAAATCAAACTTGCTTCTAATTTGAGGTGAGGAAAGTAAGAATATGTAAAGATATCATCCTAGGATAGAGGTTAACAACATAAATGATCAACCAGCGTGTGAAGCTCTTTCAACACAGAAGAATTCCCATAAGGCTGCTCAGCAGATAAGATAGCACTGACAACTCTGAGTTTATCTCCCTGTCTACTTACAAAGGAAGAAAACCTGCGCAGATAAAAACTACTAAAAATACAGAGAAGGTGTGAAGAACAAACTGTTAATCTACATTAATTATTCTCAACATGTTTGCATGCATGCCGTGCCAGAGCAACAACCTCGAGACTTTTCATGTACTTAATAAACCTGACACTCAAAGGAGAGAGTAAGATAAGAAGGTTAATACCACTCTCATATCTGTCTGTTTGTTTAATATGAAGCTACAGCTCAGTGCCGGTTAGCTTAGCTTCCCACAAAGACTGGAAACAGAAATACGCCTACAGGAGCCTCTACGGTTATTACCGGCTTATTTAATGCAAACAAAAAGTTGAGTGTTAAAATGATGATGCAAAGTTTTACACGGGGTTATTTGCTGGACTCTTTCGCTATCATGAACTGTTACTTTTTTTTCTGATCTAAGTCAGTTGCTTAGCAACTGCTCAGAGCCAAGAAATAGTCCGGGACAGAAGCACAGCACAAAAAAAGGCAAATCACTGTCTTTGTATGGATTATACAAACAAGTTGTGAAGTGTTGTTAAGTGAGAAAGTATCTAAAATATGTGGAATATGAAGTGCTGCACTGTGTCCCAATGGTAAGTCAATAGTGTTGTGATATCAATGAGGAGAAGAAATCTGGTGTTGTTCAAAACAAGGACACTTGATCGATAAAGAGTGGCAAAAATATCTGTTTATAAATGTCTACTTGGCAGCCTGACTGCAGCACCTAAAAAATAAAAAACAAGGTTAATTGGGAAAAAATGTTTATTAAATCGAAGTGAATCGAATGCAATATTTATCCGTTATTAATCATTCGGGCACTCTTGTTTTTTCAGTGTTTTTTTTCACTAATAAATGTGATTTAAAGCTGCTGGAAGGTGGATTTAGTCACTGCAACAGCTAACATAAATTCAGGTCGAGCTGCTGCGAATAAAACCATATCCTCTTGTTGTGAGCGCTTGTTTTTCATACTAGTGTAATATAAATCAAGGTTTTATCCTTCAATACTAAAGCTTTTTGTGCTGTCTGCTTTCTATAGATCCACAGCCTGCTGTTTTTCTCTGTTTGAATACAAATCCAAATGAAATATTAGTAAGCTTGTGCAGTTGTGGGTAAAGCTGTGTGTAAAATTTTAATGTGATTTCACACACGTTTCTGCCTATCTCCTGTCAATCCATGGCAGGCTATGCATCTACTAGCCTCATAAAACAGAAGATAATGAGAGTGGTACTGATGATCTTGTTTTACTCTCAACAGAAGTTTATAACAAAAAAAGAAAAAAAACTTTTATTCCAGACAAACACAAACTTTTGTAAAAGTAAAGGTGGAAGGTGGATGTGCACCTGGGGAGTGAAAGGCCGGTGGAGAGGGGGTGTTGCACACCACAGTTTCTGCCAGCAGGTTGTTATAAGGGTTAGTGTCGTGGGTTCGGAGGAGAGGGTTAGTTAGGAGGTAGTTGCCAGTCATCCCTGAAATAACAGGAAGATACAGAGAGAGAGAGAGAAAAAGAGAGAGGAAGAGAAAATCAGGAGGGAAAAAAACAGTTGAGGGAAAAAGAGCGAGAGGTTCTTTAGTTCATGGTCTGTGGCAGTGCGCTGGGTCACTGTCGACATAAACAAACCCTGACATCCGCTGTCCAGAATCTGACACCGCCCAAGATTTATGACCCACTATCTGTCTGCCTTACATTATGAACGGAGCAGCCATAGAAACGGCGGTCATAGCGCGACATTATACAAACGGTCGGCTCATGTACTGACAAACAATATTATCGCGACAAGTGTTGACCAAAGCACAGCAACATAATCAACTCCGGTGTTTATGTGAAACAAATTTATCTAAACAAACTCATCCAGTCGAGACACTAGACAAAACATGCCTAAGTGGCCTGCCATGAATAATACAGTATCCCTATCATCGTCGGCATGTTTGTCTAAGTTCTCAAGAATGTAATAAGTGTCTTGGGTTGTTTAGATGGATCATGGAGGAACTCTGTCCTGGCATGTGTGTCTTTTAAAATAATCTAAACTAATTCAGAAGTACAGCTTAAATCTACACTGGCACAGTCTGGAGCCAGAGTTTCCAGATGCCGGGATCCCTCCCAAAAATCTGTTCTGACCTCAGCCTGACTTTGCTCATCTCCCCCACCCCTACCTTCTTCCTGACAATCACTCCAGGGCCAAGACGAGTGAGGCAGATGCTGCGCCGTCCGCCCCCAACTGTAAGGGTCATTAAAATTTGAACTTAAGCCCTCATCAGTGTCACACCAAAACATCCCTAACAACCTTCTCCGTCTTTATTCCTTTCCTCCAACACGGACTCAGTGAAGCAGGAAAGTGGTGGAAAAACGCTTCACAGGCTGCTGTTTTTATTTTGAAAGCTAAACACTAAGAAAAATGCATCCTTAAATCAGGCCTCCCCCTTTTTCCTGAGCTGCGCCCATTGAAGTGTTTATTGTGAATTCAGAGCTCCATCACAAAGAGAAGGGCGGATCTGTCTTGTCTGGTGGCGGTAAAGAGAAGAAACGCTTGCTCACCCTGGTTGAGCGTGGAGGTGCTGTTTATGTCTCCTGAGATGAAGGAGGACTCCGACTGCTTCCTCACAGTGTCGTTCCACATCCGCCTGATGCGGCTCTGGGTGGAGAGAAAAGCAGCGATTGATCAGGACTCAACATGGTATCGCTCTCTTTAAAGACTTTTGGCCTTGAGGATTGAGTGGCTACAAGAGTTCGTGATGTAAAGCTACACTTGTACACAAGATTCTGCAAACCCGCTGCTTGACGACATGATCATGCTATGAAGCACGAGTTATTGATCCAATTGATACAGAAAATGGACTCCATGAATCTCACAGCCTGTAATGTGAGACGTCAGCCCTGAGAGCGCCTATTTTCTGGGTAGTCGTCAGATTCTCAGAAGTGCTCTTAAGATAGATTTCACAGTCAGAAGAGTCATGATAGAAACATCAGTGATCTTTCTGAGCTGACTGCATTTTTCCTCTTTATCTACGATCATTTATTTCTACCTGTTGCTCTCTCTCTTAATGGACTCTCTCATCCATGAGTAAAGGTATAAAAGAAACATCTATGTACAATAATGACAGTCAGCTAGCTTCTCATGTCAAAAAATGACCTCGATCCTTTGGCAGTTTCAACGGTTAAATAACAAAACCTTAAATCCACATTACAGAGAGATTTTGTTCACACTTTATTTGACGCCTATCTCCATAACGCATTATAAATATATGTATAATGTGTTATAATAGCACTGTATAACTATAGTTATAAACACTCATAAATGATCATAATGCTTTATGGCAATAATCATAACAAATTATAAAGCATTTCATCATGACTTACAAGGTCAGGTATTATAATGTGTTATCACTGTTAACAACTTACTGACAATGCCCACATAGATTACGCAACTGCTGTTAACTGTTATAACACATTATCATACCTGACCTTGTATGTCATAAAAAATGCTTTTTATGTTTGATGATTATTGCTATAAAGCATTATAACTATAGTAATACAGCGCTATAACGTAATTATAACGCATCATATATTTCATAGGTATATATATGAAATGCATATTTGTGTGTATATATATGTGTATGGTTGTATATATGTATATATAAGGTCTTTGTCTCAGTATTAATGATTTGTTACTTATTCATGTTAGACTTTAGAGCTTTGGTTACTTTTTGGCGACTTCAGAAATCCTAGAATTCTAGAGACGTTTAAAAGGTCAATGAATAGGAAGGAATGACGGTAAGTACAAATCAGCTAAATAGCTTCTACCTACTTCTTTTCGATCTCCAAAAATAGGTGAATTTCTTGTCTAAAATTGTATTGTATGTATATTTGATCGAATTTATAATGTGTTGTAGAGATAGGCGTCAAATAAAGTGCTACTGAGATTTTAGAAACAAGAGGCTCCACTTTACAGTGATTGATTTCTACCAGAGGTTGGAGATCGTGGCGAGTTTTCAGTCTCTGCTGTTTGGCATTTTTCTCATTGTCAACAAATCTTATGAAAAGTCCAATTCCAGCAGTGTGTTAGTGCTTCCTCAATACTTTCCTCATTCTTCTGCTGCTCTGTGGCTCTTAACCACGAGGTCAGTTGTCTGTGAGGAATTTGATTTTTAAACAGTTTGCAGATAAATCAAAAAGTCTTTTAAATTCTCAGTAAATTCCTGAAGCGTGTGTAAATAGCAGTTTTCTGAAAAGGAATTTGATTATTTTACATTCGTGTGGAACTGACATAGCTATGAATTCACCATAAACATAGCAAAAGAAAATGACATTCATTACAACATTTAGGTGCTTAAGTTAGACATTTAATGCTTTATTTTGAGCTTTGTTTAAGACTGAAAAATGTTAAACCAGACTTTATTTTTAAGTGGCGCAAGAGTAGACAAAAACTTCACAATATAAAACAGCCGATGTAAAGCTATGGTTCTTTAAATCCCTGGCGGTGTATACGTACTTGTGTTGCAGATGAGTATCGGGCTGTAGATCGAGACGTGGCCGTCTTTGCTGCACTGTGGGGGCCCTCAGGCGGCAGCGCCCCGCAGCACTGAGACTGACGGAAACATTTGCTGTACTCTTTGCGGACCTGCAGACGAACAAGAGATCAGGACGGTGTGAGCACAGACAGCTACACAATCCCCCCGATACGGAGACCCATCAATCAATCCGTCCATTAGCTTCACCCCGGAGCCAATCACTGCTGACAAGTGGCAAGAGGCGGGGTACGGCTAGGGCGGATCGCCAGCCATTCACAGAGCTGACACATTGAGACCGTCAATCACTGATGCTCGCAGTTGCAACAATGGGTAATTTAGAGTCAGCAATTAACCTGCAGGTATTTGGACTGTAGGAGGGGGAACTCGGGTTTGACGCAGAGGTGACAGCACTTCATCACCGTGCTGCTCTCCCCATGACAGATGCTAATCCCAAATTTTTATCAAATGCTGTGAAATTGATGACAGTTTGGATGCCGAATATGTCAGAGAGGAGTTTAAAAAACACGCCGACATACTGCAGGAAGAGGCCCTCAGATATGAGTAGCTGCAAAGTGACAATGTACGTATATAGCATGAACTGCCTCTGGGTGAATCTAAAAATGTCACAATCTAAACATCCATAGTTGCAGTTGCAGGAAAATACAGTATATGTTTAGAAAGATATATCCTGTTCTGCCATCCAATCATTATATCTTCAAGTATAAAACCACAATATACTAAAATAACAACTTATCCTTTGAAAATCTTTGCTTTACGGACAACTTTTAATTAAAAGATAAGTTAGAAAAACACTTTTTAGATGGATTCATTGGCTCACTGTTTCTATTTTATTACACTGCAGACTTTAATAGACTTTTTGAGGGGATGAAATCATAATTACCCGAGTGAGTAAATCTGAGGAACAGTTATTAGATTAATCTACAAAAATTGATGTAAACAAGATATCCTCAGCTGGTGAAAGCAACTGTTCTGACTTTTATGCTTTGTGAGCGATTTACTCTTGATATAAAATTTGAATTCTCTTGTTCGACTGATCGATCGCACGGTTCCCGATACCTTTTTCTGGAGGAGGCAGTGGAAGATAAAGATGAACATCCCCTGAAGAGTGTTGAAGATGGTGAAGAGGTAAGCCATGACGATGGACGATTCATTCAGGAAGAGCAAACCGAAGGACCACGTGAGTCCCAACAAACAAAGCAGGGCGAATGCTCCCAACACCCAAGACCTGCAGAGGAGAGAGCGGGAAAAAATTACAAGGTAGAACAGCACGACCATGCGAGGTTTCATCTGCAAAGATAGCTGGACATTTCTCCTGGACAGTAGCTTGTTAAAAAAAGGAAAATCCCTCATTTGCTGGTCCTCTCAGAGTCAAGTTGCACCAGCGGTGGGATAGAGCGTAAATGCTGATTCAAAGTTTTGTAAAAAAATAAAGTTATCCTGTGGGTTTTTGGTTGAAGAGACTGCAAACGCAGCAGGGTTTTTTTTTCTTGGCAGCTTCCTGGAAAGTTTAGAGGAAATAAGATAACTTCACAGTCACTTTCAATGACGACGGCTGGTCATTATTGGTACACAAGAGAGAAATGAGCCACCTAGACAGAGAGAGAGAGAGAGAGAGAGAAACAGCCTGGAGGGAAGAGCAGAAATAGGACGACAACAGAGGATCCGCAGACAGTTGCTGAGAGTGAGTGGTGATTGGATTCTCAGTTTTTACCTTTTATACAGTACGACAAAAACGAACAAGCCTTATCCTCTTGATTCCAACAGTTCCCACATTTGACACAAAACTCAACACATAGAAGATTTAGGTGGACCCTAATTAAAGAAAGATAATGAGCTCCTTAATTAGAAAAATCCAGCATCCACGATCGCACCTCGCTTTGTTTGAAAAAATCCACTTTTTCTTTCTGTTTTTCTTCTTTCTTTTGGACAAAAATCAGAGTGTCTGCAGAAAAATCTAGCACTCGCATATGTGTTGGCCTGCCCTCAAACATATTGAGGACTGCGGCACAGGAATGTAAAGGGACTCCTTTTTTTTAAACGCAGCCCAACCGGATCCAAAAGAATGACTGAGGGTCCCTGTTTTTGTTTTTTTCCCCTATCTTTAAACCGAGGAGGACGTGGGCGAATCAGTTTTCAGAGGAAGCTTGTAAACTATGCCAGAAAAGATACCAAAGGTCAAAAAGGCTGTTATGAAGAAATAAAAAAAGCAATATAATGCGGCGTAGTGCAAATACTAAAATCATAAAACGAACTAATAAGGTACCTATAAATAAAATCTGAAAGGGAGAGATATTGGTCTTGGTTTAAGAGAAGAGAAAGTCAAACAAACGTGTCGGTCAGATGCAGCTTTTCAAATTTCAAGTGAGAGGAAAAAGAAATAATGGGGCTTATTTTTTTTCACTTATAAGTGAAACCCACCCACGCATATCACTCATCTCAACACAAACACACACACACACACACACTGTCTCAGAGTTCGCTTCCAGCACACTGTGGCCACCCAATCTCCCAGAGTGACACCCTCACCTGATCCCCCCAAGCCGAGACGAGTCAGGTTTCATGGAGGTGGAGTGCTTCACCATCTTGAACATCGTCACCACCAGGAAGATGACATTGACCTGTCAAAACAGACGCAGATCACGGTTTACACACTGCACTTAGAAGGAAATCCAATTCCTGTGGCTCACGTGGGTGAGGTGAGGTGAGGTGGTGGGGTGTTTAGTCCTATTACATGGTAAAAAAAGAAAAAAAAAATCTCTAAATGACCCCTTTAAAACATGCTCCTTACATTCAATTCAATAACTTTATTTCACTGTGAGGAACCTACAGTAGTCTGTGCAAAAGCATCAAGTTATATAACACACACACACTCTACAGTTGCCCATATCGCATCAAATTAAATAAATACAGGATGATTTCAGTACATGTTTTGTAAAATAAAACAGTCAGAGCTTCAATAAATGTAAAAGCAGCTGAGATTATTTCCTTTATGGGTGGATTATTTTCTTGTTTGTTAAAACCAAAATAACAGAGCGCCCACAATTTAACTGTAAAAATGTTAGTTATACAACTTTATTACTGATAGGATATTTAAAAGGCACATATGAAAATTCTCAGGTTTGGGATAATCCAACAAAGAAAGATTTTACATGACAAACGAGTGATAATTAAAGCTTCAGTCTGTTAATTTCCAGCTCATCATGATTAATAGTTTCTGCTCTGCTTGAGTATCCTTATAGGTATTCCAATCAATAAAAAGGATAACGTTTCTGCTCGTCTTGTTTTGAAAGCAAAAGTCTTGTCATATAATCTCAATAGCCTTCAAAGTTCAATAATTCCCTCTGAGCTGTCGATGAGAGTTATTAGGTGGCACTGAAAAGGAAGAAGACAAATTCATGTGCTTCAAACTCGCGTTTGAGTTTCATCCCAGAATCTGTATTTTCTTTCCTTATTGACATAACATACTGCTTACCATGTGGCGGTTTTAGCTTTATAGTGAGTGCCAACACCAGCTTACCTTTTACAGAGAGGAATAAGAAAATATGAAGCCTCACTGTGGACCATAAAGCACACTGACTTCCACAGATAAAAAAAACACAGCAAGAGGTTAATGCCACGCTCTACTTCACACTGCTCTGGCCTTCGACGTAAAAGCTGCACCAAAAGTTTCTCCTCCCTCTTCTGTTTGACATTATAGTCAATCCCAGAGTGCAAATCCTCACCCGAATATCAGAATGTATATCTGATGTAGTTCAACAGGCCTGATGTACCGCAGACAAAAGCTGCAGCACAGCACAGAGAGGAGAAGAGCAGAGCTGCCGAGTTCCATATTTTAGAAACAAAAGCCAGGAAAAACATTTAAATGATTCAAGCCATACATCCAGAAAGGTTTCCATTCTCTCAGGATGTGTCTCTGTAAGCACTGCAGGGCCTCATGGCCACCGAGGGAGAGGGAGGAGATGTGCTTTAATTCTGGCGCAAAACCTTTGATATGCATTATTGTATATATCCCACAAAAACAAGTATGTATCTGTGTTTTAATCTGATTAAAAACTTATATCCTGTGTCTCCGCCAAGCCACAGTGACTAATAAACCGCATATTAAAGGAAGAAAATCAAACAATTAAAGGGAGGAGCTGGCAGGAAAACAAAGCGTAATCGTGCCTGTATATTGTTCTCTAACACTTCATTCACCGATAAGCAGAAGATCCTCATTTCTACCCCATATGGATGCACTCTGAAACACTACAAGGCAACAGGAAAAAAAAAGGGGGTTCTTGAAATGGAAACAACAAGGATGTGAGTGGAAAAACAGATGGACACCAACAAAGAAAGATGGAAGACAGAGAGAAAAAAAAAGGAGTGGCTAAGAAGACAGAGAGAGGCTTTTAGATCACAGCTTAGAGTAATGCTGAGTTTCGTCTCTCAGCCACTGGGGCCGATTTTACGTCCGCATGAGTCGAGTGGCTGAAGATGCATTTAACACAGCCGCGAGAGATGACACAGATCCGATGAGACAGACGCACACACACACACGGACAGACAGACAGACGCACAGCCAGTGAGGCAAGGCACTCTGCAGAAGGCTGAAGCAAACTGCATATGGACTCCACTCCTCACGCTTGGTCTCCAAGGGGCCGAGCTCTACAATATTCAGGTCTCTAACTCCTCCACCAAACACAACACTTAAAATCAGCAGTGCCGACGCAGCACTTCTCAATTTTTTTTTTTTTTTACGCGTATTTAAAGCCTACAGACAGATTTACATGTGCGTTAAGCATATGAGCCTGTATGGATACGCAGTGTGTGTTTGTTTTGGGCTGCGTGCATGCATTCCTGCTTGAATGCATGCATGCGTTGAGTGTAAGTGTGTGTGTCTTTGTGTATTTTGAACACCAAGAGCAGCGCATGAAATATTAAAAGGTGAAGATGGAGATGTCCGCGTGCAGGGATTGGCTGGGGACGTGTCATGATCCTCAGCAGGGCTATGAGCTGTAGTAATGGTTGTCTGGCCCACCCACTCATTACTTCCATGTTCGCCCCCACCAGCATCACCCTTGTTTTCCCACCGAGCAAATGACCTTCATGCCTGAGACGATTCCTCCTCCCGATAGCCAAGAGGAGGGAGGGTGTTCTCAGGATTGTACAGCCAAGACCAAACAGCTTTAAGTTGTTGCCGCTCACCAATTCTGATTTCAGAGGATTTCATAGCTGAGTGGACACTGATGTCCTCGTGTCAGCTATAATGGGACCACTTTCCTTTCATGCAAATTGATCTGAGAGAGCAGAGCGAGGAGAGACTTGCAGAACACACAAAGAGAAAAATCTATAAATTGTTTCCAAAGCGTTTCTCTGAAGGGGGAAAAAAAGTTGCAACACACTCGCTTAAAAAAAATGACAACTTACCACAATTATGAAGGTCACAGGTCCGATGAAGCTCCAGATGAAATGATTATCAACCCTCAGCCAGCATCTACAGGGAGCAAATGGTGGTGTTTAGTTCATTAAATCATCCGATTGCCAAAACAAAGTTGTGTCTCATCGATCAGTGCTGAGCAGAGCAAGCTGGATGAGAGGCCGCGGCAACACAAGACAGACTCCTCCAACCACAGAGAAGAAAACCGACCTTGGGAGAGCGTTGGCCCCGCGCCATGAGAAGCTTCTGTCTCAAAGGCAGCGGTTATTGGACTCATGACTTCACAGTCTGAAAATGTCTACAAATGTGGGATGTCGGACTGTGTACCTAAGACTGCGAGCGGTAAACAGCGAATTGTAAACCAGTCAAGAAAGAGTTGTACTGCGCCGTGTTTATCACCAGGAAACAGAAATGAAGAAAAGACCGCAGCGGCAAAATGAAGTTTACTTAAGTCCCATATATTAGAGGATTGCAGTCTAACAAATCATAGCGCTCACTGCTCGGATGAAGACCAGAAGCAGCCAAAGAAGCGCATAAACTTTTAACTGACAAGAGCAGCAATTACCCACATGCAAAGAATAAAAAACCCAGCAGGCCGGTGCAGCTAGCCAGCACATTCATTAGTGTTGCAGTTTTATTCGCAGCCTCTTCTCTTAGCAGTGACAGGGTGTAAATTTGCCTGAGGTTAGAGGTTGACTACACTTTGTGATATCACTATCATTAGCACATACATGAAAGCTGTGTGTGTTTCCATGGGGAGAAGGGATGACTAATGCTCGCACAAAAGGAAGAAGAAAAAAGAAGGAGAAGAAGAAGAAGAATCCCTGCCACACTTACGCCCGCTGTGTGCCATAACTCCTGTAGTCAATGGCTGCCGAGATCCCCACCACCACAGCTGGGATGAGGTACCCCGAGACGTAGTAGTACTTCCTGCGTGAGAACTCGCTCTCGAACACCTCCACCAGCATGAGGTACAGTTGCAAGCCCTCCAGACACATCCAGACGAACGCAGCCAGGAAGCAGAAGTGGAGGACGCCGGCGATGATGGAGCACACCAACTGACAGGAAGAAACATATCAAAAGGTGAGAGACTCCACAAAGCATTATCAGGGTTGGATGAACTATGACTTTTAATTTCTTCTTATCCCGACCGTGTTAATGCTCCCGTTTAGGTTTTATCGACCGGAGCCATTAGCCCTGCTTATCTAGATTATAATATCTCCAGGACCAGCTATTTGCTCTGCTTAAAGCCGCTCAAATCAATATTTTGGGTTGGATCAAATGATATATTCCAATCCTATCAAAGGGGTCGCAATGGATTTTGGCATCGTTTTGGGCCCACAGTGCAACAGGTGACTTAAATGCTCAAGAATGAAAACACAGTGGATCGTTAAGCAGGCGAAATATTCCCTTCATGAGCTTATATAAAGAAAAATGCTACAAGGGAGGATAAATATTCATGAAGTGGATAGCAACACTGCTCTAGATGAATGGCTAATGTGCAAAAAGGGTACTTCTTTACTATCACTTCAAACGGGTGATAAAATGCCAGCGCTGTGTTTGAATTTTTGCACTGTAGTTAGTTAAAGGCACAGTGAGGAGTTTTTTTTTTTATCAGGTTGAGAAACAGGCTGAAAGTGATACCGATGCTTTTTTGTGACCTCCAAGAGCAAACGAAACAAACAGCAACATGGCAGAACATTTTTCAGTCAGGATGTTTGATGCCTGAAACCGCTTTCAGACCAGATGATTGACAGTAGGCTGAAGAAACGTTCCTTTTTAGACTTTTCTCATGGCCGACACTCACAGTGAATGGATCGTTTTGTTGTTTAGAGACAACAGGTAAAAGTACTTGAAAAGACAGTGTTCGCATATACAGGAAAAAAGGTAAGAGGCACCCTTTGTCCACAGGGGTGCCAGAACCGACCAAATGTCCCTCACAGGAGCTTTAAGAAAAGATTTAAAGTGAATTTTTTGGTAACCCTCTGTGTAACACTGTCACAGTGAAGTTTTTTTAGTTATTGTTGCAAAAGGAAACAGAACACCTATACTAGACTGTGACGACATACAATACATGCCAATGAGATTACCTTTTGATTACTAGTGGATTTATCTTAGCCTTTATTAGTGTCTACTGTAACTGCAAATGTAATGTCATCATTATTCTTGTTTTAGTTAGGACTTTTACATCTTGTATAATTTTCCTGTTTGGACTTTTATCATTGTAATTTATATGAAGGTTTACTGTCTTCTTGCAAGAAGAGTAGCTGCTACATAGTAGTAGCTAACGGGGATAAAAATAAAAAGATAAAATAAAATAAACAGCATTTGTGCTTTTAGGACTGATCTGAAGGTCAAACCTTCCAGCTGCAGAATTATTTCTGCATTTAATTCAGCGCATGAATGACTCCAGAATGGCAGTGAGGTGTTTTGTGTAGATGCATATTCACCGTTAATCATTACAGAATCTGTTTTGCCACATCTTGCATAAATAAAACAAATTTAGACAAGCAAAGATAAAACAAAAAATTCTCTAAGCCAAGGTCAAGTAAAAGCCCTGAAGCTGTCTATATTATGTTACTCACACAAGGGCATACTTCACATTTCCTCTTGTCTGGTTAAGGAGAAGAATCGTCAAAAACTTAAACTAATTTACTTGTTGGTCTGTTTTTGAACTTCACTCTCAGCTTTGCACAAAGCTATTGTTATGAACCCAGTATCCAACAGTTTTCAAGGTTACAATGTGAAGAAGTTGTACAGAATTGAAAATCATAGTTGGAATATTTCTATTTGAAAAATGATGCAGGCATTGTAAGGAGAAAATATCTTTTTCAGGTAAAATATATAACTCTTCAACTCAATATTCCAGATTTTCAGGTATAGTAAAAAGCAGTGCGAGGAACTATGAGATTTTAACTGTTGTGGGTTTTTTTCTGCAAACTGCTTGAACACTAAAAGGGGAAATCAGGGAGTAGATTAAGTGTAAAAAGGTTAATAACAGCAGGGGATCCTATTCATCAGCAGGATGAAAGTCCAAACCCTCCGCTGTGTAATTTCCTCTCTCTACCTTTGGTTCTGTCATGTTGATGCCCACGAGGTAGACCAGCTCGCCTATGAAGAGGTTCAGGCAGAGGTTTTTGTGGATGGTGTTGCGGTCACTCTGCAGACCCCTGAAGAAGCAGAAGGTGAAGAGGCTGATGGCGAGGCAGACCAGAGACACGGCGATACCCATCCGTGTGATGACGGTGAGGAGGAGTTCATGGACGCCGCCCTCCCCCTGTAGAGAAACAGACAGCACGGACTGACCTTTAACTTCACACTTTTTATAATGACTGGTGGCATTTAAGCACATAATGGTCCAAGCTATATTTGCTGAAGTGCGAGAGCTGACCTGCTGGAAACCCTGATGCTCTGCATATGTGTATGTTTTTATTAAAATGGAAATTTCTTAAGGCCCCAGCTCTTCAGCGAGATGTTCACAGTCCCTCATCAAGTCTGTCTTGTAACACCACTCGTGGACAAAAGTGGACACTAATACAGGTTCAGCTTGCTGTAATGATTACAAATATATACTGGCCAAATACCATCGTCTCTATCCTCAACAACATACACATCTGTGCTGTGACTAAATAGGTTCCCCTTTAAAACAATGTCACCCCTACTGAAGCCTATGTTGCCAACGCAGGTTTACAAAAAATAGAGGCTATAACTACTTTTTCCTCATGAGAACGTTCTCAAAAGACAAAGTACTTTTGGAAGTACTTGATGTATTTCTACTGCAGGCACAAGAGTCTAAATAAAGTCCCAAAGACTTTATTTCACCCTCCAAAAGTTCCTCAGTCCAAGGGAAACTTCTCTGAGGCCCCAACTACACGAATGCGGATATATTTCAAACCGCACATATTTATGTCCGATTAGGCCTCCCTACCACACCAAAACGGGAGTTTGGAACACTCAAACCGGATAAATCTGAATCCGAAAAAACAAGTGGAGAAATAAAAAAATATCCGTATAAGTGGATTCGTGTGGTTGAACTTTTACGGATCGATGACGTCAAACCGCAGCTCGCGCATGCGAATTAAAAAGAAAAACAACAAGAACGATGGCGGACAGACAGGGTATTCTTTACGTTTGTTTTGCCCTTTTGGGGCTAATTTCAGTCTTGCAAGTGAACCTTGTTTTATACAATTACATCCACCAGTCAGCCAGTTCACAGAGGCGTCTGCTGCGCCCAATACTTATACTGGTCACATGGTCCGTCACATGGACCCGACGCACTAGCGTAGCTTCCGCAAACAATACATGACGCATCACGCTGTTACGATTCATCGACCAATCAGGTAACTTTGTTCCTGAATTTTTTTTTAAGCGGCACCAGATAGCATTGAGTTTGAAGGCTACGTGTGGACACAGATATTTTTGAGAACTTACACGTGTGGACAGATACATTTATTTAGACGGGAGTACAAAAATATCCTGATAAATAAATATCTATATACGAGTAGTCCGGGCCTAAAAGTAAAGGGACTCTGGGTGAATAGTCTTGTACTCTCACTCAGTAGTAAAGACCATGCAGCAGGTAGTCTGACCAATCTAACAAGGTTCAGATATTTGCAACACTCAAAGGTAGAAGTTGCCATCAATGTCACAAAAGCCTCTTACTCTCCAATTGTGCAACAGCGCTGGAACAGAGTTCTGCCATTAGTACGCCTCTGTATCCACTGCACCCTGACTAGGTGTAATATTGGTATCCCAGTGTGTCATTATACATCGCATTACCTGGTGGGAGCGCGAGAGGCATGGCTTGTTAACAAGCAGCAAGAGCTTCGCGCGCACACACAGCTACACACTTAAACACGGACGTACACACAGTGCTGTTCTGCACTGCTGGCTGCAACACTACACACCCTCACCTCCACGCCCCCGTTTTGCACCAGTTACTACCTCAGAGGGTGGGTCAGAGGACGACGACCTCACTCCACACTTTTGGTTGTTACAAACTGCAGAGGAGGCGTAGCAGGGGTGTAAATATCCTGCCTTAAACTGGCAGTACGTAAGCACCGGTATTTGAACCAGGAGTGTGCGCTTTGGATGGAGTAAGAAAATGTCTGAATGTTAAACTGAAGATGATGCTTTCTGAAGTCTGAACAGAGCAACACTGCTGTTACAATATTTAATAATCAAAGATCAGCATCAGTGTAACCTCTGTGGAACCTGTGTATAACAGATCTAAGACCTTGGTTCAAATACAGAAACCTAGACTAGAGGAACTTTGGGTTTCTTGAAAAGAAGCTCCTGGAACTCGCCCTCTCTGGTACTTGTGGTAAAATAGCAGCTTTGTAACAGAGAGCTGTGCGCACATTGATTTTGTGACTTAAACAGCACTTTCAGGTACAAAAAAAAAGAAAAGAAGAATATCCCCTAGAGTTGGAAGTATTGGTAGAGTTTTGAGCTAAACAACTGAAGACTGGGGCCTTTACTTTGGCTGAGTAAACATTAAAAAGTCACTTCTTCAATCCACAAGATGGGTGACAAAATCCAGAGACCTTGCTCTTTGCAAAACATCTACTATAAGATATAATAAAAAGCTAATATAAGGTAAAATTGAAAGAGGTATCTTTAAAGAAACAGACAAAAACACCTTCTCTGTGTTACCATAGATCTTTTTCCCAATAGGCTTCAGTTAAAGGATGGTTACAAAGAGAAGGAACTTTGAACTATAAAGACTAAGAACTTTGGAGGAGATTCACTTGATCTGACTAACTCTGACTATTCAATCTTCACAGAAGCTTTAGATGAACTGAGATGAGATTTTTGCGCCGGAATAGCACTGAGGATTTTGTTCTCTATCACATATAAGAGGTGTATTAGTATGGTTTAATAAATGGCAGGTATTATAGGAGGAGTGATAACAGCAAGCAAAACACGTTTCACCATTTAGTATTTTCAGAAACCTATTCCCAGACCCTGTTGATATATAGCAGTCAGACCGAACACGCTTCGATAACATTATGGGGCCCACGTTGCAGAAATCAACATCAGTTAAAACACTGCCAGAACCGCTTGATATAACATCCACATGTGGGTTCTGCATTTGAGGTCAGATCACACCGTGTTTTCTGAAAATCTAAAAACCAAGCGAGCTCAAGACGGGTACCGGGCAAATGTGAAAATAGCAGACTTGACCATACAAAGTATCACTCAAGGACGTGTTGGCCTGAAAGTGAGGCAATTCCTCCTGTGATATTTGTAATTTTATTGAGGGCAGGAATCGCAGTTGAGGTGATGTGGAGGGAATTGGTGTGAGGCTAAGCCCGGCCTCGGGGCTCTGGTTTCAAGCTGTGGTTAAGGTTGAGGTTGAGACAGATGACAGGGACAGAGTTCATGAGTGGGGACGTATTATTAAACGAACCACAAACTTATCCTCCACATTTATTACTGGCGAGGTCCCCGCTCCACATACTATTTATCATGTAATTGGATTGTAATTGCATTTCGCGACCAAATGGGTCCTACACCACTTCAAGAGGGGTGGAAACATAAGTTAAAGCAGAGGTTGTACCGTTTCCCATGGTTCTCAGGGACCCATGCGCGGAGGAATATTAGACACGGACCACAGGTAAAATATAATTACTTATGATAATGGTCAGGCCGCTCCTCTCCTGATCCACTATCTCGCTCTTTCAAAGTGACAGCCCACTTCTTTTTCCCCACCCCTCCACCCCTGTACCTTCCCCTCCAGCAATAATCTAATTATCCCCACTGTACTGCCGTTCTTGTTCATACCGTGTGTGCACAAATCTGTCAGCGAGACGGAAGAAAAACCAACTGAGACAGAAAAATGTCTCGTGCCAACCACTTACCACGTTTCCCCGATGAGCCATGAGGATGGCGAAGTTGGTCAAGTGACTGCAAGAGCAAGTGGTGTGGCTCTTGTTGGTTTCAAGCAGTTTGCAGCCCTGAGTGGACCAGTATCCCATCATGCTCCGCTCCGAGTAATTCCAGAAGGAACAGTTGGGATTGTAGTAGTGCTCCTTCTGCAAAAAAAAAAAGAAAAAAAAAAAACACAAACACAGAGAGAAAAAATGATGAAACATAAATGAACAAAAGCTGAAATATGTATGACTGTACACAAACACACCTTTTATATATTTCATAAGTTTCACTGTTAGACATCAATGCACCTGATGTGTAGACTTTATTTGTGTGTGCTTGTTTTACCAATAAGAATCAGGACAATCTGTCAATGTAATGTTTTCTTTTGAGGGAAATTGATCAAGAAGCTCGATTTGGAAACATTTTAGATTTTAAGATTAAGTGAAGTTATTTTTGGGGCGATTTCCTCTCTGATTCTTCTAGTCCACATCACTGATTAATGCAGATCATCACCCAGAATACACCGGCGTTATACAGATGGTTTCACTTTACTGAAACTGTTTTTTTTCTACAACTAAAAAGCATCAAAGCCTCGCTGAGCCGTGCAGCTGCTTCACTATTGTAAAAGCTCTGCAGTGTGGTCCGGAGGACTCTCAGGGGGAGGCTTACATCCAGGTGCTCCAGTGTGAAGATCACGGGGTCGGCGACAAACACACGGCTGGACTCCTTGGTTATTGAGGCTGACAGGATGTGGGAGTTGACGGTGAGGGAGAGGTTGCGTTTGTTCAGGTCCCTCATTCCCCTCAGCGTGGCGTTTTCGGTGCTGAGGAACTGACCCAGGTGTTTGTAGAGCACAAACACCAGCTTGGCAACGCCTGCAACCAGCAATAAAAAGATCATGAGACATGCAGAGAGAGCAAAACGAGTAAATTGAAATGATCTGTGCTGTTAAAAAAAAATATGTTTTCATTCACTAAATGAGGGTTTACTTTAGCAGCTAATTTCCATTCACTCTCAGTCTTTTGACAAAAACATCTATTAGTTTTATAGCCCTTCATAGTTTCAGTCGAATTTAATATTTTTGTCTGGTTTTAGTTTTTAGCATGAGTCACAACACTTGAGTCATTACTAAAACTTTTCCTCTTTGTATTAATTCAATAAGCAGATCAAAACTGGTATCAAGGTTGTACCAAGTGCTTAAATCATTTCACTCCCTTCAACTCTTTTATTTGTAAAATATCTTGATTCCTTTCCCAGATTGAAAAAAAAAACTGACCTAGACTTCCCTACAATGTGATGCTGCTGTACTGCACTGTCTCTGTTGATTTACAAGGAAGAGGAAAGTGCGTTTCACACAAATAAAAGAGGTAATACAGAGAAATGTGACTTCTTTCTGAGGCCCTTCTGGTTAAATGTCATTATTTTTACTTTTTTTTTTTTTTTTAATTCAGTCACAGACACAATACAACTTAATATTCACATTTAAAAACAATATCATAAAGAAAGTGACTGAAAAGGCACAGGTAGAAGCATAAGCTTATATTTAAGCCTGTCCTCTATATCAAGTGCACATATTAAGCTACCCAACAACAATTTTTACGCATACAAAAAATACAAAATAAAATACTAATTTCATAAAATCATAGAACAAATCATAACACTAACATATCCTCCTTTTCAAAAAAATCAAGAATAAATTCTCATAAAGAACCAGTAATAGAAAGTAACAAAAACCTTTACAGAATCATGAAGACTTATAGCCCTCAAAGATTGCACTGTAAACCATCCTTCTGAAAATCAGAAATGTACTACACATTCTTAAATTAATATGAGCATCATTCCAAAAGGAAACCCCTACAACAGATATACATCTTCTTTTAACCTGTTTTTTTTGCCCTTGGTACAGTAAATTTACAGACATCTCTTAAATTATACTTTGTCTCTTGAGTTGAAAAAAACCTTTGTATACAGGCTGGGAGTAAATTTGATTTAGCTTTATACATTACTTAAAGTAAAACACGTGTTTACAAGGAAAAGGGCTGTATTAGACCGCAATGACCTTAAACTGTACCTATAGTGACAGACAAGCTAATATTCAAATAAACAAACAAGGACATGGACAAATATTTGTCATCATAAATTTGTTAAAAATTTAGGAAATGTTCACTTGTTTTTAAGGTGAGAATAAACAAATACAATGATCCTTTATGTACACAGAGTACGAAGCCAGAGCAAGCAGGTATTTAGCTTAGTTTAGCATGAGAATTATGGGAAACTTTTAGCCTTGCTCAAACAGAAAATCAGCAGAAACTGCAGAGCTGGAAGAACATTTTTTAAGCCAAGTGTTAGAGTGTGACATGTAACAATGACCCAAAACGTAATTAAAAAGATGCAATAAAACCCCAAATGTAATAAGTTGTTGATAATGTAACAAGATGCGGAGCCAAAAACATAATAACTTTGTGCCAAAATGTAGCAACTTGTATTATTTTGGGTCATTTATTACATTTTAGGTTTTACTACATCATTTTGGGTCATTGTTACATATGGGGCTCTAACAAGCACATTTCTACAGACATCATCGCAGACTCATTGCTGACTCTTTGTACAAAACATAAAAACAAATGGTTTGTTATTTGGTTTTAATAGTCAGATTTAGAGAAGCTCTTTCCGCTGCTTGACGTTTTACTAAGCGAATCACCAGACGTCATCATCTTTAGTGTTCTGATTTGAGGGTGGTGGAGATCTTCTCATCTTCTTATCTTAGTCACAGTGAGAGAGCAGATTTTAAAAATTCTATTAAGAATTTCTGAGAAAGTATCTGATCTGAACGCCCTCATCTTTATTTAGCAGATGAAAAAAAAAAAACACACACTGCCACGTACTCTAGAAAGAAATTTAAAATCACCGCTGATAAAACCCCGAACAGGTCAAGAGGAGGTGAAACTCGACTGTGATTTCAGGAGTCTGGAGGAATCATATATTTCTCACCGTTTTTACTGTTGACTTTGACGGTGTTGGAGGAAAGCTGTAGAGTGGCTCCACCTTTGTTCGTCTGAGGGAACCTGAAATCTTGCACCTGACCGTCGGTGCTCAACACGTACACATCCAGCACTGTAAGAAAAAAAGAGGTGAAGATGGGAGAGAGAAGGATTTTTATTACTCACAAGAAGCAGTTCAAAAGCAGGACATGATGCTTAATAGAGCTCTACCGTTCAGGCCCAGCAGGGAGTGTATAAAGACTCGAGGTTTATTGTAGCTGTAACAGGATCCCATCTCATTGGCAGTAAGAGCATTGAGTGTCATTTGCTTAAAAAAATCATGTCACTAAGCTGTTGGCTGGCATTGTGAAACCCTCCGAGGCAAGAGCAAAAGGAAAAAATAACAACAAGGGCGATGATAGAGGATGAGCAAACGCAGGCACACAGCCTACTGCAGCATGAATGTCAAATATTCATAGGATCAAAAATATCATTGAGCTTTTACTTTTACTTTTTCTCTCCCCTGTGGGTTCAGATAACTCCGGGCCTCGACGAGCAAATCTCTGAAAATCCTCCAAATTCCAGCAGCCCTCTCTCTCTCCGGTATGCCAGCTGCCGGGTGGTGCTCCCTTTGATGTGTGAAATTACTGAAGGGTCAGGAGGACACACGTATCAGCACACTCCCTCCCATCAGAAATGGCCTCACTTCCTCAGATAGATGGCTTCTGACAGACGGAGATGAGGAATTGTTCTCTTGTTGCTCTCCCCCTCTGTCTAGTTTTTAGCACTCTCTCTCTCTCTCTCTCTCTCTCTCTCACCGTCTTTGCTCTCCCTCCTTCCCTCCTCCTTCCTTGTATTGCCCTTGATGCTTGCCTGGAGGTGCCGTTCAGGCTTCGACAAAACCGCTAATTAGGAGCAACAATCATTCGCCCCATTTTCAACTCTTCATGAGAGGTCAGGTAAGCTTTTCTCCGCGTTCCTTCATGTGGCTCTGTTTATGTTTGGCTGCTGCAATATTATCTCTATTGATGAGATAAGTGAGAGCTGGAGGAGCTCATAAAAACGACTGAATGCGGTCATTACAAGGCCAATATACATCATATTACACAATGTATTAATCAGAGCGTTTGGTTAAGACGGCGCAACAACTCCTTATCAGTCAAGCTAACTACCACTTAATGGGAAAGGCTTGGAGAGAACGGATAGAGTGCTGTATGAATGCAACAAAGCCATTCAATTGGTTTCTTTGTTTCCCCCCTCTCTCGGAGGTCTGGACAGTTCATCTTGCAGCACGCATTCAAAGAGGTGACTTAACTATGCACGAAAAAGATTAAAAATCACTGAGGTATAAGACAAAAGGGGTGAGATGGAGACCATAACCATAGCAACAAAGAGCTATGGGGAGAAATATGACAGTTCATTGCACAAGGGTGACCAGAATGAATGAGCTCATGTGGCTAATAAACTGCCTGTGAGGACATATTTTCTGAATCCGAGTGTTATCGTGACGTCAGCAGTGAGAGGCCATTTTTCGTAATGATTTTCTCCTTTAGAAAAAGCTGTCCACGCACAAAAAATACCACCCCGAAGACAATTTTTCCACTCACTTTGGAGCAATTGTACTGATGCACAGCCAAGTTTAAACAAACATAACCGTGAGGGCTATAAATTGTGACTGACAGATATGTGCGTGTGGTTTTTATCTTTTTTTTACAGTTATTAGGGAGGAACTTACTTATGTTCTCTGCAGGCACTTTTACGATCGCCGGCTCGATCAGGTTTTCTGCAAGGACAAACGCGCCCTCCTCCAGGGTATCCAGAAGCATTGTGGCAGCGTGGCTTTGTTCTGTGGAATTCATGTCTTTCCAGGATTTCAGAGCTTCCGGCCTCAGGAGGTTGTCAACAGTGTCCACAATTGCCTGTATCCATGGAGACAAGTGAAATGTCAGCTGGCTGTTTTGCCCCATCACAACTTCAGTTTAATAAGCTGAGACTGAGCAGCACATGATAAAAAAAAATAAAAAATAGGGGCATGCATGGCCGACAGTGACAGCAGCAACTGAAAACTCAAATATTAGGATCATTCTGACACAAGGGTTCGAGAAAGTAAAAGGGTAACTTAAATAAACATGATGATAAAAAATGCAGTATACAATGCTATTGATATTCCGTGCGGGTAAAATAGGCCTAATCTACGGAAGCCTGTTGGACCAATTTCTTTATTGAATAATGTAAAATGCTTGAGGGTGAAAAGAAACCAAATGTTTTTTTCCCTTTGTTGGATGAAGCTGTCTACAAAGCTGAATTCTCAATTCCTGGTTTAAGGCAGCTTTTTTAACAAAGGAACAATTATCATGGACAATACTCTTATTTCCCCTTATTTCTTAGCCCCCTTTGGCCTTGAATGCCAGTCCCCATGAAGGAACAAGGGCTTCACCATAAAACCCGTGACCAGAGTGGAAGTCTGAGTCCAGATTGGGGGAAATTTCTGCTTGTTTTAAATAGAAATCCTTTCATTTCCTGCTTTCTGATAAGCACTAAGTTAGCAAAACATTCCACAAAACCCACACAAGTATCATATGTTGATAAAACAAGCGTTTCCTTCGACCCTGGCGGGGCAAGTTCGTGACTCCTGCATGACACAATCAACAACCTCATAGCTACCTTTCTGAAATCCCACCTGAGACCGACAGTTTGTGTAAAGATCCAGATCTAGGGAAAGCCCTGGTGTGATAATGAAGAGTGACAATTTAACCATAGGTGCCATTAACCACAGTGAGACCCACCACAATAACGGTAATTAACCACAACAAGGCCCTGCTCACTGTACCAATTAGTCACAGCTGTGATTATCCAAAACACTAATTGACCACAGACAGGATTATCCGTTTGCCTGGAATTACGAGAAAAGGGGATCAAACCAGAGTGTGCACCAATATATGATTAACCGCAACATTTAACCACTGAGCTCATATTAACCACAGCAGCGATGATGACTGTGTCCAGACACTGGGCTCTCAGCGTGTCTTTATATCTTAGGCTAGAGCACAGAAATCAATCTCTGTGGCCCTGACCTTGCAGGCAACTAGAAGCTTGCAGGCTGTGACTATGACGGGAGCTCTTAGAGTGTGAGTGTGTGTCTCTGTGTGTGTGTCTGTGAGCAGGAGAGACAGTAGTGGCTATTACAGGGTCAGAGCCATTACAACTAGACAGACACTAAATGGTCTCCCTCCCCCTGCTGAGCCATCCTCAAAGGACTCCAAAAAGGGAAAGAGGAAAAAAAGTTGACTGTCTCTAATTTGTCTAGCGTAAGAAGGATCTGTGTTCTGATTAAATCCTTTTTAATTCTCGTCTGGGTGGAGGTCATTTTACCAACCACAAGGGTGCTACCAGCGGAGAGCCCCCGCCTCCCTCGTGGCGGGAGAGACAGCTCTCATAGTAAGAGGGAAAAGCACCACTTATTACTCCACTTTTAGCGAAACAGCAGATGATTAGGGGTGACACAAAAACAAGCTAGTAGCACAGGAAAGTTGTAATTACTGTAGGCACCTCAGTGTTGTGAACTAAATGCTAATGTCAGCTCGCTACCACGCTCGTATCTTTAACACCAACCTGCCAATGTGAGGGAGGTGTAATTTTCACTGTTAAACATCTCCGTGCGGTGTGTTAGCATGCTAATTAGCAGCGAACACAAGGTGCATCTGAGGCTGATGGGAAGTAATTAGATCTGCAGTTTGGACAAATTAAGGTTTTGATCCTATGATGGCACTAGATGAAGGCTCGAAGGCTCGCAGAAGCTATCACAACTCATCCTTAAAGGAAATGTAAATGTACGAGTAGCTATTGAAAAGCAGTGTAGGTAATTTCCGTAAAGAGAGGAGTCCACAGAACTTTACACATCAAAGTCTGTTTACAGGTCTTTGGTTAGCTGCTTCTGAACTAATTATGTGAATTAAGAACAAAGCTTGTTGTTGCTTCAAAGGCAGGTGTGAGCAGTTTGATATTTTTACTCGACTTTTGTCTCTTGATCAGCGTAAACTGGCAGTAAAGACAAAAACTGAGAAAGATAAAAAAAACTCTGATACTGCGTGGTTAGCTTATCGGACCTTTGTCTGCTTTCCTGCTCGCCAACAGAGGTTAGAAGCCACATTAGCTGCCAGACTTAAATCTCTGTGAACTGATCTGTTCGTGGTTGAGTTGCATTGTGGGTAAAAGGGACTCCCGGTTTTGATAAGACAGAGGTCTGTGTGGGATAAAAAGACAATATCTCTGGTTCTGCTGCATTGATTTTAATCCTTTTTAAAACTGTCCACTGTGGATAAAACAAAGTTAGAGCAGGGAGAGCACTATTTTCACACCACAAATGTCAGCCTCATGGTAAAACAGGAAAAGTTTTTTGGATAAACAAAGTCATTTGGGGTCATCCTCTGGGCACCATGAATGCCTATATAAATGTCATGGCTATCCATCCTACATAATTCAGTCTTGACCCCAGTGGTGCGCAGACGGATCGGCTTTTATCGACTCTGTGACAATGGCATCAATAGTATCATGCCGCTAGCATGGCTAAAAAGGCCTCCCTTTACCGCCTTTTTCTCTCAGCAAAATAAAACATTAAGTAAGAACAACACGAGCTTAAGGAGAACTATGAAATCTGATCATTTGTATTATGCCATGCAAGGCATCTCATCATCTCATCCTCGGAGTTCACACTCTGCCCTTGTCTTTCAGCAGCACCTAAAAACAAACTGAGGGAAAACACAACGTCTGGGGGAAAGACTGAAAAATCAGAATGGAACACAAACATATTAACGTGCTCAGAAATTAATCGCACAGACAAAACACAACTGCGACGTGAAAAGAGACTTTTCTTCAGTGGGGACAAGGGAGACCAGAAATTGTACAATGTAAGCAAGTGAAAATTGAGCACACTGCCACTTTGATCACACTTCTGGCTGACAGGGAGGTGCAATTACGACCGTGGGAAGGCAATTATTCACACAACGTATGAAAAGCCGACAAGAGAGACGGAGAAAGAGAGAGAAAAGAGTGGGGGAGGAAGAAGAAGAGGAGGAGGAGGAGGAAGAGAGAGAAAAATGAAAGATGTACAAGTGATAGCACACAGAGGAGGGGAAAAACAGGACAAAGAAAGAGTGATATTGACGCTGGCATCCTTAGATGGACGGAATGACAGCAGAAAAGACAGGCGAGCCGGATGAGGAAGCAGCTATATCTTGTACAAGCAGGTCACCAGGCACACATACTGTAACGAGACAGCCAAGGACATAGAGACAGACAGCGCTGCATGCCGCTGGTCAGGCGTTAGCAATGGGGGTTTGAAAAAAGTCAACATGAAAAGCCTACAGTAGTAGTTATACCTTCATATACGCCCTGCATGTCTTCTCTCGTTTTTGAAGCTTTTCCAAACAACAAGAAGATCAAGCACAGAAAGACAGATCGTAAGAAAAAAGGAAGCATTAAATCATGCCACTTACCATAAATTACAGATTTAATGAAAAGAAGAGAAGGCACAGGTCTACAAAATGTAGCGACAGAGCAACGGCTCTAAATGGTTTTTTTAGAGAAGCGGTGTTTGAAAGCTTAATATGAATATGGATCACTTAATAGTGAGGGGAACAGATGAGCAATGCACAGCAGTGAGGAGGGAAAAATGCTGAGACTAGACTCTAATGCTCCCCATTAGTAATGCTTTAAAATACACCGAGAGGATAAACAATTTGGAATAGGGTCATTTGTATTTCATGCTATGGAGAGAATAATACAGCACCGGCTCTTGTTAAAAACCCTCTGTTGGTGTGCTGGCATTAAATAAGTTCCCACGTCTTCCTAATTGAGTAAACCGGAGGAAATCACATCCTGTAGCTCGCACGCAGAATTGGTAAAGAATGAGACAAAATGTTCAGATTAAAACTCCCACATCTTAACTTGGACAACATCATTTACAAGCTTATCTTTTAAAACTTTCAATGAAAAGACAAAACCAGAGCCTTTTTTTTGTCGTTTAACCTTACTTTCTTAATCCTCTCTCTGATGCATGAATGCTGTTCGATAATATGATCCTGAAGGTGTAATTTTCCTCTAAATGCAACCAGGAAAAAAAAGTACAAGTTAAAAAAATACAGATTTTATCTTCACTATTGCTGTTGGTGCAAATCAAGTGTATCTGCTTATGGATTTCAATATCATGCAGAATTTTATCAGGAAAGCTTGATAGTCATAAAACTATCAAGAGTGGACCTGGACATTTTACGGCCCGAGGGCCACATCCGGCCCTTTAGATATCCCTGCTCGGCCCTTCGTGAGGTCTGTCAATCAAATCATCAACATGCTGTACAAGTGTGTTGCTTTTATTTTGAAAACCTAGCCGTTGTTTTATTTCTGTTTGGATGCACGTGCACATCCTAGATCTGCATTCGTGAACAGAGACAAGTTTCAACATCGGCAAAATATATGTAGATGCCTTATAGTTGCCAAGTCTGTTTGTTATAAACGACTTTAGGCTTGTTTCTCTCAGAAGTAGCTTGCAAAACCCGTGAGTTGCGGGTGCACTTTTTTTGGGCTTGTTTTTAACTAGTAGTTGCTTATTTGGACTTGCTTTTCTGTATGTGTGAACCCCCCTGATTTGAAGTTGAAGTTATTGTTGGTTCGGCCCTCCAACACAGTTCAGGTTTCTCATGTGGCCCCATGTAAAAATTAAATGCCCGGCCCTGATCAAGAGTCTCCTTTTACATTATATTAAGATGATTTCACTTGAGGCCTTTCGTTAATACTTGTAAATTTGCGACATAATCCTTTAACTTTGGTCATTGTTGTTTGCAATCAGTGGATCACATTGTGTTGGTGTCATGTTCAAATTACTAAAACACTCCCTTTGGTTAGAAACCTGTTCGCTCTTATCTTAAAATGCATGATAGTAATGAGTCTCTGTGAGCATTAAGGCACAATCAAGAGGCATCATTTAGGTGGAAATCATCTCATTTAACAACTGCTGTCTGGGAAGTCTGAATAACAATGTAATTTTTCAAACTGCCACTCATCTCTCCACGGGACTGCCAGCAGCTGAAAGATGCAGGCACGTTTTAGGCCTTCCCTTTTCTCGCCGAGCGCTCGCGGGAGCTCCAGGGGAGCGCAGTTCCGCACTTGTCAGCAGTGAGGAGTTATTCTTTGTGTTGGTAGGGGGCTCATGGCCATTAGCTCCTTTAAGGTAGAACTGCCAGGTGAGCCCGTGTTTCCAAAGCTGGTAATTACCAGAGAGCCGGAGAGGAATGAGCTCCCCCTCAGGGTGAGACCTGCCTCTCTAGACCCCTCACCTGACACTGTGTGTGTCCATGAATGTGGGTGTGTGTGTGTGTGGACATAAGCAGGAATGTATGTGAAGGGTTGTGTTTTTTTAGGTGTCCTGCTGAAGAATGTTCTAAGTCGTGCCTTCGTTGACTCCAGACAAAAGAGAGGGGGAAGCCAGACAGGAATTTCCACAGTACCTTGTTGAAGCTGCGTCCAGCTGAGTCCTTCTCGCTGGGTCGGAGCTCCTGCAGCTGAGCATCCAGGATATCCACTAGCTGCTCCATCAGGCGCACCGAGGAGCTCACGTCTCCTGCAAACACTGGGCCCTGTGTGTGCCGTGCCAGTTCATTGGCTAAATTAGCAGCATTTTCACCGCTTCGTATCTATAAACGGCAAAACACAGTCGAGTCAGTGAAGTGTCATTGAAACAGCCCTGCAGTGTAAAGAATAGTGTATCACATGTACACCTCAGGGCCACAATCCATAGCAACAGGAAAGTAATTAGGGAAAATTAATCGTGAAAAGACTAACTGTGAGCACAGAGATGTATCAACATAATTGTTACACACAATTAAAGGTCATGCATAAAAAAGAATTAAACTCCAGTAATCTGCTTTACAGTGTTTAACTTTTGACCCGATTTGTTGCCTACTTCAAACTACCTACTGTTTAAATAATACAGTAACCTTAATGGTAAAATGCTCTGGTGCTTAGTAAACAAGAAACTAACATACTTTTTTCATTATGCATTAAGAGCAAATGAGGCAATACACACAAGACATATTTCCAAAATGGGACTATGGAATTTCACTACCAATTAAATTTCACAAAGACATAGCTACAGCAGCTAATGTCTTAACATACAGACCCTAATTAGGAGTAGCAGGGAGGGAAAAACATTCATAGTAGGCAGCCTCTAAGGTGTAATTCCAAGTCAGAGATACCAGAAATTCCTGTCAGCAGTGATATCTCACACTGAGCGAAAAGAACTGCAGGAGTGTCACTAATCACAGGAATAATGGCTGCGAAGCCCCTTTAGTTGGTAATTAGCTCGAGTTCAAAATCAATAGAAACAAAATAGAGTCAGTACAGACAACTATTTACCTTTTTGTATTCAGTTTCACTTGACACTCAGCAAATATGTGAACATAGAGAAGCTAACTCTGGCGTCTATTTCCCTCGTGTAGCTACAAAGTAACCAGTGAGGTGAGCTAGCTTTTTTTAGTGATAGATGAAAAATGGATGCTGATGTTTTCAGTTTTTGGAAAAACAGCTTCAAAGTGCATTTTCTGGTGACGTCTTAGGATGACTCATCACATATATTCTGCATCTGTGCGCAGACACTATACGTTCCCTGTGCGTTGCATTCTGGGATAGAATTGTCAGGCCTGTCTGTAGACATCAAGCTGATGAACAGCTTATACTGGCTGTTTAAGTATTATTCTTAGATTTTTCCATAAGCTGATTATAATTGCAGTCTCGGATGGAATTAGGACACAGTTCATCACACAGTTATGCCACCGTCTCCCAAAATCCCCCATGCAAACACCCAGAAACCCTGACTTGAACTTGCTGTGAAAAGTTGTTTTTCGGGTCAGGAGAGGAGAAAAAAAAAGCGTCTTATGCTTAGAATACAAGATGCTCTGTGTTTGTGCTGCATTATGGTCGGTCTCGGCTGCTGAGAGTGAAACTGTGTGTCTGCATTAGATTTCTACCTGCATGGCTGTTGAACATCAAAGCAGACGAGCCTGTGAAGAAAGGAGCTCTGGCTCTTTTTGATTCTCAGTAGCTCACTGCAGAACTTGGCATTTACTCCTGATGTTTTGTGATGTGTGATCGCTCATTCCTCTCTGCTTCCACACGACATTTTAGCTACAAAAACCTTTAGTATTTTCCTCTCACATACCCCTTGACCATCTTGTGCAAGAAAAATAAACCAAGCACACAAAAAGGTTAAGAATTGCCACTAGATGTTTGACTCCGACTCCGTAACATGTTTGTTTGCTGCTATATTTTGTAATTGACACATTCCTGTTTTACCTTTTGTGCCACTTGAGTCACCCAGTGGGAGGTACAGTTGCTAAGGTCCGGGCCTTTGGAGCACCAGGTCCCTGCCACAGTGCAGAGGAAGGAGGCGATGCCTGCAGAAACCACAGAATAAACACCACAGTTGGAGGGCAGCCAAAAACCTTGCTAGAATACAGTTTCTCCTGCTGATGCCTCATTCATGCACTCTCTCTGGTGCAGGAAACTTTAACTGTTGGGCAGGAGCGACTTTTTCCAAACAATTTGAAAGCCTGCAAGCTGCGAGTGAACCAAGACAAAAAACTTTTGGAGGGGAAGCACTATCAGGTTCCTTCATTGGGCCTACAAAACTGTTTGTTTTTGCCTGAAACATTTCAGAATTGTAAACATTTGTATATAATGCTATACAAGACTGTGCATGTCTAAATGAAATGCGGGATAATTCCTAATGAATGCCTCGCAACTGACAACAACGACAACACAGCCGAACTCCCTTTTCACCCCCACAGTCAAAACATTGTCTCTTTTTTGCTTTCATCCTCCAATAGCCCTGCTTCATATTGTGACAGATCTGTCAGTCTCCGTGATGGGGTGTTAAGGTAACTTGTGTGAGATTCCTGCATGAGAAGCATTGTCAACTGAACCGGTGTAACAACCAATCAACACATCGTTCTCCCATATGATGACTCGTTAATGATGACTTGGGAATAAGTGGCGATGTAATGGAGACATTTAATACACACTCTGCTTTTGAAGTTTTCTTTCTTCTTTTCTTTACTTTCTCAATCTTCACCAGTTTCAGGTCTTTCTAAGCTAAAGGAAACAGCATCTATTTTCCTAACGAGCTCATTATAGCAAGAAGAAATATCTTCTTTAAGTCTAATACAAGAAGGAGTGATATACATTGTGAGATTGCATCAAAAAAGGGAGTCTCGTTACCTACTCTTAGGAAAGTGAAAGCCTCTCATCACGCTAGATTACAGCTTCAAATTTGACATGCCCTCTGGCTAAAATGTCACACATTGTTACATGGTGCCAAAGATGGAAATAGAACATTATCGCCTCGAGCATAAATAAAGTAACAGGGCCATTTCAACATTTATTTTGAGGATCTTTGAAGTTTTGTTCCAGATCATTTATTCGCTGAAAGTGCGATTCTATCATTCTCTTTAAAAAGCTTGAATGTTTATTGAAAGAAAAGAAAAGAAAAGAAAAACACTGACTCTGGTTATCTTCAATAATAAGAGTGTGGGTGTGCACATAATCAGAATTATTAAAAATATCTGGACTTAATATGAAATGAAAAACCGGCTAAACACGCTGATACAACCCAACGCTATTGATCTTATGTGTTTTGGCAACGAGGAAAATATTAAAGGTCATAGCTTTGTTTCTTAATTTCCTGTCAACAACAGAAGTAGGAATATAACTCCTGTATAAATAAAAATACATATAAACAAGACACTGGAGTCCCAGCAAATCATCTGATAAGATACACAGACCAGTGTTTATTGGCATGGGCTTGTTATTGTGTATAAGCTGCTTGTTCAAATTTATATTATTCATAAACTATGACGATATACACGAGGGTTGGGACATGCATTAAATTTCATAGTGACTCAAGTTCAATCTTAGGACATAGTAATTGTTTGTAAGGAATATTGTAAATATGAAAACCTCATTTAAAACAATTGTTATATATAATTATTATAATTAACATCAAAGCCTCTTAATGAGCTACAAAAGCAAAAAAAAACCATAGCAACAACAATTAATATTATTCTATGATTTGATGTCTGTGATCTCTGCAAGGGGGGAAGGTGTCAGATGAGGTGATATACAGTAACGTGAAAGAAAATCCCAGTGTTTGACTTTTTCTCACCATAGGTATTCAGGATGAGTGATACATTTCACTTTTTAAGAAAGCAGGGGGAGGTCTGTTTTCAGAAAACATGATGAACACCTCTAGTGTAGGCCAAGATCAGCAGAGAGGGAAGTATCAGTTTATCTACAGGGGGCGTCAAAGTCAACACAAACAGAGAGTTCCTCACTGGAGCTTTAACTAACCTCTCTCTATTAGTTTTAGGGATCTGTTTTTCAGCAGGAAAGTGGGTTTAAAAAGGTTCATGAAAATCTTTGAACATTAAAAACAATGTGAGTTCAAAGAAAAACTATCAGTTTATGATCCTACCTCTGGTCCCTTTAGGGCAGGGTCTCTCCACAGTGTTCCCCGTGTGGGTCTGGGGCCAGTCGATGGCTCTCCTCCTGGTTGCCTCACAGAAGCGTCTGGGTGTAGGAGGCATTTCAGGTACAGTGGGCTCTGCTGTACTAGAGCCACGATTGTCCTCAAAGGGGTCCCTCCCGTCTCTCGGATCTGCTCCTCCCACAGTGGTTTCTCCCTTCACAGTGGACGCAGCGGTGGTGCTGACGACTGCGGTGGTCTTGGGTACAGATGGCGAAACCGACATATCTTCAACAGCCGGCACTAGAATGACAGAATGGAGAAGCTGTTAGAGTCTGAGTCATAAACGTCCCTGTGCTGAACTCCTATCATTTCCAGCAGTGGGGGAAATGTAACTGTTTTGAGTCCCGTGGCTTGTTGGTATTGCCGGAGTTACTGCTGGCCATAATTCTTCTAAAATAAAAAGCCTCGTGCCACTTTCAGTCGAAACTCCACCCTCTCTACCACTACACAAAACAAATGCAAGCCTGACAGTGCTATCTATCCGTTGCTATATTTAGTATACTTAAGCCCATAAATAAGACAAGCATGGGTGGCGGGGCATCTTTTGACACATCAGTGATTTCTTCCCCAACAGAGTCAGTACCTTGGGCTGATTAAATGTCAACAATGAAGACAAAGCCTGTCTGCATTTGACTTTTTTCCCTGCCTTGTTCATCTCCCTCACTTTGATAAAGCTGCTGCGCGGAGGGAGAACTGCACTGCTCCGAGCAAAAGCCATACATCAGCAATAATGCGATTCCTCTGTATTCAATCCACGCCTACCCTGCACAGCGGTTGGTTCTGTGTGTGAATGCACATGTGCGAGCGCGGCTTGTGTTTGCTCCACTGCTTAGGTGTGTTTCAGATTCCGACCGGTGTGTGCACACGTGTGAAAATATGCGGCAGAAAGCCTGGAGATAAGTATGAAACGAGAGCAGAAATAGGAAATCTATACATTTTTTACAGGAGGAATAGCCAATGTGAAGGAAGTGGATGTTTACGCGTGTGTGTGTGTCTACATGGATGTAAACTCTCACTGTGTGAAGGATCAAACATTTTACTCACAACCCCCTGATTGTATTTAGAGATAAAAAAGCTGCTTCCCACAAGGAGGTCTGCCGTCATGAAAGACACTCTGGTGCTGTGTTCAGGTATCCTGCATGCTTCTGGGAAAATGCAATATCATGCTATCTTACACACCATCATGAGACACATATCTCCATTTCCCGAGGGGGAACGGTGACAAAGCTCAGGGTTCTTGTGTCACTAATCATCAAATCAGAAGAGAGCTTTGTTTTTTTTTTCTTTATATATAAAAAATCCGAGCTTATGACAAGGTCGATATCTCATGATGTGTTCAGAAGGCCACAGTGGGAAGGGAGCAATGTTCCTGTGATGCTCAGTGTATCAATCATATGAAACTCAGACCACCCCACGGTGAAGCTGAATAGTGACATTTTACTCAGTGACCTTTTCCACTGGCAAGAGCCTCAGCTAATTACCTTACACCCTTTCAGTCATTGTGTGTCTGTCACACACGTCCACAGGTCGCGCAGGCCAGCGTGGCTGCAGGAGCAACAACTGACGTGAGTGGTTAGTAGCCGCAGCTAGGAAGGTAAATTTACTCCAGGGAGCTGGTATATCGAAAATGGCAAAAATAATTACCATGCGATGTAAATCCTGTGAAGGACCTGAGGTAAAATAAAAGACCTTAAAGCACCTCAGTCCTGTGCAGTAATATTAACTCACAAACAACTTAACATGTGAACAACTTAATATGAGATAAAGATATAATAAAAGAATCAAAAGTTTCCAAAATACAATGTAAAACCAGTCAAGTTTTTCTTATTGACTCAGGAAAAGGGAGATGATTCATAGGCTGGCTCAGTTGATTCAATATTCACAGATAATGTAATACTAGGGCAAGTGTAATTGGGTTTTACAATATTAAACCTCTCGATACCTGAGCAAACTTCCACTTTTCCACAAGCTTATATATGATCTAATATGCACCTGCCTGTTCCGGCATGCTGGCATCACCTGATAAACCTACTCCTGAGACTTCAATGTCGCTGCCCCAGAGTCACAAGTCTTCATTTTCAATTTTTTCCTTGTCATTTCGGTGGCTGCAAATGCTTCTTGATAGCAGATTTGATCATTGGTGATTACATCTATTTCAGGTTACAGCAATGAAAGTCAAGATGAGTTTAAAAATATAAACCTGTTCAAATCATCCTGTTGGTTTCACCACAGTCAAAATCTCTCACCAAGAACACAGGAGATGGCTTCAAATCAAGTTTTTGCTCAGTCAATGGTGTAAAAACCCCACAGTATTCAAATTTTTATCAAAGACAAAGAGAAAAAATAGGATTTTCAATTTTAACACAGACTGTGGTCAAAAAACAAGGATTCTTTTGATATTTTCGTTAAAATGCAAAATAAAAGCCCTTGCATATTTGGCTTCAAATGGAATTTTTCATTTCTTTTACATTTCAAAAGGCACATTTCCCAATTCTAACCACCATAGCTCTGTTGAAAGACTCACCAAAGAAGATAAAACTTAACTATCATTAAGAATAAACTGCATTTTGTAGAGTGGTTTGTAGAAAAAAACAACATTTTTCCTGGTTGCTTATTTCCCCTTTCATATGCATCCTTCTGGATGGACATGAAATCAAATCACTTTAATTAGAAGATGTCCACTGGAGGATTTCTCTAATCAGAGAAGAGACAAAATCTTTGTGGGTGTTTTAAGCCAGCATGTCTCGGTTAATCAGTGTGTGATTGTCAAGACCATCAAATATACAACGTATCTATTTAATACTACATCAAGAAGTGTGCTTGTCAGATAGCGACGCGTTTGTTAGCTTATTTTGATGTCTCTGCACCAGGGGTGCGGCAATTTTGCTTTGATTACAAGGAGCAGATTCCCGTCCAGAGCTGAGTCCTCTGATAGCACTCAACCCAGAGAGCGCTGCACCAATTAGCTACCATTTCTCTGGAGAGGCAGTGAAGTCACTCTTTATGGGCAATCTGACACCAAAGGCATACTGTTGCCATATGCTGAATAATACCTCTTGTAAATAATGGACAAGTCTGAGATTGAACACTTGAAAAATGGCTGTCACTGGAGTCTAAACAGAGTGTGTAAATTAAAACAGAGCTAAAAGGAAAGAAAACCATTAGACAAGATCATCCATCAAGTTATCGGAGATGAGACGGAATTAGTTTTATCACTTTATGGCCCCCAAGAGTCATTTATGTATCTGGAGGGAAGATGAAAAAAATATTAAACTATAATCAGATGATCAGAGGACTACAAATTCTGTTTGTCGTCGCTATTGCAACTTATACCAGAGCTCTGGAGAGCATGTTTATCTCCAAGTACACTCAAGCAGTCAAAGCATTTTAAGCTACCGATCTACCTTTCCATACAAACACCGGGATGAACGGATCATAAGCCGGCTAATACCTGCTATTAAGGAAGAGCAATGACAACTCACCACCAAGTTAAGCGGTTAAGAGTGGTTTAATTTTTCAAGATGGATCGCTTACCAGTCTAATCCTCCCAGTACAATATCAAAAGTCACATGTAGTTGAAAAGAAATATGTAAAAGGCAGCGAAAGAAAGAAAAAAATCAGCCCTATTAAATGCTGCAAAATTAATCAGTGTGCTCCAGTTTCCCCTTTTTAGGGAAGCATCTGATACAGCTGCATCCTGCTGTAAAACTCGGTTTCAATTAGGAGGGATTCATTTCAAAACCATATGAGATGGGGAGTGAGCTTCCTATTGTCGATCCAAATTAAGACGAAAAATATGTTCCTCACAGCTGTGGTCTATTTTCCTTTTGATTTCGTGAACAACATGGTCGAGAGAAGAGCATCCTAAATGTATTAGTGGAGAAAATCACTTTAGCGACTTGGACGACACAACAACTTACCTCTCTCTTTGAATTGTTCTTTCAGTTTAGTCTGAGTTGTATAAAAAAAATGTTATCATGATATCTCATTACTTCATTCTGAGTTATTTCTTACTCATTTGTCATTATTAAAGATTTGACAAGCCTTCAGGTTCGGTTTCTGGAGAGACCGTTGACAGCTAGTTTCCTATTGGCCCCACAGCACACAATAAGACTCACACAAAACTAGAATTTAAGATTACCGGTGGAAAATTTGTAGACAGCAGGCTCAAGTGAGACGACTTAAGAGAACTGATTTAGAGCATATGCTGTTAAACTGGAGGTAAAACAGCGAATAAGCTTTTCCCATGCTGTCAAATTAAAACACACAACTATATTTCAATTTTAATTTTCCTGTTCTTAAAAAAAGTAACACCTACTCTCTTACTCTAAATGTGTTTTGATGTGTTCTCTTATAATCCGTTTTATTACATTTCCAAGCTAGCCTGTATATTTTCTGTAGTCTATCCTCACGATGTACCTTGCTGTAGGACTCACTTTGCTTTCATGGTCCTATATAAATGTTTTACACTCAAACTGCATCACAAGAACAGCAAGCTACTGTTAAATTTAACTTAAGCTAGGCTGAATGGCCTCCGGCGATAGCTTCATATAAAGAAGTAGAGTAAGAGTCCTTGTACCAGGAATGAGCGAGCATTTTTTATCCTCCCAAGTCTTCTGGGCTTTACAGTTGGATTCAATGTTATTCCTGAAATATGGTCTGTGGCTGACACGAGCTCACAACATTTTTCAGAGCACCTGGATTTTGAAGCTTTTGCACATCTTTAAAAGGCAGCTTCTAAATGATTTAACAGATGGTATCAGAGACACTTAGCATCCTCTGCTCAAAATCGACGGTGGTGATGTTAAGAGTAATGCTGGCGTGACAAACCTCCTTCACGGCCTAATATTAGCATATAACCATATAGGACCAAACATCCGATTTTTTAGCCTGCCGTGAAGCTTTTTCAATTCAGTTGTATAAATGTAAATAAGTCAAAGGGAAATTCCCATTGGATCTATGTCAAGGATGCTAAAATTGCTAGTTACTCCATTTATAGAGATGGGGCGAGCGTTGAACTCTCATCTCATCCTTGACTTGAAAGCAAATAAGTGTATTCCCCCAAATGTTGAACTTTTGCTCCAGCTTAAGCACTGCTTCCACACTAATGATGCCCGATATAGCACAAAGAGTGACTCAATGCAGGTCTTCATATATCCATGTGTCTTTTTTGTTGTGCGTTCGAGCTTGACTTAATAACAAGACCGTCTCGGAGGATAAGAACTGTGTAGGAGCTACAGTTGGTCTTTTCGCCTCTTTACCCAGAGCCAGTGCTGGTAATTAATGACAGAGAGACGAATCCCACATGACATGAATTTTACATTAGGTTGTTTATATGCACTCATGCTGTTCTGCTTCATTCAAGCTCACAACTTGGTGTGCTAAGGTAAAGAGCCAGAAGACGAATCATGCGCTGTCTTATCCAAGGCTGCGAAGAATATGTCATTATCTGCTAAATGAAAGAAAACCCCGGCTGTCGAAAAATGGTTTCGGGGCTCGCTGCTTTATTGGCATTTGTTCTTAAAAGAGCAGTGGACAGAAAAAGCTCTGCTGGACATACCCTGTGTCTGTATGGGGTAATTTATGAGGCCTGAAACCCAGCACTGTGGAGCAGTAGACGCTGCGTTGTCACAACTAGACGGTCTGAGTCAGAGGAAGGTGGCAAAGCGGCTCACAAAGCAGACACACATGCAGACAGGATGATATACGTGCAGACAGAAATACTCTTCAAGCAAAACCACTCGAAAACTTTGCTGTCGTCTGTGCCTTTAACATACACTTTTTTCTGCTATAATTCTGCCGGCGTTGATCCATGGCAAGAAGCAGGACAATTAAAGCTTTTGCAGATCTCCTGACTCCTCTACTTTAGCCTCTATTTCTGTTGCTGCAGAGGGTGGAACATAGGCTTAGTGCATGATACATCTATAAATGTCCTCCGTCTTTAAGGCTCACCTGGAGACGTCTTTCAGGGATTTAAAAGTGAACCAAAGTCCACTGAGGTGCACAGCTGGGTTTAGCCACAAAATGTCTGGGTCAAAAAAACAAGCTGATTTGAGATGTAATATATCCATCATGAAGCATTTATTGATATTTCAATCCAACGCAGTGACCACTTGTGCTTACTGCCAGCAGATAACACTGAGTGGCAAAGCCTTTTGGACAAAGCCATTAATTTTATGCCTCTCGTCTTAAAGGCATTAGATCAATTCTACCTCAAAGACAAATTAATTTTCTCCTTTCTCTCCCTGTTAGTTCCCACTGCTCTTAGCAATTAACGGTCCCTTTGATTAGTTTTTTGAATTCACTGGACTGAAATCAGTTAATGCTTTGCACATCACAAGGAATGCATTACAGTTGTCCCTCTAAGTTTTGTTACAATAGGCACTTGGGTGTGCTGTTTATCGGCATGCACCTTTCTCAGAGAGACCTCTAAGGGGCTGGACTCTAAGTATTGATCACTGCTGTTTGGTGTTCACAATGAATTAGCAAAACACAGACATTTTCTTTAACTGCGTGTGAATTGTTTGGAACAATAAGTAGAAGGATCGATACGGGGAATGATCTCAGCTAATCACCTCAACCTGAAACAGAATACAGAAACCGGCATGTTGCAACACTCCACACAAGGTGAAGAATGTAGCATCAGGCTGCTGAGGTCAATTATTTTCTGCTTTGATCACTTTGCTGAAAGACCCTTAATATAAACCTCCAATCCTACCGACGCTTCTGCACTTCTCCGGGATGGGCTTTACAGCCAAGGTTGACGTGTCTGACAGAAAAGGACGCAGACGCTCATTGTGCTACACAAGTTCTTACAAAGCCGAGAAATACACTGGGTTTGGAGCTAACTTCACTCTGTGGTCGATGAATCTTAATGGGCACAATTAATTTCCTTTACGCCTCAAGTGCCCCTCAGTTTCGGAGAGAGAGACATTATTTCAGCACCATTAGATTACCCTGCAGAATAGGTTGTTTAATTCAACGCCATATCATGGGCAGCAATAAATCCTAATAGCTACACAGTAAAGAAGTTAAAGGTGTAGATCCGAAAAAACCTAATAAACAAGAACCAATTATTTTCAAGTGCCATTCTTGGAGCAGCGGGCTGCTGCTGCTGGCCCGGAGTTTTCTGGGTTGCCTCCCGAGCTCACAACATTTGGAAATGTTCACATAAAACACACTTAATGATCCAAAGTGACAAGTTCTGCTGAAAGGATGCATTTCTGATTGGATCCCAATACGGGCACGTGGAATAATGAGGGAAATCAACAACTATGTTCTGCCAGGGCTCCTTGATTATATGCAATGTTCCCGCAGCAAGTAGCAACACTAAGCCTATGTGGCATTTATGTTTACCGAGGCATTACAGTAGCTGAGAGAGAACATTAAACCCTTCATTGAAAATGCTCTGCGAAGGCCACTTCCCTCCTCTCCTTCAGCCTCTTTTGAGACAAGGAGGGTAATTATGATAATTCAGCTGTTAATTACATTTACATACATCAGGACGTGAACAGTCGAGCAGGCAGTTTGCATGCATGGCAAACTCATTAAAGTTGGAGTATTTTTTCATATCTCCTCTAACATACTCATAATTGAGGCTTTGGTTGTACAGCAAAACAGACACAAACTCAGAGTGTCTCCCCCCTTTCCCCTTCCCCCCCCCCCCAACTCCTCATCCTGGGTGTCAAGTTATCATGCGAGGCAGATTCAAGGCAACGGCAGGAAAACAAACAGACACGCTGACAAGAGGCCAGAGTTCAGGAGCACACAGCCACCATTGAGACATCAATGTAAAGCTCCCCTCAACAGCTCAGGTCAAGAATCAAATTTCCCCCCCTGGTAACCCCTCCTCAGAATATCCAGAAGTTAAAAATCATAACCTAATCCAGACCAGCGCTTTGGGGCAACCTGAGCCTCTAATATGACATGAAGTCAGGTCAAGCTCCCTATTTCCCTGCGTAAAACAGGAGACTTAGCGAGGATCTATGGCGGTTGGACGGTTGCGGTCGGGTAATTAAGTTCATCATCAGTATAATGGAAGGTCCCTGCCTGATGACACGTATGTCACCTTTCTCCACTTCACAGATTAATTTAAGCCCCCTAACCGACTGACAAGATCCTTCACTGTAATTGATCTCCCCTTCCAGCTATTCTACTTCTCTGATTCACCATGTGCTACATCAGTCACACACACTTCAGCCCGGCGGTTTGAGAAATATTATGCCACAATAGAATGGCGATTATCTCCTGATCTGAAAAAAAGGCTTCTGTGAAGTTGATGAGGTAGCCATGGCAACACTACTTGAAATCCAAAGGTAGAAAAGAGTGGGTAACCATTGTCACACTGTGCACAATACTTCACATACACATTCCAAGCTGAGAAAAAAATACATATTATCATAATGGCTTTTGATGGGGCATTAGATTAAAGAATTTGATAGGGTCCAGGCTTCAGCTGGAGTGAGTGCCTCAGCTCACCTCACGGTAATAACAAAAACAGCATTTTGAAGCGGCTCGGTCCCACTGGGAGCTATCCCTCATTCCAAGGTGAATCTGTAATTTTTGTCTGCAAATGAGCCCGTTCCCCAAGACTAACACAAGCCCTTTTTTTCTTTTATCACACCTGAATTGCATCCAGAATTAAAAGGCAGCCATCTGTGACCCTCTATGCAGCAACCAAACAATAGGAGAATTACACAATCATAATGAGGTGGAGCAGCTCTTACCTTCTGCAGGATCAGGCGGGCCGAAGTCCAGGTCGTAGCGCAGGATGTAAAAGTTATTCCACACGTACAGCTGGTTGTCCCTGGGGTTGTAATCCACAGCGGTGATGTACTGGTACTGGTTAGGGAAGAGGATGTCGGTGTACTCGCCCTGGCTCAGCTTGGTGTTGTAAATGTAATCAATTTGGCTCCTGCTGGCCTCGCTCTCATTCTCCTCGTAGGTCGATCGCACCACATGCAGCACGCCGCACACCATAAAGGCGTTGGAGGCAGAGCGCTTGTCGTACGCCGTCTCCCATGTGGCCTCGAAGCGGAGAGTGTAGGGGTTGAGCTGGCTCACAACAATGCGCCCATTGTTCTGCTCTGTTGCGTAAATCACCCATAAGCCCCTCTCGTCTACCGCCAGATCGATGTCCGTCTTGCCCCCCCAGCGGTAAGGTGAGGTGTCGTGATAGTTGGCGTTGTTTACAATCGCCTCGCCACTTTTGATGCGAGTTCGCAGATCGAACTTTACAATGTTTCTTGTGCGTTCCTTGTTAAAGAAGATAGCACCATCGTAGGCCACAAAGCCAGTACCGTCAACGCGGTGCGGCAGTTTATAGGTGGTCGTCTGGCGGCCATTTTTGAAGTCCTCAAGCGAGGCGTACTCGATGAGGGTGTCAGTGCGGTACGGCGTCCAAGGCATGAAGAAGACTTTGTCGCCAGCCTGCAGTGGGTCTTTGCACCACGACCCCGCTTGCTGCTCAGCCTCGAACAGGAAGGTGGCGTCTCCTACACCCTTCAGAGTCCCGGGACAAATGAAAACTAGTGACAGAGAGGGAGTGAAACAGAATACAATGAGGGAAAGTGTGACAAACACACGTGACTTTTATGACACTCTTTTTTCTCGCTGCTGTACAACTCAAGAGCGGGATAAAAAGATCAAGGACTGTGGATTTGGAGGAATTTTCAAACTAGCATTTTGCACTATTGCTAGTGAATAGGGAAAAGGAAAGTAAATGAATGTGTCAAATGGATTATTCAGAATGAGAAATGTGAGAGGACTTGCATCTCAAGGGTCTGCTGCTACATCCTAACAGGGACAAAACAAACTCAAATGTGAATGAAAAAAGGTAAAAAACCTGCAAATGAAAGACATGAAGAAATGAAAGAAGAAGTCCCATCGTCTTTTCTTTTTCTTTTTTAAAATACCAGCCTGTCTTTGACGTCAAATGCCACATGAACAGGTGGGTATGTAGACACACTGCACATGCATACCAAGGTTGTGAAACAAAACAAAAAAAAGGGAACAGACTTCACATCTTGTGATAAGAGTGAACAACAGGTTGTCGATGATGGTGGCGGCAGCAAAGCAGAGGTAAAATGAAAGTGGAGGTTGGGGGAATTGATCGAAACAACACTGGTAAAGGACTTTCACTACTTCTGTGGCAAAAGACAAAAGTAACCACTGATGGATGAGGGAGGGAGGCCATGGCACGGTTCCATGTTTAGACGCTTCAAATTAATTGGTTTGAGATTAAAAGCGACACACTGGATTCTTGTTTTCCTTTCCGTCTTTCTTTTTTTTTTTTTGTCGGTGCCAATCTCACTCAGCCATCACTGCTTTTTTACATCACGTGCATCAAAGTTGGGCCAAGCAAACTCAGACTGTGCCAAATAAGAATATACTGTATAAATAAATGCTACTCATTTTTTCATGGGTTAATACGGAGCTAGGCAAGAGTCCCTGGAACAAATCAACACCCAACAGTTGGTGTTTTCTTTCACATTGCGAGAAAAAAAAAAAATCTACATTTGATGATCGAGGATGTCATTTGAAATTCTGTTTGGAAAATCATTTGGACTCCATGGGTGCAAACAATCCTCCTATGGGGGTTTAGCGTTTGACAGGAGAGGCAATCAGGAGAGGGAAGAGGAGGAGGAGGAGACGTGAGGGGAGTTCTACTCAACACCACAGAAACAAGGAGCCAGAAGGGGGGGAGGGGGAGGACCAGACCACTCATTTACCTTTTTGCTCCACTTCTATTTCAGGCATTGGAAAAGAAAGCAAAAAAGAGTGCAAAAGGGAGAGAAAGGTTATCATGAGTCAACTACCAGGTACAAAGAGAAGAATTAGTCGGAGGACATGACCATGAGATGAACCGCGGAGCTGCTTTGGAAAGAAGAGTGAAGGGGGGGAAAAAAGAGTGTTTGTTAGTGAAATGGCCTCTCATCCTAGGATATAAAAACAGACGAGTTATGGCTGGAGACAAGCTATGTGCCATGCTTTCCAGAACATTAAACTTTTCATTTCTGTCGTGCTTAACTGCCAACAAAATAATGCACCGGCCACTGTGAAATCAGGATAAATCCCTCTAAAAATGCTTCTCCTAAGTGGCAGAAGAAATAAAAACCTCCTGCTCATATTTAGATGGATAACATTCTTAGAGAAACACCACATGAGTTATTTTTGGCATGTATTGACCAAGGGTGGAATTTGTTCAAACTTTATAAACACAAATCAAATCTCCATCCCCAAAACTCGCTCGCCCACACACGAAAAACATGACACGGTGCTAATGTTACAGACCAAACTCTTAAATGAGCCAAGGAGAGCAACAGCACATGGGATGACTGATGAACAGTCCGCCTAATATGGAGTTTCTTTAAGCTGCTTTCTCTGGGCGGAGGAGTGGGAGAGGCTGGAGACAATATGTGAAAGATTGGAGGTTTTAAAAAATGAGAGCGTAAAGGTTAGTCAGGAAGGTTGGGGGGCAGGAGGTGAAAGGGAGGTCTGTTTGGAAGGAGAAAAAAAGAGTTGAATATTTCTGAAAGTGTTTACAATTCATCAATTTAAATACTAAGTACTTTCACAGGCGAGGGTAAAGCCTTCAGGTGCTTTAATAAACTACCCTGAGACATCCTTTTAAGGTGGATTACCCTAAATCAGACAGCAAAGACAGATTTTTAAAATACAGCTGGGTTTAAAATTCGGCACTACATTTAATTAAACCATGCCCACAAAGAACCACTAACAGACTCATAACAGAACAAATATGCAAAATCACACCAGGCTGTTTGGGATTTTTATCACTTTATCTTTGTTTTGCATCATCTTTAATACCTTTCCACAGGACAAAAGTGACGGTAATTTGCTAATGAACAAACCGTAATGTGCCAAATTCTTTGTAATCCCACAGCAGCAGAAGACATATCATCCAAAGCCACTGTTATTAAAGCCTTTAAAGGGTCCATAAAACCAAATTGTAAGAACATATATTTTCTTTGTTACCCTCAAGTGAGATCTAGTCATGCAGATAGTTTTGGTGTTACTGCCAAGGTTTGGAAATATCTGCCTCAGAGATCTTTCCGCCCTTCAGATACAACCGAAGTGAACGGAAAGTTGTCTAAGAGAGCCAAACTGTGATAATATTTTTTTAAAAATGAGCAGTTTTCTGGGTAATTAACCTTCACAGTTAAAATAGTTGTTCACTGTAAAAGGTGCACTGGTTTTTAAAGTTAAAGCTCCTGTGAGGAAGTTTCTGTGCGTGTAGATTTTGGCACCCCCTGTGGACAAAAGCTGCACCTGTTATCCCTTCTCCTGCTCTGCTACATGCATCAGTATGTAATAAAACTCATTCAAGAGTCTTATATGAGTCAAACATACCACTCAATGTGAAGCTTTTTCTTTAGTAAATGTAGAAAAGGCTGTTTTGGAAGGTCACTATTAATTTCCATATTCGACATTGACCCTGCAGCAGCGCATCAAAAATAACCACTCGGAAATCATCTCTCCTATTTCTCATGGTTTCCTTTGCTTGCCTAAGGTCATAAAAGGCATTTCAGCCTGTTTCATAAATAAAAAACTCCTCACAGGAACTCTTACTTTTGCTATTTTGTTATAAACACAAACATCAAACCACAAAATCCATTAATTGGTGTTATACTTGTGTTGACGCAGAGTTCACGCACCCTTCAGGACGGGGTCTGATAACATCAAACAGAAAACAAGTCCTGAATCAAACAGACTTTTTCAATTGACTCTTTATGAATCTCTCCTCGAATCTATTAGTCGACATTTGTGAGTAACTTCTGGAAGTAATAATCCTTTTTCAAATACAAAGGTGATGTAAATTAAATTATCATAAACGGATAATATTTTGAGTAATCTTTCAACCAAATGTAAAGGTTGAAGCCTCTTTTGTTACTCCGCCAGTTAAAAAGGAGTCTTTGGGTTTAGTGTGTTGGACAAGAGATGGATTTCGAAGGCGTCACCTCAGACTCTGGAAATCATGATGAGCAGTTTTCACAATCTTCTGACATTTATTTGCCGTTTTATTTGATGGCGACAAAACCCTAAGTTGCAGTCCAAGAATTCGGATTTTACACCTAACGTTTTACAAGCTTCTTACCCTATAAGAAGTAGATCCTGTCACGCAACTGTAACGCTGATGGGCTTAGCATATTGACGAAAATGTGAATAGGATTTAGTCTATTGAATGACAAGAGCAACTGGTCTCCTCACATCCGTAGAGTGAGTTTTACAGCGTGATGTTACTTTTCCTTCACATACAACCCGCAGCTGAGCGCAGAGAGAGGCTGGATGGCAAATTCTACCTCTGTAGGACAAACTCAAGTAACAAATATGTTGAGTAAAGAAGTCTCTGTCCAGTGACCTTGACCTTTTCTGGGTATTTAGCCAACTGGACACCAGATCTGTAGCGGAAAAAACCCCATCAAAAGTTACCCTGAAGACAGCTTTCTGTATAAATGAAACCACATCTTTCAGCATGACCAGACTCCACTGGAAGTAATTGAGGCAGTTAACTTTGTAATTTTGGTGAACTGACCCTTTAAATGCCTGCCACACTTAATGCTTCAACTTAATTTGTAATCATTAACGCTAGTCTCCTTCTAAATACTTTCAGTTTCCAGCTGAAGCATCATTTGTACCATCTGTAAAACAAACACGGTTACAGCACATCCCTCTATTCTAAACACACTTTTAGAAAAATCACAGCATAAGAGATGGGAATGAGATTAGGATGGCGATACTTACTATAGGGAACACACTCATACTGGACCTCTAAGTACTTGTAGGTGCCAGGGCATGGATCGGGAAAGACATCAGAGCCAGTGACAACCACACACTGCGTACGGTTGTTGCACCTAGAGAAAAGAGATTGACCAGAGATTTCATCATGACTACCCACAGCAAGAGTACTCGGCAAAGACAACATTAATAACACAGAGGGGGAAAAGTTCAGCGTTACAGCTACGGCTAGAAAATTGACGAAATCCCGGCCTGGACTGTCGCATATGCATTCTAATTTAGACCTTGGCAGACAAGAGGGAGGAATTTGAGCATTAAGGAAGAGTTAAATGAACATGAGCATATGTGACAATGAATAACAGAGTGAGAGAGAGCTGCTAAAGGCATGGGGAGAATTGGAGATGGCATTTCCTTTAACAGCGTCTTCATACGGCTATTGAGAGGGAAGACATTCATTAAAACACACACGACAGGTGGCGGTGACATGCAGTGGGCTGGAATGGTGGCTTCTGGTGGGACCGAGCCGCTCCTCTGCATGTGCGCAACAAACACGATGTGAATGTGCAGTTTCTATCAGCTGCTATACGCCCCTCCGATATGAAATAGCGTCCCTCAGCGAGTTCCCAGCCTGATGCGTGAGTTTCAAAGATAACATGTGTTTGCAAATGTTTTTTCGAAAGCTAAAAAAGTTCAAGTAAAGCGGGACAAGGGAAGAAAAGAACAGACGTGGAAGGGGTCTGCGTAAATACTGTGTAGGGTGAAACTGGCTCCACTTCAATCAAGCCCTCTTGAGGTTGAGGGATTGAGAGTAATGTCAGCAATAACAGAAGCAAACAAGAGAAGATTGGCACCAAAATAGGACATTCAACAATTTGCAAGTCTGAGATAAATATTTCAGAAGGTCAGCAGCGGTCGTGTAAGTCAGACATATGTTTAAACAGTGAACTTGACTTCGAGAGAACCATTAGTAATTAAAGTGGTTTTTCTGCAGCTGCGAAATGGGATCACGCCGCCCAACAGCCGCACAAAACCTTGACTCTGCAGCATTCACTGCAGGACATTAAAGCAAACAGAAGAGTAAATGTATATACATTAACAAGAAAGAGACTTTACTTTTCATGCTGCACTCTAAATCCACCTATCCGTTCTCATGCCAAAAGCACTTTCCTTAAAGCTAATGGATTTTTAAACGTCATATAAGAATAAAAAAAAGGTGCAAAGTCCATTAAAAAAGGTGAGAAAAAGCATATGCATGATCACAGAGATTTCAACATCAGGGCGATAAGGTGCCAACTGCACTTAAGAGATTCACTTGTAAGACTTCTCTGCTTCTCTGCAGTGCTGCTGAGAGGGTCACTGAACCAGCTAACAGCAGATTCACTCCAATTACACACTGTTTAGACTTCATAAGTTTGACTGATACGAGTCCCAAACAAGGGGAAATACATCCATCCAAGGACTGTGCTTATGTTCACTTTCTCGGGGAAAATGCTCTTTTTTCTTTCTTGGAAGCTTCAAAACTCAGGGGGTAGTGCGACGACATATAGATACAACACAAGTCTACTTTATACTATTGAATTAACATGATTAGTGTGTTTGCAAGTGTGATAAATGCATCTAAACACAGTCTTTATCGTTCACTTCTTTTTTTGATCAGGTGAATTTTCGTTTGACGTGCTCCGCTTAGATTTTCCGCTAACCGCAGAAGGAAATGTTCATCTGCGAAATGCCAACGAAACTTAAACGGCTAGTCCGCTCTGTTATTAAGGACTCTGTTTTCTGCTTCAGTGGCTGAAGAGTTGGTATGCAGTCAGTCTATCATATCTTTGAGTAGAATACACAAGCTGAAAAAGAGTTTAAAAGGAGCAGTGAGACTGAACAAAAATTGTTGAGTTAGAAACCGAGAAAAGAAAAAATAAACTAAAATCAACTTGAGAAACTTTTCTTTAAACAAGTGACCTTTTACACATCACCTGAGGTCATTTAATCTCTAAAACAAACTCCAGGGCCTCCATTACAGCTTTTCTTCATGCACTGTTTTTCTAAGAAGAGAAAATGCTTCAGTGTCACTGTACAGCTATTTTTGTTGCTTCTGCTTTAGGATGTGTTGTTGCTAAGCATGTGGACGCACTCCTTTTGTCTTAAACTGCCACTGAACTCGCTGCATGTGATCTTGATTGAGCCGAGCACAATCTCCTTGTACTGAAGTGTTTGAATCCCGCCTGCCTTCTCTGTAAGAGCTGTACCTCTGACCGGGATAAAGATTTCATCCATTTGTTTCATGCAAAAAAGAGACAATCAGATGCATCGTTTTGTTTCCGAACATGTATAATGTTTCGGGGGCTTTTTGTTGCAAATGAACAAGTAGAAACCAGAGAAGAAGAGACAACAGAGCAGACAGAGAGAGGGGTCAGACATACCGTCCATTTACACTACATCTCTGAGGGACTGATCTCCTGAATATTAAACAGCTCCAGTAACCTGAGTTTCCATCAGTCCCTTCATACATTTTTCATCTTTTTGTATCACTTTTATTTTTTTTATCAACAACAAAAAACATTTCTGCATGACAAACACTTGGATGTAGATGCTGTTGCAAATGAAGCCATTCGATTCCTGTCTTGTTGTTTTTGTTGTGAAAAACACGGCTGCTGATGAATACTTTTAGTCACAATTTTCTTGCTAACGTAACAGCCACTCTGTGCTGCAGACTTCCCACTGTTTTTATCTCCACAATCTTTGTTTATCTGTCTGCCGTGCTATTGCCTCTTGCTAATAGCCCCAATATTGGAAGTGCATTGTGTCTTGATGTGAAGCAGTTTAAAAATCGTCCTTGTTCCTTCACTTTGTTGCAGACTGAAGGAGGACTGATCAGAGCCTCCCAAAGCTTTGTGACTGCTTTAACATCCCTGGTTAGCACATCAGCCTTAATTATGGTCAGGAGCCCATTTCCTCTGATCTGATTCATTAGAATTATTCTGGTTAAGGGCTTGTGGTGCAGGGAGTCTTCTCAAAGCTTTCGCTCGCACGCTGCCTCTAGGGAATCTCAGATGGAGATAAGTTTGAAGTGCAGCTCGGGCGAGCGAGAGTCTGACTTGTCAACAGATGCGGCGCACAATGCAGCAAGTTGCAGTCAAACCAAAGGGCATCGGCACTGTCGGCGTTCTGTTACTGTATGAGTGCACAGAGACTCGGCTGTAAATTTAGAGGGACGGTGTAAGACAGGAGGACTGATCTATCACTGAGATATTCTGTAGTGCTGTATCTCATGGGAGTAAATAAAGAAGGGAGTTAAGCATGAGAAAAACCTAGAGGTGTAAAATGGTGGGCGATGGTGTTCAGAATCTAGCTTAGGGGGGGCCAGGATTGGACAGCGCAGTGCATTAGAAGATGAACTGTGCTGGTTACTATTTATGAATAGTTCATCCAGTGCCCTTTAAAAATACACACACCTCTAGGGGTAAGCAGCAGTCAAGCTGAAGTGTTGCTTTGCTGTCGTTTGACAGCAGAGTAGCCTCCTGTGAGAGGGGGGAACCAGGATAAAAGGCACGATGATGGGCATTGCTCACTACCTGAGGCAGAGCCACTTCAAACCGGTACAAGTGTTTGAACAAAAGCAAGCCCAATGTTCTAGATAGGGAATTAAAGAGGGTGTTCATGTGACTCGCAGTCTCTCAGAGCCACGCTGATTATGACTCAAACAGCAGCAACAACGCGCAGCTGGTGTGAAGAGCTCTGCCGCATGGATGTCAATTCCTGCCTGTCAAGAATTAATCTGCGCTCCAGTTTTGTAAATCTATAAATGCCACCTACATAATCTATTCAATGACAGGATGACAAAAATCTAAAAAGGTGAGAGATGTTGATTAATTGCTCGGGTTGTAGGTGGCAGCACAACAGGAAAGTCCTTGATTTTTGGAGTTCACAAAGGTTAGCTCAGGGGGGAAAAAGAGGCCCATACTTTCCCTTCCTGGCTTCTGGTCATGTTTGTGAAATACGACCCCTCCTCTCCCCAGAGTTTTACCTTTGTGATATAATCTTGTAGGCATCAGGGAGGTAGCAGTTGACGTTCTCCATCTGGAATGGGTCAGCATCACAGATCTTGTCGTCGGTGCGGCCGTAGTTGGCCGTCTCGATCATAATGACATCACTCCCCGGGCAGCGGAGATCAATTGCATATCCCTCGCATGAGAGCTCTCTCCTGACCAGCCCGAAAGGCAAGGCTGCCCGGCTGAACCCTGCGACACAGAGACAAGGAAGAAACTTCAGAGAAATAATGGATGTAATGGGAGAAAAGGATCGTTGCTTCAATACAATAGGACCACACATCTTGCGGTGAAACTCCGCTGGTACAAAATAAATAGGCAACAGCAGTCCAATGTTTACCACAGCTTTAAACAGACGGGCTGTTACATGCGATACAGGAATGGGGGGAAAGACGAAACAATTCATCTCTCCATCTCTCTGTGGTCTTGGATGTTGGCTGAGGCTTCTAATCTAAGTCATCGGAGACCAATGGTAACCTCATAAATTCTTGGGCAAACACAAAGGCTACAAGGATCAGTAAGGCCTCCACCTAGAGCGATGGTCCACCTCAGAGCCAAACCTGTCTGGACTGAGAAGAGCTTGTCTTACAGTCAAAAAGACCCCCCCACATTTGTTTCTTTTGCTTTACTTCTGTTGTAAAGCAAAAGAGAAAAGGAGGCAGAATGGAGTGTAATATAATCCATTTTACAGTGTCGACGATCGAAGAGTCTGGAGTCCACACAGGAGGAGAAATCTATACATGGAGTAAAGCTGATGGGAGTGCAGCCAAATAGTTCTACTTTTGGGGAAAATTAACTGTTTCACCCGAATCTGCCCCCTCCCCTTTCAGCAAATTACAATGACATAGGGTTACTCCTCTGCGTTTCCTTTTTCCATTCAACAAAATGTCATGTTGCAAATAGCGTGGAACAGAACAGATATGGAGATTTGCAAAGAGAGAAAAGCCGATAAAAAAGAAGTGAAGAAAGACGGCGAAATCCATTATCTGGGGTTAGAATGATCCAAAAGTGGGAAAAAAGTAACTGTCTGCAATTCTGAGAAAACAATTAGGCAAAATCTAAGTAGAACATGCAAATGTGTTCCATTTAAGGAGTGCAAGCAGAGCGCTGCATGAACTGTCAATAATCGCCGTTGTTTTCAGCAATAGTGGGTCCCTGAGGGGGCAGCTACCATTTGTATTTTCTGCACTGCTCTCGTCTAATTAGCCCTCTTTGCAGCCTGTTACCTTTTTCTACGCTCCCATTGGCTCGCGAGCATTGTCATGTACTAACACTTACCACCCCGGGTTCACTTTGCCCCCTCACTCTAATTATCCTCACACGTTTGACAGTCAGGGCCTGATGCAATTAGCATTGTTTGAATCGCTCAGAGTTGAAGTGATTCCGGCTTCAAATTCCAATCCCAAAAAGAAAGAGAGCAAAAACAGAAAAAAAACCCGACCCACATGTCTGCTAGTCATTTCAGCCTGCTGAGCCTGGCTCACTTACAATGATATTCTATGTCACTCGGCACATGTCACACTAGCAAACAGAAAAAGAAAATACACACAGACATCTGTGAAACATACACTGCAGAGAGTATAATGTTCAATTCATGGCATATTAGGGGAAACTTCTGCAGGCTCTAGTAGTAGAAGAAGAAGTGTAGCAAAATATGAACCTAATGGTAGAAATTCTCTGGCATTCGGCCACTAGACATTTCATTATAATACCATGATCTATCTAATGGCCAGTAGATTCTGCTTAGCTGGACTGTTTATCACCTCATTAGGAGACGTCAGCGCAGCCGAACCATAAGTGGAGGGCTGTGGGGTCACTCCATCTATTCCAATAACCACTACAATTACCCGAGCCTTTCAGAAAACCTGTCCAGAATGGTGGATGATAAAACCCAGAGTGAAGTCGCCGGCTTTACGGCACAGACTAATGATCGTCCCGCCTGCCATTGCTCATGGAAGGAGTGACGGGTTTATCACGGCAGCTACAGAGAGCAGACAGAAAGAATGCATTTCATGGGGTTTTAAAATTCTGAGCAGAGACACCATCTCTGGGCTTAAACACCCAAATGGACACACACACACACACACACACACACACACACGCCATCTGCAACCTCCTCTCCCCTGGATGCCCACTGGCGACTCTGCCCATCTATCACAGCACTATGGCATGATGGCATGCCGCTGTCAACACAGGCCTCGCGATTGATTAGGCTTGTGCCTCGCCGGCCTCCTCTTCCTCCTCCCTCGCCTGTATAGATCTCTCTGGTCATAGGCTAACAGTACATCAATTAAGGGGAGTATGAAGACTGCACAGGCAGCCTTGGGAACAAATAGCTTCTTCACCAAACTGTGGGCAGTCTCCGTCTCATTAATGACTGTCTTGTCAACTTGTAATTGAACAAGTAATAACAAATCTGTCGGAAATGTTGAAACATAGATATGTGTCTTTTGATTTTTTTTGGCTCTGTTGGAGGGGGGTCGAATTCAAGAGAAAATATTTTTGGTTGCCTTAGCTGAACGTTGCTTGAGATCTTCGGATTTAAGCACAGCTTAGAAAGAAAAAACCTTGTGACAACAAAGCTCTCTGGCTGTAGGTTTTCGTCTATGTTGATTTTTCTCGGTTTAAACAAGTTTTGCAAGATTTTGGAGAGAGACAAGGTTTGTTTGTGTGCACAAATGTCAGTGTCTTAGGGAGGTATAAAAAAAGCTTTTCATCTTACGTTCTGTGCTTTGTTTGACTGCTCAACTTTGCAGAAGTTGAAGACTGCGACAGAAGGGCACCAGCTGCAGGGAAAACGGTGTCAAGAAGACTGCAGGAAGAAATCCATAACACAATCCCTGAGTGTGTGTAAAAGGAAGAAAGGAGAACAGGCTACTCTCTTGTTGTCTGTACCTCAGATTAACATTAAATTACACAATCAGTCAGGGAATTGAATAATGCTTTTATATAGAACATTTAGTCAAATTGCCATGGTAACCACTTCGACTTTGCTATAATTGGCTGTGATCCCTATCCCCGGCCTTGTTGACGTGCAGCCTTATCAAGCATTCTGGTCAGTGAGTGACTGCGAGGAAAGTAGCTTTTCAGATTCCTCCCCCTGACCTGCCTGCTAAGCCGTCTATTGAGCTCCAGAGAGCAAAGCATAGGCAGAGACTGCTTCTCAATATGTTGTATTCTGGGACTTTTTCTACTTCTTCTCCAGATGACAGCCTATAATTCACTGGTGACATACTCCTCCCCTCCACCACCACCACCTCATAATACATATTTTGTTTTCTATCAACACCCCTGAAATTGGAAGTGGCACAGTAGCTCAGATGGGTGATTCTGAAACCATCCACAGAGTTTCACTTGCTGTTGTTTTTATAAACTCTGGAGATGAAAAGAAAACATAATAGAGATTTGGCGCATTTGGCAAGTGCAAGCGCCAGGTTGCAACACAAGTGCTACGATTCCTCTGCAGTGTTATGTTTGTTGAGTCTTAAGAGCACTGTTGTGAACTACCTTTAACCCTAAAAAAAACCCTCCTCTGGGTCTTGACATCAGACGGTGGGAGACAGAACTACAGGAATGTTTGATCAGATAGAAAATAAGGAAAGAGTGGGCCACTTTTGGGGGGAGGGGGGACAAAGTGGCGATGGGTGAGACAGACAGAGAGCAAAGGCGTTGGTTGACGCTTGTCATCCTCCATTAAGGTTCCTTTGATTGGCCTTTGTGGTCCTGGAAACGGCAAACAGCTGCATGCAAATGGCCCTGTTTCCCTGAGGCTGGCCCCCATTGTTCTGGGCTTGGGTTTGACAGGGACGCTTTCTCTGCAGCATAAAGGAGGGTGTAGCCTTTAGTCAAATAAGAGTGCCCCCACTGTGGACACAGCAGGAGTACTTAGAGATTGTTTGTCTTTTTAGGTTGTTTCATTCCTGATATTACTGGTAGCCAACATCATTGGTAGAAAGAACAGATCTTAGAGTCAAGCCTTTCCTCCAAACAGCAGGGGATGTCTCTGTAATCCAATATCCGGAGTTACAGAGTGGTCATACAGCATGTTTTGCTCTGGTGGACTTAAGATTTTCAAAGGAAATTCATAAACTAGGACAAAACATATTTGAATTGTTAATAATAGGGGACAAAGACCCACCAATACTTTGCCTCCTTTTTTCCAGCTTCATTGTTGCAGTATTTCTAATCTGTTCAGGAGGATATTTTGAGCTCTGGCCAAAGAAATAAAATAGCCAAGAAAAAAATACCTCTGGGGTAAGCCTTTTATGCATTAAATAAAACAGAGGCACACTTCACCGTCTATGCACATGCCTCCAGAGTGACAAACTAAATACTTTAGCCAACAAATTCAGCTTATGCTGCACAAAGTCAGCACTTAAAATTTCCACTTCCACGTCTCAAAATTTGTAATCCATCCAGCATTGCTACCAAAAATGTGTGACACAAGTTCAAAAAATCCTGCACATGACCGCCCATCAGAGGTGAGATACACATGGGAGCAAGACAGGAGATGAGAAAGGAGATTTGGGATTTGCAAAATAACACCTGCTTTTCAAATACAGACCAACACCCTGAAATCTCCACGCGACGCTACGACGGCTTGTATTTCACTTCAACCGTCCAATTGCAATGAAACACTGAAAATCTAGTTGGACATATGGCACCATTTCCCATGACACTTTAGTCCCAGCTCGAGTCCACCTTGCTGGGAATTGTTTCAACAGACAGTGTCAGACAAGACCACAAACCCCGAGGCTACACCAGCATTTCCCAGACAACTGCTATCAGACACTCTTGATTCCGATATGAGTATTCTGAAATAGAAACTGGCAATAAAGAACTGAGTCCATTTGTGGTTTCACGAATCTCTCTGAGTCATATCCTTTTTCTCTTTCTTGTGATGCATAATGTTGCGATCTTAAATTCCAAAAGGAACATTTGTATTCATGGCCACGGTCTTGTCTTCAGTGCACCTCTCAAAAAAGGGTGTGAGGAGAGAATCAGTAGCTCTGTGTTGATGCATGTCGCGTCGGAGGGGTTTTGGGGGTAAGGATTTGTCATATTGCTGGGGCTAAGCATGACAGACCCTGCTGCTGCCGCTTAACTCCTCAGGTGGGGTCCATTTAGAGACAGCTAGATCCCATCACTCCAGATACAGGCATGTGATATCTTTTCTTTCAGCTGAGCCGTTAGACTGTTAAAAGAAATCCATTTCTCAGCAACCCGGGTCTCATAAATTGTGGCCAAACAGACCACTTGGTTCTTCTGACAGCCCACACTACACTCGCTCCAGAAACACAGCGGTAACAGAAGACTATATTCAATCCTTTTAACTTGGATTTAAAAAATAACACATATAAAACTTTCAGCATGTTTGATAACACAGTTAGCTGTCTTACTAAGAATAAGGTGAAATGATTGATGCCACTCAAACGCTGCGTTCCAGTTACCTCGGAAGTCGGATGTTGGAGGTGGGAATGACGTAACACCTAAGTTGACAGGGTTCCAGTTAAGAAGTCGGAAAACCAATATGGACGCCTACAGTTACCTGTTGTTAGCTGTCGTTAGCTTTTGTTAGCTGTTTACAGTTGTCAGCTGTTGAAAGCCGTTGTCAGCAGTTGTTAGTTGTTGTTGTAAGCAACGCATAACACCGTATTTTGCTCTTACGTCATACAAAGCACCGTAGCACCGTGTTCACAGTTAGACGTTGGCCCGTACAACATATACCACTTATTTAATTTTACAAAAACAAAACAGAAGTGCTAATGAATAAAACATTACGAGAGCTTTCACTGTTACTCTTTACTGTTGATGCACTGTGCTGCCATCTTGGAATATGAGATTGTTGTCAAGTCGAGGTTGGTTGTCAAACTTTTTGAGTCGGAAATCTGACTTCAGTTGGGCGTTCCAGATGAATTTCCGACTTCCCAGTACAACTGGAATGCAGCATAATCTATTGGCTATGCTAAGGAACAGCTAAGTTGCAAACTAGCTAACAAAAGACTAAATTCAAACACTTCAACTTGGGTTTTAAAAATAACACATTTAAAATTTCAGCACGTTTGATAACACAGTTAGCTGTTTTATTAAAAAATAAGATGATATGACTGATGCTATTCTAATCTATTGGCTATGCTAAGGAACAGCTAAGTTGCAAACTAGCTAACAGAAGACTAAATTAAATCCTTTCAACTTAGGTATTAAAAATTATACGTTTTAACTTTCAGCATGTTTGATAACACAGTTAGCTGTCTTACCAAGATTAAGGTGATACGATTAATGCCACTTTAATCTATCGGACAATGCTAAGGAACGGCAAAGTTGCAAACTAGCTTACAAAACAGCTAGCTGGATTAACAGGCTAATCAACACTATCTAATAGCATGGCTACCCTGTTTAAACTGGACTGAAGGACAAGCAATTAAAACCCAAATGATAACTTACAATTTGCAAAAAAAAAAGGAATTTTTAAGTTTTTTAGAAACTCTACCCAAAGGGAAAAAATTGATTGATGAATAAGTTGCATTCGCAAAACTAGAACTAGTGAGAACAAACTTTCTATGAAAAAGCAGCTTCAGTTGGGTAAAATAAAATTTGACTGTTAAAATGCAAAAGAGTAACCAACAACCCCAACACACCTTTTTGATATGCAAAGACCCTTCTGTTTTGATGTTTATATTCACAGTCAGGGATTACACGACGCACAGGAAATGTTTAAGTTTGACATAAATTGATGCACTGCAGACATGGCAGATTATTTCGCTTCAACAGAACAGCCGGCTCAGCTGCAGAGGACTGCAGATGAAGAATTTATCCCGAGGGAGAGAGTGCAGAGGAAAAAAAGCCAGAAAGTAGTAATGACTGTGTCTTAATTTGGCCGGCAGGAACAAGGTTTTCTCCTCTGTCGATTGGTGGGCTGATCCCTGACCCTGTGGGCGTACATCAAAGACAACCAGCAAGAAAAGAGAGAAGCATCATTACATTACTAATACATGTAATCTCCTTAATGCAAAGAGGGTCAACGCTTGATAGAGGTCAGAAAGAAAGTGACAAGAATGATTTAGTTGGGGACTTAATGTCTGCTTTTGTATGGTCCATGGGTACATCGCTTGGATTAAAGCAGGGTATAATGCGACACCTTGTACAGTCCACGGAGAAAACAACCTTTTCATTTAGACACAAATAACTGTCACAGAGGCTAAACAAGTTAAAGAAAAAAATATTTCGCTTGAAAGATGAATAAAACCTATATGCTCCCAGGAGAGTGCCACTTGACAGAATTAGTTCACTGCTTGTTCAATATCTAACATATTGTTGCATCTCTTTTTGCAGGGGAGTTGATGAAACAAGCAGAAAGAGGTGAGCTAAAGGAGATCTCCCAAGTGCAGCAGAGGTATAGTTTCACAGGTTTGATCTACCCTGAGTGATGCTTAACTCCCCTCAAAGCCCATATTTTACCACTGCACTTAAACCCCAGCTGGATTTTCCGCTCAAGAAAAAAGTCTCAGAATAAGTCAGGTGCCTCCCTCAGGGTAGGGATGGAACAGGGGGGAAAACGGAGGGTGAAGCAGGAAAGAAAAGAGAGGAGGAGGAGGATGTGGGGTTTGTGTCCATCACATGCTTGTGTCTCTGTTTGCTGGGGAAGAGTCTCACAATTTCACCCTCTTAATCAACCCTCTCTGTGCATACAGGAGCCCGGGAGGCTTATTCAGTACGTCACGAAGACAGGGTGTCAGGAGAAGCTGCAACTGGAACAGGGATTACATGAATAATGAGCCGCGGTCTACAAGGATGACTAGGAACTGAGATCAGGGTCCCGAGATGATAATGAACAGACATCCCGATAGGAGGCGCAGGCTTTATCTTTCAGAAGAGCCAGTGGTAGCCTCAAACGCAGAGGTGCTATCACTTGCTTTGGGCGCAAGTCGGTTTTGGATCTTCTGCATCTCTAAACAAAACCACTTGTGCTAGAGAGGATGGAGCACTGTTATGCAGATGAGGTGGTGCAGAGCAATTTTGGTACTCATTTTGGCATGAAATTGTGTTTCTATGTTTCATCCTGACCCAGGACATTTTTGTGGTTTCAGCTGGTGCGCAAACAAAAAAGCCTTTTCATGTATTTTTTTGCTTTCTTTCTTCTTGGCATAAGTTTTTCATCTAGTGTACATTTTTAATGTAATTAAAGGCAGAGATCAGGCTGGTTCGGGTTAATGGATGATATTTATCGGAAATGTCTCCAGGACAGATCCTCAGCTCTGGGTAACAGACCGTCAGATCATACTCCTCACTGCTCACAGCTTTGTGTTTCATAAACTTCTATTAAAAATGCATAACAACCCGGGCTTGAAAACAACTCAGTATTTCAACAGTAATGCCCAGTTCATAGCAGCACTGGCTTGTACCGTCTTATGTTGAATAAATCCGTGCCAAATTTCTGTACCTGGGAGTGCATCAGGTACAGAGAGGAAGAGTGAGGCAGTGCAGCTTGTTCAAGTCACAGTGCTTTGGCTTCCTGCGTGAGACACACACGGCCACATTCTCACGCTATACCCTTGTGACAGACAGTGACAGGCTGGGGTTTGTGGGGATAAGTTTGGGAGAGGAAGAGGGAGGTGGAGGAGACATTCATTTGGTGTGGTATGTTAAACTAAACTGCTCTAAATAAAGATAGGATAAAAAAACGTTAGGATAAAAAATAGACCTTTTCTCAACAGTAAATTACCAGAGAAAGATATCTCTAAATAACCATGTGGTGTTTCAGTATTTCAGGTATCAGTATCAGCCTAACCCCCCCCCCCGCCCCCTCTTTAAAAACAGAGCAGCTGAACAGAGAGCTTGCTGAATTGTCTCTGTTAACTGGCAGACACATGAGGACACATTAAGGGCTCTGAGAAATCTGTCATAGTAGACTGGTGATGATGAAAGAGAAAGCACATGTATTTTGGAGTCATGCTTAAATCTGTTTTTTAAAATCTTATTATGTTCGTATGAAAATTAATCGTTGATATAATTGGCTTAAGGGTGGAAGAGATTTTTCTTTTTAAATTTCATCTTGATTCATGGATGTAGATTTATTGATCGATTTATTAACTGATAGCACTTTTTGAAGCAGATTTGATCATTTAATTTTTTTTTTTTTTACATTCTTATCTTTTTTAAAAGGCATAGATAACTTTCACTCAAGCAGGCGTAGTTACCAAATATTCCTTAATAGATTCATTTTGATTTTCTTCATCAAGCATGCGACCCCTACTTGTCCAGTCATCACCTCTCCCATGCATTTGAACACACAGCTAGCATACAGAGTGTGCAGTTTTCACATGGGAATGCACAAAGCTTGCAGCAGGGCAAATCTTTAGAGGCGCCTGTATAGCTCTCTTTGAAAAGGAAAGTCAGAGGGAAAAAAAAGGAAACACATTCAGATGCATTCTTTGGCAATAACCCCCAGACTATCTCTGAACACTGACCACTTTGATTGGCTTGAGCACAATGACCTTGCCCAATCCACTTCCACAAGCATTCTGGTCAGCGCGAGCAGAAAACAGCAGCACTGATAAGAAACTCACAGATGGGCAGATCTTGATGACAGACAGTTTCCTGCCCTTCATCTGCGATGAGGCCACTGTGCCTCACACACTCAATGGGAATACTCGCTACAAGAGGGGGTCAATACCGATAGCGTAAGGCAAACAAAACCCTCCTTTGTGCTTTGCTGTTCTGACTTTTTCTCGCTGCGTTCTTATTCAATTTCCTGCGCGGCAGGAGAGGGCTTTCTTATCTTAGACTGTTTATACCTGCAAATCGGCTGGTGGCCTTTTGTTTGCAGGTGACCCACCCTGAGGTGACATTTAATTCTTCAACAAAAAATGTGTGGTCATGCTCTATGGCACAGCCTCTCAGCCTGAGGAGATTACTAATACAGTGAATGCAACAGAGCTGCATTCATGGCCTGTCGTGAGAGCTGGCAGACGGGGAGGGAGAAAGATCCAAGACACTTTATTACGCTGATTTGAATCATACATGACCTGGAGCCATGCGAAAGGAAGTGAAATTGGCGAGAAACTGATGGTAGGTGACCAAAGTGGAGCCAGTTTCATTTTACATTTACACATCAATCCCTCTCTGTATTCTCTTCTCCGTGTGAGCAGACATATCAGAAAATCTGTGTGCACAGTAAAACACAGTCTAGTAGCAGAAAGCGCGCTTACCATATCAATCATGATTTCTCTTATTGATTGTCATCTTTTCCCCACTGTCGCCATTACTTTAAACACCTGCATCTCCTCTGTAAATCAGGACCAGCAGTCACTCGAACGAAAAAGCTGAGCTGTAACATCTCTGAGAAAAACGCACATAATTTTTAAAACAATTTTCACACCTAGTAACTACGATTGTACCCTCGCGCTATTGTTCTTTCTCTAACAGCTAGAGGCTCTTTGTTCAAATGGCCTCAGCTAACATGACGTGTCTCCCGAAAAAGCTTTCGTTTCACAGATTAATGCTTCAAATGTATCTCACTAAAAAGAAGAGCGAGATTGCCTATGATGGAAAAAGGAAAACTTACCGCCGCAGGTATTTAATCAGAGCAACAATCTGCTTTGATTGCTTCTGCACAGTGTCCCTTTGGTGTTAAATGTTGCATACTTGCTTTTGTTTTTGCATGTTTGTTTAGCTCTGAGGCTTTTTGTTCCATTGAAATTACTAATGACATGCCTCCCAGCTATTAGGAGTATTGGGGGAACACTGAACCTCAGTGATAATCTGACAGGTTCTTGTTGCCTCCATAGATACGCTTGTCTCTGAACCAGGTCTGATTTATGTTGTTGGCAAACACTCAGAAAGAAAAGTTCAACTCTGCAGCTTTATATAGTGTGTGGACTTGACTTTATTTAAACCCCGTCTGCTTCCTCTCAAGATTTAATGCATTACTTTGTTATGACAGCTGAACCCTCCTGTTATGCAGCAACTTACACCCTGCAAATCCAAAAGTTTAGATTCTGAAGCAAGCTGCTTTGTAGTCGTAAGCCGGAGTCATCTATTATTTGAATTAGACAGCCCGGAGAAGAAAGAAAACAAGTGTGGACAGCAATTAAGAAAGGAAAGAGTGAGCAAGGCATCTGGTCCAATGTTTACACAACGTGTTACCATAAGGGGTGTGAATTGAACGGCTCCAAAACGCTCTGAGCAAGTGTGATTTAAGACTTGCTTAACAAATGAAATCAAACTGTCTGAAAACTGGAGCTCCTTGCCTGTAAAATTAACGGTTTTTCGTCAGCCGGCCATATAACAGAAACTTTTACAATCACATCTAAACACACAGTAAAGCACAAGCGTTGCTCCTAAGGGGAGAAGAGGTTTGCTCTCACATTCCCAGATTGGACGGTTACATTTCTTGCCGCTGTTGCTTCACCCAAAGCGCTCTCAGGAAATCGCTGTTGCAATAAATCTAGGATGACCCTATTGAGGGTGATATTGCATTTCATTTCCTCTGAGTGAAATACTGATCCTGGAGACACATGTGACTTTGGCTCATTTCAATTTCATGTTCTCTTACGATTCCAAACTTTCCAGGTCCCTGGTTAATATCGAAGCAGCATACTGTTACGCAATGCTAAGCAGAAATGCATCCATGCTGTGTGCAGGCACTGAAAAGCTGTTTAATGCAGGGATTCTGGAGAAAGAAAGAGTTACAGAGAAAAAAAAATACATTTATCAGTCTCCGTATGGCTCCGAATCTGCAAGGAAGTCCATTCAATCCAGATGATGAACCCCTGATTTATTCCTTGAATTACTTCCAGTTTGGCAGAATTTCCATACACGACTGATATATCAGATTTTTCCCCCTTCCTGTGTGCTTGTTCTCACCACACAGATTGACCAGTCATCTGTGAATCTCCCATGGTTTGGCTGATAATTCATGATCGCCCCACCATGGACCCGCAGCATTCAATATGAATTATAAAATGGCAAGCCAAGCATATCAATGGATGACAGACTGGATGTGTATGGCCCGGGGCCAGAGAGTTGGAGCACAATGGCTTCTCCCATTCAGTCGACCCCAGGACTTGAAATACCAGCGTGGCACAAGGGAGGGTCTTCCATCAGCACAATGTATGGCACTGCTTGAGACAAATGTTGTGCTGAGACGTATTGTTAACCTTTACAACCTTTTGGGGAGAAACACAAGCATGCTGGTATGTTCGACTGGGGGAATATTTCCCAATAATAAAAAAAAAAATCTCCCTTCGAGGGAAATGCTCAGTGTATGTTAACCAGAGTGAGTCCAGACCACCAAAATCAGAGGAAAAAGAGGAGAAGAGAGAACATTTTCCATGAGCCGCTAACATCCTTGGTTCTTGTGTGGCTAATGACTTTGTTATCGAAAAATCTGCACAATATTTCCTCTCATTCTGCCCATGCTGGAGCTGGAACCTAAACAAACACTGCTTCTATCCTCTAATTCCCTCTTTGTCTCCACAGATAGAGCACAGCTATCAAACACAAACCTCTTAATATCCCACATTTCCCCTTTGTGCAGTATTTAGATATGAAGGCTGAGGTTCCTGCCCTCTTTTTGGCATTTAAGCACAACAGCCAACTCAAAGTGTTGACACTGCGACTGCACAACATAATCCCTCACTAAATCTGGCTTTCTTCACTTTAAAGAGTCAGATAACAGCTCTCATTCAGTCACAGCAGGTATGTGCATGAGCGCTCGCTCCACCTTTGTGGCTGCTCCCTTTGACTCGGGTCGTCCTCTTTCATATTTGCAGACTGGGCGGTCTGAAACATCTAAAACAAATCTGATACCTGCATGACCTAGTTTTCTCGAGCAGGAGCGCTACTTTATAGATCTGTTATATAATGGCATAAGAATGCGGTAGAATGAACAATAAAGATGAGAAATAGCTTATGCACAGAATCCGAATGTGTCATGGAGGTGTTTTCTCTGCACACAATATTAACAGACTGAATCTGGAGGTTGACTTTCATAACATTTAAATACCATCAACCCCCATTTTTGATAAATTAGATTTCTAATGCAATGAAAATCATTAATTCAGTTAGTAAATATACATGTTTTAGTTCTTTTTAAGTGGTAGAGTTTGCATTAGTGTGCTGATTTCACAAACTTGTAGAAATTTGCAGAAATTTTGAGTCGACCTCTGGCCACAGTGGATTGGGCGGATGAGAAAACAGATGAGAAATCTTTAAAATGCAGTGATAGTGGGAGCAGCATAAGGAAATTGTGCACAAAGAACTTAGAAAAAAACTTTTGGTAACACTTTTCTTGACGCCTTTCTCTATAACGCATTATAAATACATGTATAATTTGTTATAATCATGTTATAGCACTGTATAACTATAGTTATAAACACTCATAAATGATCACAATGCTTTATAGCAATAATCATAACAAATTATAAAGCATTTAAGGTAACACTTTACTTGACACCTATCGCTAAGCAAATTATAAAACATCATTAATAAACATATAATGCATTATCTATGTGGGCATTGTCAGTGAGTTGTTAACAGTTTTAACCATTTATACCATATGTGCCAACCATTTATATTTATACCTGACCATGTAAGGCCTGATAAAATACTTTATAATGTGTTATGATTATTGCTAGAAAGTATTATGATCATTTATGAGTGTTTATAACTATAGTTATACAGTGCTGTAACGTGATTATAACACTAGATATATATATATATTTATAATGCGGTATAATAGGCGTCAAATAAAGTGTTACCGCATTTTACCCTGACTTATAAGGTCAGGTATTAGAATGGGGTATATATAATAACAACTCACATAAATATAACTGTTAATGACTCACTTACAATGCCCACATAGATAATGCATTATACATATATTTATGATGTTTTATAATTTGCTTATAAACTTGTAAAACGATCATTATAAACACTCATTAATTCATAAATTTAATAGCAATAATCGTAACACATTATAAGGCATTTTATTATGGTTTACAAGGTCAGGTATTATAATGTGTTATGCTCATTGTTATAAAGCCTTATGATAATCAATGAGTGTTTATAATGATAGTTTTACATGTTTATAATCAAATTATAACATCATAAATAAACGTATAATGCATTATCTATGTGGGCATTGTCAATGAGTTGTTAACAGTTATAACACATTATAAAACCTGGCCCTGTAAGGCATGATAAAATACTTTATAACATGTTATGATTACTGCTATAAAGCATTATGATCATTTATGAGTGTTAATAACTATAGTTATACAGTGCTATAACATGATTATAATGCATTATACATACAGTATATTTCTTATGCATTATAGGCGTCAAGAAAAGTGTTACCAAACTTTTTTTAAATGAAGATATGACTTATGTGTGAGGAAATGTCTGCTATTTTCATCTGGCAATAATACAAAGACTCCGCTTTCCTCTTAGAGTCCAGTATTTGCTCTTTTAGTTCTGTTTTGGGGCTCTACCAACTTCTCGGGGAACAATTCTGCGAAACTCCAGCAGCTGCTTGCCTACTGCTGAGTTTCCTCATTAAAATCACTTGCAGGCTTTAACCATGACATAAGTGTTAAGGAACCAAAACATTTTAATCTAAAAAAAGTGACCAGATGCTTGATCATTTTTCTAACTGCATGAGAAAGTGAGGGGGAATCACTTTCTCTTCAGCTGTGTCAATGAGCATTTCAGAGCACAAGGAATGTTTCGGATGAAAACGATAACCTGATTATACTCTCTCCTGGTGAGGGACAGGAGGTAATTATCAAGTGGAGTTTTTGTTGCCGGGACTCGGATGGAAACGTAGATCATAAGCGCTGGGATGCAGGCCCTCGGGGTTGGACAGACCGAAGGTGAGTGGCATGTGGATAGAATCAGATATTGTTTTCAGAGGGACTCAAACACACACGTACACACATGCACACAGACACACACATTCCTTTATTGATGGATGGGCAAATATGCCTTCTTAGGCCTGAGAGCACTCACATCAAGTGAAACCCAAAACCTGAACTTTCTGCATACCGAGGCAGTATTCTTGTTTAAGAAATTCAAGGGGACTATTCAACTCGATTCTGAAGTGGGGCCAAATCATAGGGGCTCTGTTTTAAAATGCCACAGTGAGACACTTCCATATTATCTAAAAAACGCTTATCAACAAAGAAAAAAGCATCTCTGCTTGAAACACTGCCTGTTCCCTTTCAAAATGTCTCTGCTGATAAAGTTTGCTTCACGGCCAAACCTTAAAAAACAAAACGAAAGAGCAATCTTTAACAGAACAAACAGCAAGAAAGAGAAAGAGCTCAGAATAAAAGGAAGCCTGCAAACTAAAGTGCTTCAACATCTATCTGTAATCAATGCTTGGCACACAAGCATATGATCTTGGGCCGCTCTCTCCCTGATACAAAGGGGCTGGACGGGCGAGAAATGTAATGATGATTATTAAGCAGACATTCCAGCATCGGTGGTTTTGACGGGTATGTAACAGGCGGGAGTGTTTTGTGACAATACTAGTTATTATAGCCAAATGTATTAATCAAAAGTGGGAGAAGGGACCCAAAAATGGGCCCAAGGATGTCAGACAATTAGAGACACACATCCTTTCATAGTTCCCGAGTATGCTTTTGAAGATTTCAGGTGTACCATCTGCACAGAACTATCCGACTTTGGAGCAAATCAAAATTGTATCTATTCTCCGTGGCAACTCAAAGTGCTAACAGACAATCTGTTACAAAGCTCGTTGTGCAGAGAAGGCGCAGTTATGAACCTCTGGCAGAGGGGTCTCTGACACACCGTTTTGTGATGTTTTTCGAAGGGAAGAAATGTGTCGCTGAGCATGTCCCTGGGTTGCCAGAAATATTCACCGTGTCTGTACAGAGTCTTTGAAACACCTTTTCGAAACTCCAAGGGTAAAACCACTGAAGAGGAACTATTAGCACTCACTAAAGAATGTGTGCTAATAAAATTCAACACAATCATCAGCTGAATAGTAAGTGGCTTCTTGAAAGGTTGACCAGAATCACATTAACACTCCTCACAGCCGTGTAACTCCATGGTAACTCACCTTCTGAGCAGTGAAAGCAAAAAAGGAGGAGCAGGAGGCAGCGAAACACCGGACACCTCCACAGTGTAGAGGCCATTGTGCACTGTATGCAAACGATCCAGGAGCCTGGTTGCTAATTATAGTGGTTCAGAGCGTAGCAGTGGGAGACTGGAAAGTTGGAGAGATGTCAACGATCAGTTGTCCTCGGAGAAGCATCACCAGTCATCTTCTCATCTGAAATAAAAAGAGGGGAAAGCGTAAAAATGGAGGAAATAGACACAAAGCATCAGCGTCAGTGCAGCTACAGAGTACACTTTGTCTTATTTTCTCTTTTTTATTTGGGCTTTTACTTCAAGTTGATATCAGTGATACTAGGACGTCTGCCTGGTTTGTTTCTAAGTGTACTCACTGTCTTTTGTTCGGAGCTGAGTCATACAACACCAATGATATCCCGTCTATGTAAGTCATACGCCTTTGTTCAACACTTAATTACAAGAATAATGACAATAATTTCCGGCTGCTTTATGTCACATTAGTGTCACAGGGGTTCTTGGTTCTCCAGCCAGTGCTAAAGAAGAGGTGTCACAATCTGTACCAGAGTGAAAACTGGTGTCTGTAGTAGTATGCTGAATAGGGATGCACCAATCTGATATTTGGATCGGATATCGGCTCCGATATTGACAAATGAACTGGATCGGATGTTTGATGTATGATGCCAATCTAGTGTCCTGATCCAATCTTTTCTTTTAACTAATATCATACACAGCAACTTAGCGATTCTGTTTGCTCTATATTCTATCCTTTTGCATTAAATGTTTACATGAAAGTCTTCTTTTTGAATGTGCAATTTGTTATTTGTCAATAAATAAAATTCAGTAAATTTATATCTGTGTTCATTTGTTACCTATTTTTTAACAAGGCTAATGTCACGCCTGATGCCTTCACTCACAGGGCAAGGTATACAGTTCATTCATTCAACACAAGTATTGGATCGGTATAGGATGTTAGCCGATACGCTCAGCCCAGGTATCGGTATCGGTATCAGTATCGGTATCAGTATCGGTATCAGTATCGCATTGGATCGGAAAAAGATGGATCGGTGCATCTCTAATGTTGAACTCGAAGAAATAACGTAGGAGTCGGATATGAGAACAAAACTGCCTTTTGGTTGAATATTAAACGACATTATTCAGATTTCACGTTCACGGAAATTTGAAATCTCTCAAATGTTCATGAGAGGGCAGCGACATGAACAACAAATCAGGTAGTGTACGTCAGCACCCGGCGGAGTGTTACAACCGTATGTTTACACTAACTCATTCTCCCACTCTCCCTCCGGTACCTTCCCCATTTACTCCGGGATCCCAACGGGAGGGAGAGCTTGTTGCTACGACAACACATTCACACAGGACGCCATTAGAGACACAGCTGCTTTGTGTTCTACTTTTGTCTCCTTCCTTATCAAGGAAGACGGTTCTTTGTCTGCCAAAAGCAGCGAAAGGTTAGAGCCTGAGACAAGCGAACACACCAGACAGATAAGCTGCTTACCAAAGTCAAACACCGAGGAGGGATGTGTTGTATCATATGTAAAACGCCACACACATATACACACACAATCACGTTCTCACGCAGAGGCACATATGCATGCCTGCACAAATATTTAACTGAGGACGTGCACTCTCCTCCTGACATGGATTCACATTCACACTAACATATGAACACACACACACAGCTCATATCGAAGGCTGTCTTGTTTATTCCCATGTGGTTGCCATCCAGCATCTCCACAGTGCTTACACACACACACACACATTTATACAACAACATCAATAGCAGGATCGGCCACTTGGTAGCTGTCGCTATGCAGAGGAGAGTGAATGTTTCCTGTGTGTGTCTGGATGCTGCTCCTCCAGAGTCACCCGTCAAACACCCTGATTATTTTATAATGAAGCTAAATTTGAGCGGCAGAGCAGTCAGCTCTGATCGCTCTCTTGGCTTGCTAATGCGCTTGGATATTTCTGGCAACATAAAAACCCACAAAGCACGGTGCGCTTTGACATTAGCATACTGGGTAATAATATAACTATTGGATTCGTTCTATACATGACAAATGCCTGGTCTGGGAGTAATAGCTGAATAAAATAAAAACAACTGCAACTGCACCTAGCCTGAAGCAAGCCGAGAGAGTTTATTTTCATTTGAGGTCACCCCGGCCAAGCCAAGAAAACACACATTCAGCTAACTTATAATTTATCAGTTAAACTTGGGTGGTTTTTATAGGAATTGTGGTTTTATTGTCTCACAGTTGTTTATCTGCCAGCGGCGCCGAACCAGATCAGATAAGGCAAAATTGGAGGGCAGAAGCTCTCCTGCTTGGGAAGTCTCACACCGTGTCTACTGAGGCTGCTCACGCTCTCAAGTCTTTAACAGGACTGCCACCAGTTCAATAAAGGGCAGAACACCAAATCTCCAGAGATGCACGTGACCTCTTCCTCGGCAATTTATCTTCTGCAAATATGAGGCCTGGGGCCATGGGGTAACCATAATGGTGGCTGACAGGAGGAGATTGGAAACTGTTGGGGGGATATCCCCCTGCCCTTCTGGCCCGCTGAGCCCGCTGAGCCACTCCACCACTCTGCCACTCCAGACACCAGGGGGCGAGAGCCTGCCAGGCCTCGCTGATGCAGACTTGCCTGCACCACCCCAGGGTTCTTTCTCCTGATCAGCCGTCACCCTGCTGGGTAACATGTCCCCCTTTCTCCTTTAAGCCGGTGGACGACAGAGCCATGCTCATCTTCCTAAAAAACAGTTTTGTTTGGTGGGATTTCTGCACTGAATCGACTTGAGATAAAAGGATTAGGCGATTAAGATTAAGATGCCTTACACAAGTTCTGACAGACGTATCATAATTTCACATCAGGGGACAGAGAAGGAGCGTGGGGCGGGAGGTCGTGGGGGGCTCAGATGTTCTCAAGCAGAAAATGATTTTAAGAGTTAAGCGAAGCATCGTTAACCCCTCAGAGACGGTGCTGAGGAATTATCTTCACCAACCCCCTCTGCTCTGAAGGCAGGAATCGAGGTTACTTGTTACTTGGCCAACGACTTCCATCTAATGATAATCATGTTCCACTGAGGCTTATATATATATAAAAGGTACGCAGTTATGACTAACTGTCACCACCTACACTACATCCAGTGTGTACATACACATAACATACACCAGAGGACCACTTACTGAATACAAGTTACTCATTTTCGTCTGTGCCTTCAGCTCCTCTTCCTAGAAAAATACAGCCATGCACATTCTCCGGGGTTCCTCTCTCTATTAACAGTATAACTGTCTGGATGCGAGACAAAAAAATGAAGAATGATATACAAACATTCACGACATCTGTTTTTCTTTTGTCTCCTATACATACACAGTGGAAACCTGAGGAGAGAAATCTATCATCAGTTAAGATAATGGAGAAAATCACAGTCCACAGCCAATTTTTCACATCAGCCTGATAGAAATAATAAGCAAGCATTTAAAAGAGGACGGCGAGCAATTAAAACGTAATTAAAATAAATGGAGAAAAGGAGACAGCCCACATGTCTTCACATGAAATACACGGCTGTGTGCAACAGCCGGCCAAGTGAATGAGAGTCTCCTTTGACAAAGCTTGTGTCTGCCTCACTCAAGCTGGAGAGGCGTCCAGTGAAAGAGAGAGTGAGGGGAGAGGGGGAGTTTGGGAGTTTCTAAGCCGGGAGGGACTAAATGGATGGGAGAGGGAGAGCAGAGGAGGAGAAGAATGGAAGGGGGAGAAAGGAAGGGGCGGTGGGGTCACAGAGGAGGATTGACAGCCTGTGAGTATGGCCTGACCTCCTGGGTTCGCCTCCAAGTTTTCTCCACTGGCTTAGAGAAGACAAAAATAAAGCCCAGGAATGTTAATTTATTTTCAATTGTCAACGCCGTGAGTAGAGATAAAGAGCGCATACATACATATCAAGTAAGACTGGAACAAAACTAATGCCCAAGTCCAAGTGTAAGCTGAAAACCTACAAGTGAAATAGAGATGTGGCTCTCCTGCACAATGATTCTTCTTCCACTCCGTGAATAAGTACTAATTTGGAGAACTTTCTGCCCCGCCCCCCTGCCCTACATTCAGCAGAAAAAAAAAAACGACACACATGTGAGAGGGGAATTTCAAACATCACAAAATGGTTGATGGGCTAGAAGTGGGAGACGGGAACCGCAGGAACTAAGAAAACACAGCCTCCAGACACTTTTTTTTTCAGTCCTGGGTGCACCCTGATGTTCCCAAGAAACTCTTTTGTCATGACAGTCCTGTCAGGGCTCCGCTCGCAACCCCTGCAGGGACATGATGTCATTTCCTTGGCTCCATCAGCGATGTAGAGACACTGCCATCAACTGCTATCAACTGAGACGGGCCGACACCAAGCGGAGTCTGCTGAAAGACTTTTCTCAACTCAGAGCTGATAAGATAAACGACCAGGATAAACAGATCGTAAACAGGAGTTTACAGCGGGACAAACTGGTTTCTTAATTGTCTAACCTCGGGCTAAAGTCATAAGTCAAGTTTTATAAATGATTTATGACTCATATATATAACAGAATACCATTAAAATTTATTACTGTGAGCTTCCCAACTATTAATTTGAGCTCTTTTTAGAATTCTCTGTCAATTTTCAGAATATTTTACAATATATTTCTAAAAATTCACGCACCAATTTTTGGGCTAATTGATTATTTAAAAGCTTTACCTGCTGTAATACTAGTTTAAACATTTACAAGTATTAATTAATCCCAAACAAACCCTTATAATTTTGTTTTAATGACACTGTAATAGAGACATTTAATGATGACTTTGAATAAATTCATGTTCATGTTTCCTAGTTTAACCTCGAAGTTGAAATCAAACCTCTCGTTAGGACTGTGATTGTTATGTGTGCTAAATAATTTAACCATTTAGCCATGGAAAACAGAAAACTGACATTTGGAAATATTTTTAAAGCTAGTTTGAATCAACTATGGAAAAACTGCCAAAGTTTAGGAGGATTTAAATATCATATATTACTCATTTCTTCAGCGTTTCAAGAGTCGGTTTTTGCGACTTTTTCTGTTGTACTTACAGCTCGAGTTGGCGCCTTTAAATCATTCATATGTCACGGCATGTTGCTGTGATGTTTAATACATCAAAGAACTACTTACATCTTTTGTTTATGTCAGGGTCACAAAAAAGGTTCCTGGAACTCTTAAATATGCAAAACTCAAATTCAAGACACTTTAACGGCAGCTTTTATGTCTTGTTTTTGTCTTGGGTACAAATGGCTCGAGATCAAAAGCGGACATCTGAAAAACACCAAATCTTCAATGCACCTCTAAAAGCCCACTGAAAGGTGCAATGCCTCACTATTTTATTGAAAGCACACAACAGTTGGTGTGTTCAGCGGCTCCTGGCCAAATGATTGAGGCAGCAGATAAGATAGAGTGCCAGCGGGCAGATGGACAGAGTGAAACAGAGAGGGGCGAGCAAAGGAGCTTAGTAAAGTGAAGAGAACAAAGACGACCCAGACTGAACAACCAGGTTAGTGTCAAGCTAAGCGAGGAGAGGGTGAGGTGTAGTCTTCAAAAGGAGCTGTGTGGAGGAGCAGACGCTTCCAAAAAGCCAAAAAGTGGAGGATTCTGTCAGGGTTTGTGGCAGAAATAGAACTACAGCAGGAAAATCGATGGGCAGTTAACTATTCAACAAATTCAGAACTGTCTGGTATTACTGTCCGTTCTTGAAAATAAAACATTTGAATCGACCTCCTGCTTTCAATCCGAATATTTGTCTGTTTTCTTTATTATTCTGTGTGTAGAAGTGCCGTCCTGAGCTTTCCAGAGCAAAGATCAGATCTTTAAACACTTTTTGGACCCAAAAACGATAAACCAGTCTGGAAAATGGCTAACAGATTTATCCTAAATAAATCTGCTGCCTTTTTACTGATTAATGCCTCAAAAAGTGACCTTTGGTAACGACGTACTATAGTTTTCACTATCAAAGATTTTAATTGATTGGACAACACAGTCTATAAGATTCCTCTTAATTTATAAAGATCACAGGTTTCCAGAGAGCAAGGACTTCTGTAATTGGCTGTTTCTTTCTATCCAACCCTTGAAACCCTTGAATTTAGTGTTACTGAAACCTAAAAAAAACAACTCTGAAAACATTCACAAATCAGAGGTTGGAGTCCGTGAATTTTTGCTTTTGATGTCTAATTGGTCATGACATACTTTAACCATTTAGCTTACCAAACAAATGTCCAACTATGAATTCAGCGTGACCATGTGGTTAAGGTTATTCTGGCTTTTGAAACAAAAATACACTCGGTTTTCAACTGCAAATGAACAAACGTGTGCGGATAAAATGACTCAAAATGTCTGTTTCATTCTCTGGTATTTGCCATTCCTGCTGGGCACGGTGTTGAAATGAATAGGCTGACCTCGGAGCAGTTGGTTAAGCACTGGGGTCACCGGAGAGGAGCAAAGAGCTGCTTGACGCTGACACGGAAAAAAGAGGTTTCTCCTTCAATCAGTCTTTTCATAAATGTACTGACAGCCTCACTTCTCGCCTCCTCCACGCATAATTCTAGCACTCCCCTGCCTGCTCTTTATCCACACAAACACACCCACGCACACACTGCTCACCTCCAGCTCGCTGCAATGTTAAAACACTTTCTTTTTTTCCTTTTTTTTTTATGATAGAAGCCATGATTGGCCTGGCAATATAACCCCCCCCTACATCAAAACACACCACACACATATACACGTACACACAACAAATTCATTCATTCCTTCACACAGAATTCCAGCAGGTGATGTGTTTGTGTTCACACCTCGTGGGGGGAAACAGATCCACACAATGTTAGAATTTTGCACACTGTAGCCCCATTCAGACTGGATTAGTTTTACAGCAAAAGTAACTGTTAATACAGAACATCTGTGGTATTAATGAACAACATGCAGGCACACAGATTTCCATGTAATCTGTCTCAGTTATTATAAAACCCCCATTCATATGCTGCCATCACACCACAAATGTATCATAATAATCAAACATCATTTCCGCAGCTGACAGCAACTTGTTTAAACAATGACCAAAAGACCAGAACTGTTGCATCTGGAGCGGAGTGAGCACAGATTTGGGGAGTAAAAGCTTTTGGTGAGAGCCCCTCTTTCGCCAAAAGGAAATGACACATTATTTGCAAAATATCTCAGGGGTTGTTATCTCAGAGGGGACTAAAGGAGGTTTTATCTGAGGTTTATTTCTGCGGGGGGAGCGGGGGGGGTCCCAGATTTTAGCCAGCCGGCTTAAAACCCACACAAAGTTACCGACAGGGCAACATTCAGATTGGGGCTACAAAATATACAGACATGCTCCATTTTCGATTACATTTGATCCCCCTCCTCCCACTGTAAAACTAATCCCATCCAAATGGAGCTTATGACAAAGTGGTACAATGACAAAAGGACATGTTTGTTGCCAAAAGCAAAGAAGAGTTTGTTTTTACTAAGAAATATATGCAAATTGAGCAAACACCATTAATGCTGCAGGGAAGCAAAGTAAAACTAATTTGGGATTGTATGTGAGGGAATGGGGATAGGAAGTCAGAGGTGCAATATGGGCTGTATTAAAGATTTAACTGTCTATATTTAGCTGTTGCAGTTTATAGTTGGAATATAAAGTTCATTCCAGCATTATTACAACAATCTGCAAATGTTTTAAGGTAATATTAACTGCGGACTCAGAATATGCTTTCTATAAATTAATTTTTGTATATAAGCAGATGTGTTGTGGTGTTGTATTTCGCCATGAGTCCCTGCACTCTTCCTCTTTTGGCCAAAGAGATCGTCTCCATTAGTCACAGCACAGGGGGGTGGGATGCTTAATTACGACAAAAATCCTCATAAAGATTAATTTCATCGATACCAAGATCATTTTGCATGATTGCTTATTGATTACCAGAATCACCATACATTCATTTAACATACTGACAGAATGCAGAAGGAAGTAACTCAGATGATGCAGTGACACAGTTTGGAAAATAATATAAGATAGTATTTGTAAAGTCTCAAGTCTGTCAAGAGTGCCTTGCAAACGAACGCCAAGCATAGGCAAAATTGTAAATGCAAATAAGATTTTATAAACTGCCAAACACTGGGAGGGATGCATCCCTGAAGCAGGGGTGTGTCACAAAGATAGGCCAGAGGTGGCACGTCCCCTCCTGCCTGAAATCTAATTGGCCACCCTGGGGCACCGGCTTGGCCTGCTGGTGAAATACAGCGCCACATGTACAGAGGCTGTAGTTCTAGATGCAGGAAACCTGGTCCAGTTCCAACTCGTGCCCCAGTGCCACCAGGATTGACTTTTCATACATAGACGATTCAGCTGCAAGGTGTAAGATAAAGTAATTAACTGCACACCATCAAAACGAACTTTAAATAAGTTTAGCATTGCAAATCTTTACAGTAAGTGAGATTTTTAACTCGTATAAAACAGAAGGGAAGACATGTGTGAAAGCACAAATATTTCATGTCACTGGTGCCTCAGTTGGGCCACCCCCGTCAAAAACAGTCTAGATATGTCCCTGGGTGGAAGAAAGACATCTGCAAACTACTGGAAAAAGCTCCTCGATGTTGTATCTAAAATGTAACTCACAAGAGTCTCTCTGCCTCAGTACTTATATTTGTTGCTAGACACAAATAAGCACTTTGTAAAATATTAAATAGTTGCCTCCCAAAGCAAGCAAAACACCCAGATCTGCCAACAGTAAAACATCCACTTCATTCTCTGTACTTGAGCCACGATGCTGTGATGTCAGCTGTGTGAGACTTTATCTGAACACTAACAGTGAACCTGACATTTTACATCACTCAACCAGACTGCTCCGTCTCTCCTGGCATCCTGATTTACTCTTCATGCTCAGTGCATCTTCCTATTGATTGTAGCAGCTATTTAAAGTTATATGGCGTCTTTCAGCTGGAAACAATTTAATGCAGTGGCTGCTTTGCCCCAATGACAACTTAACGGCTGGCTTCACATGCACCGATACACAGATTCATCCTCTTATGTTTCATCACCTCTCTGTAGTGGATTCAAAGTAAAGTTGGGAGTTTTGTCCAGCTCGAACCACATTTATAGCCTCAAAGTCGGTCTGCTTTGCATTGCCTCTGCCTGCTCGGCACACGGGTGGCTCTCTAACTGAGGACAGGTTGTGTGGTCTCTTTTCACTCAGTGTCTGTCGTAACTGGCATGTATTCATCTGCTTTAAATCAGGGTACAAAAGTGCCCTCAAACTCAGACTCAGACAGACGAAAAAGTGTGCCTACTACTTCTGTGAAGATGGATGACACAATTCATACATCAACACGTTAATTGCGTGCATCTGACTTTCTCAGTTGGGGCACATCCTGCTATGCCTTTCAAAAACAATTAAAAGTGAAAATGAAGTTATTAAATAAAGCTGAATCATCTAATCAGGTCATCAACAAATCAAGTCAATTCATTAGCAGCATTCAAGATGATCAACTCAAAGTTTAATAGGTTTCCAAAGCAAAACAAAAACGCTTGTTTCTGCTGATTTTTTGTATTATTTCAAATGCGACACTCTTAATTCTGGACTGCCGCTCTACAGAAGCCATCAATGCACCAAAAATCTTTAAAGTTTGCTTATGATCATTTTTAACAATTAGCTAAATGGTTAAACAGGTCAATAATCTAAAATTTACAACTAATTGAATTATGGTTTTGTATGTAACCATTCATTTACTTGCAATAAAATCATGCTAAAATATGCCGCAATACAAACAACAGAAGGGTATTTTTGGTGCTTTTTGTGTGTGAAAAAAACACCAAAATAAAATCAATTTAACTCCAATAAGAATCAACATTAAATAGGACAAAGATTTAACGTGCAATGCATTTGTAAATGCTTAAGACCTAGAGGATCGATGTGGGAATACCGCAGAGTGAAAACCTATTTCTATAGATGATTGTTAGAAAACAGTCTAACAAGAGGAAATTACTGTTTCTAAAAGTCCTAAAGTGTGTAATTTCCTTTCAAAGTAAAGTCTCTGGTGTGTAAGTGGGGAAGGAAGTCCACTCCGTACTTTGCTCTGCGGGGTTTCCCTACACGTTAAACCATGTTTAGATCTGGTGACGGGGGGAAACCACACCAGGAATTTGATTTAATTCATGAAACCGCTGCACAACACTGAGCAGCTACAGTAGTCCTGTAAAATTGCCTCATATACTTTAGCCATTACACAACTGTGCAGAGTAATCGACAGCCCTAATGAGTCCCACGAGACAGCTGCCAATGCTGTTATAGACCCACCACCATGTTTTACAGTCTTCTGGCTTTTTTTCCCGCAGGTGAAGTTAGAGGAGAGCCAGAAAAAGTGAAAGAAGAGTTTTATATCATCTTGTTATTTCCAGTCTCTGCTACTTATACCTACATGTTTTCTAAAGGGCATTTGTATTCTCAGTGTTGAGTTTGAAAAGGAAAGCTGAGAATCGTTTTTTCATTTACGTGTCAGTCTGGATGTTTAATGAGTCTGAGCCCGTGGTTTAATTTTGTTTACAAGCAATACTTAAAGGGGGCATCCATGCTAGTCTTCTGTGCATTTAAAACCAGGGCTCAAACACATTAAAACAGAATAACCGTAACACTGTTTAAAAGAGGTTGAAATAGACTTATCACAAATTTAGACAATGTAAGTGGTCGGGGTGGGAATCACTAGTGGCTCCATGATAGGATATTATCATGATACTTGGGTTACGATATGATATTATTGCGATTTTTAACATTTTGCAATACAGTGAGTATTGTGATATGATCTATTGCGATTTACACAATTTTTTCAACTCTTTAGCTAATTTAGCATTTGGCTTTCCTTTATGTTTGTCTTATTTATGCTGTATTTTATTTTCATGTCGCACATCTTGCAAACCATATATATATTTTTTCGTTGTACTAACTGTCTCCGGCTCTGTGACGTCACCTCTGCTAATCTCACTGGACAAACAGTTGATTTTATTTTTCTATTATCATAGATTTAACTTCACATTAGCAATTAATTTGAAAAATTCATACTTGGTGAATGAGACGATACAATATATCACCAGACAAAATATCGCGATACTACGCTGTATCGATTTTTTTCTCCCACCCCTAATAAGTGGCTCTGCTGTAGTCTTGTTAGCGCCACCGCCACCAACCCCTGACAGATCCGACTCTTTAGGTGCTAAAAGTTGCACCAACTTTACCAGCCAACCGCTTACTTCATCTGCATGATATACGCCGGGTTTTTAAACCTTTTGCTCTGAAATCTGAAGCCTCTTGCTTCTGAAAATAATGCCATGAAAGCAGAGAAAGGTGTAGACAAAATTTAACATTAAGATGAAAACAGTACACAACAGTAGGAGCTACCTTTTTAAAGCGAAAGAAGTCGTTTGTGTTAAGTGTTAATGGAGAAATGATAAAAGAAAAGCACAGCTTCAAAAATCATTTAATTAAGTTTTCCCTTTTTTTGTTGTTTGTTTGGTTCTCCACTAAAAAGAAAAAAAATGCCCAGCTCTGTGTTTCTGTCGTTTTAGGATTTTCTTTCCTCTGCTACCTTGTGTTATTTTTAGCTTTCATGGTTTGTACAGCTGCACGTCAGACTTCTTTTGTTTACAGATAGTTTCATCATTTGGAAGAATTCAGAAACATCAAAGTTGACACAAAGTGATTGAAATTTGGAGGATTTTATATCAAAAACAGAGTGAAGGAGAAACTTTGGCAAAAAATATGGATTTTTACAGATGTGCTCCATGCGCTGGCTTTCATGTTTTAGTTGTTATAATCAGATCAAACTAAAGGAGATCCTGGAGGGACTGGCTTTGTCACAAACCCTAGTTATTTTCAGCTTTGTATTTTAATTTAATTTCTCCAAACATAATTCAAAATTAAGAATGGAAACATGTTTTACAGGCTTATTTAAAGTAATTGCATTTATTACAGGCAGATTATTCTGGATTACAGCTTTAATTAGAATTTTTATTTTGGAAAGATTCAGTTTTTTCTGCAAAGCTTTAAAAAATCAGCTAATATCTTGTCGCCATGTTATTTAGCTCTACCATTTGGCTGTATTGAGTTGGAAATGAGCCATGCACTTAATATGCAAACACGCGCTTTAGGCCTGGGAGTGTTTCGTGCTTGTTTTCAATTCAGAGTCGTTTTTTTCTCAGAATTGGTTTCTATTTATTTGTCCACCTACTCTGTCTGTTCCTCCAGAAACAAGACTCAGGCATCAATCTGCAGCATTTCCACTGGGAAATGGGACCGGTTGGACTTGTTTTTCGTGTTTCCTTGTACATAATTACTTTTTGTTCTCTTCCTGTCTTTACTGTGACAGTTTCGGGGGTTATTATTAAAGATCCACTCGTCCTGATTCAGCTTTAAACCACTTAATTATTGTTTTCAGAATGATGAATCTCCTCAGGGATTACTGCGTGTCTCAAATCTCTCTTCTTGTCCCCGATACATGAAAGGAAGATTTGTCACTGATGCAACCTAAGCTTTAACATGTCAGAAAGCACCAAAATACGACATAATTACACTATATCGCAGCTAAACAGCGAGATAAGTTTCTAGAAATTTCTGTCCAATCTTGGAATGCACATTTGGCCAGACTTCATGTCTTAAATGCCCCAAATTTGCTGTTTGACAGAAGACCGACTGTTCGCTTTGCCAAATGCAGAAATATTCGGCTGGAAAAACTTCCACATCTCTAGGTCGATGTTAAAATGAAACATCGGATAAAAGCGCAGCACAAAGGACAACACGACTGAATTTTAGCACGCCAAATTATACGCTTTACCAGTATTTCCATGAGTTTGTACTGCTCGCTCTATTGTGATGCAAACACGAGGGCCATATGAGCGCGGAGAGAGAATGAATTGGAACAATGATGAAAGTGCGTGGACAGCTGTCAGGGTGTACTTTGAGCAGGGGAGAAGTTTGTGTGTACTCTCAGGCAATCATTCTGTTTGCAGCTTATTTCACACTTTGTCATGCTGGGTCAGAGAAGCAGCTCCAACCTCCATTTTACTCACAAAAAGAAAACAGAGTTCACTCTTTGCTGTGTGGTTTCTCTCGACAAGAAACATTCAGAATAGTGTTTATGTTACCTTGGACCAAGGATACAAAAATACCAAGACCTCATGTAAAAAAGGAAAAAAAAAGAAGTGAAATTTGAGATTCTTTTGCTTTTGACAAAAGCAGTCACACAAAACCACATGAAGTGTGAATTCTCGCTGGTTTGTCGGCTCCAGCAAGGACTACAACAAAGACTATTCTGTTCAGTGTATTAATCATTAGAAATTTAATTAACAACACTTGACACAAGTTCCCAGTGACACTTTTTGGCACCTTTCGTGCTCAGATCGACTCAGATTTCTAATTTACAGTGACACATTTAAGAAAAGTTTGCAAAAAATGTACAAATTATTTAAAAAATGTTAAATATTTTACTTGGAAAAACAATCCTCTGTTCTCTTGTGTTTTTTCTTATTGATAAACTACTGAATAAATCGTTTTTACACCTGACAGCTTCTATCTGAGCACCCCTGTGTTCACAAAAGGACCTAACTTGAAACATTTGTCCCTCCAAAATAAAAGCAGCAAAGTCCTCTGTGTGTGTGCTCCCTGTAAAAACCAACAAATATAAGCAACAAACACACAGCCACCATAACATCCTCTGTGCTGCAAAAACAAAGACAAGCTTCTGTAGATTCAATTCTTTTCTCTGCTGCCAAGTTTTCTCTTGTAGCTGTGGCTTAGTCCAACACTATTGTAAAGGATGTATGCCTCTTTTATTTCATTTTCAGCCCCCTTCAGCCTCCGTTTTCTTTTCCCCCTCTCCTGCAGTACATCATTCCTTTGGGTGTTTGTGCCGTGTCCCATAGTTACAGGATAAGAGTCCCAGCAGCTCAGAGAGTTAAAAGCCTGCCCTGTCCCACTCATACTAACAAGACCATCAATAATTTACTCTCATCGGGAAGCATTATCTAACAGCCTTATAAAAATTTGAAGATTTTGGGTGACAACACGGAAGCATGAAAAAAGACCCCCCCCCCTCCCCACACACTTCCCGAAAGAGGACACTGGAGGTGGTTAAAAACATGTGAAAGGTGCAGCTGTCTGCACAGTCCTGTGAGGCTGATTTAACCATTACACTTGAAAGACAGGCGCCTGGCTCAGTTAAAGGAGAGTCAACGTGAAAGACACATCTCCCCTCGTCTCTACTGGCCTCATGTGCGTGACTGCGTGTGTATGTGTGTGTGTGTGTTAAAGAAAAGAGTGCAGCTCAGAGGTGGAAGCATTCGCTCGGCTGTATTAACGCCCAGGCTCATTCTCATTGACGGTGAAATCCCTCTAAGCCTGGATCAATTACATCCAGCTCTGCTGTAATTAAAATGTCCTAACAAAGGTCTTAGGAGCACAGTGAAGAAACCTGTCCATTGAAAAGAAGCCCCGTCCGAATGTCAGCACCATCTCTGAGAAAACAGTCCAAGATTAAACTCAGGCCTTCTCTGATTTTACACATGAAAAAAAAAAAAAAAAAAGAGTCCGTTGGTGCTGGAAATAAGTCTCTTTCTATCCCCTAATAAGGTCAAGATGTGATTCGAGATATAAAGGCTGACATGAAACACAATCACGCTGGCATTCTCATCAAAGCATACATACATAAATAAAAATATCATTACTCTATAGTAGAAAAGGGCCTGTGGAGGTTTTAAAACTAAGAAAACGACTCATTTCTTCTCTAAGATACATCAGATACTCTGCAGAGGAATGACACAACGCTTATGAGTCCTCTAATTAAAACTCAGCAGTGGAGTGATTAGCAATCACAACTTCACTCTTCAAATATCAAGATCTGATTTGCTTGGATGATCAACAACAAGCTTCCTTCTCTCCCTGCAGCCTCTCTCCCTGTTTTTAAGGAGGCTTTTCAAACGCTGGAAATCAGCACAAGAATGGGCGCAGCTGAGTTTTTGAGTCCTGTCTCACTTTTATCTCCTTTGCCAGGATGTCATTTACGTTGCAACACTTTCTTCTGTTTTTTTTTTTTTTTTTTTTTTTTAATGTTGACTGCCAGCGATCATAAAATGGATTACACGCCGCTGTTGATGAGCGCTGAAGTGTTTTTGGTTTTTACATGATAATTCATCACAGCAAAAACCCGACTATAAAACATCAGGAACATCACTTATGGCAGCCACCAAAATTAAACTTGAAAGCTGCTCCCTCGCCGCAGCCGAGGAGGACTCTTCCACACACACACAGGAGAGGGAGCAAGATGGCTGCCTGCACTGACACATAGTGAAAGCACGCTTTTGCCGTCCTGGGTAATAGATTCTGTTTGCTGTGTGACTCCCACTGTTTCTCATCTTACGTGACAACGCCTGCCAATCAAAAGCGCGGGGGAGCATTCAAAGGCTGTGACAATATCCTGTCAACCTTGAAAACACAACACATTAGGCATCAAGTAGCCACTGGACAGGGCGGGCTAAAGGTGATAGCATGCCTCTTTTTGAAAACGAGCACTTAAGTATTCTAATTGCACACAAAGACACAACAAATGGCAGCCGTGCAGGAGGAGGTGAGATGTGAGCGTTGGCAGGATAAGGAAAGGAAGGATTTGAAAATCAATTGAGAAAATTTGCTGTTAATCGTCGATTTAATTCAATTTGGCTCGAACAAGTGATTTATCGGGAAATAAACGTGTGTGTGATCGGAATTTCTGCCGTCTTTCACATGTGCAGACCCCGCAGATCACTCATTTGGGAAAATAAACCTTTGGCTCCGGTGTACACCTGTGATACTGTCTTCTGTTTCAAAGCTAAATGCGGAATAACAATGTTACACCACATCAGGCGAGTGATTTACATTTTTATGTGATTCCTGAATACCATGAAGGAGGGCAGAGAGAGAGTTTTCTGCAGCGAGGCATGGCCTCAACCTCCATTTTCTGGGATAATTATATGATACCATTTAGGAATTTGAGAAAGAGAGGAGCATTTCCTCAGTTGAAGATAGATGACCTGTCAGATGCACCTAATACCAAGACAAAGCCCTCAGCCTTTAATCTGCACACTTCCTGTGACCTATACTATGACAGAACCAAATAAAGCACACTATCTTTGTATCCCCCAGAGACGGAGCTGCGTCCTTGTATGCTAATGCTAGGAGAAGAAGAAGCTCCGAGGGCGGCCCAGACAACTCACAGGTCAGTGCTAATCTCCTGATATATGGTGCCTAAAGACCCGGGACACATCCATCACACACTGCCGACGGCTTCCCAACCGGGACAGATCTGAACACACTGAAGGGGTTAACACACACCCCCCAAAGAGACCTCTGATGATCCATCACTCAGGAAAGCAGCTTCTCTTCTTGAGCGGAGCGTCCTTTAACAACACCAAAGGGGGGAGCCTCCTTTTTCTTTTTTTTTTTTTTCTTAGCAATGAGTGTGAGCAGAGCCAGCGTGACTGCTCGAGCCTCTGTTGATCATTAAACATCCATTTTAAAGCAGTGGGGGAAAGTTAACTGTCATTTTAAACGCAGGAGGTGGTAGTAGGGGAGAAGATTTCTCTCCCTCAGATGTATTTTGTCAGTGACATGGAGCAAGAGACCATACATCCATCCACCGGGTTAACTACCCGAACGCATAATCATTCCTTCCAGTCATCTGTCTCTTTATTTTCAAAGGCAAGCCGCAGAGAAAAAAAAAAAAAAAAAAAGGAGCTACGATGGGCTTATGCAGCTGAACTCACCCTGAAGCACTTTGTTAAAGAAACAAAATGCCCTCCTCTGTTCTGTGTTTTTCTTCTCCATCCTCTGGTTTCAGCTACTCTGGACCATTTTGCAGTTTCTCCAACCCAGGAAGAAATCCATGTCAGACGGAGCCCTGATGCCAACGCTTGTACAGACAGCAGCCCCAACAGAGGAGAATGCATGTACCTCTCCTCCTCTTCAGCTGTTTTTTTAATAAACCCGACATCCAGGCTCAGCTCTGCTCACCGCAGCACGGATCCCACTTGAACGCTAACTTTCCTCGACTCGACAAACTTACTACACTCTGTACATCGCCCCTGCCCTCTCCTCCTACACATATGCAGTGCGGGGAGCTCTGTTCTCTGGAGGTTTTTTCCCTCAGAAGTCATTGTTGGAAAAACATAAGAAATCTCTAGCAGGAGAAGAGGAAGATGAAGAAGAAGGCTGAAGCCAAGTACAACCCGTGAAGAAGAAGAAGAAGAAGATCAATCGGCAGAGACGGTGCTGAACATCATAAATTGATTATATGTAACTGATGTAAAGGGTATTCCTCTTCCAGTTCAATCCAAACTGTCTCATCTACCGTTATCCGTCCCTCCCTCCTCCCTCTCTCTCTCTTTCTATCTGTCCATTTGTTTGTTCAACATTTCACAGTGCGTGTGTGAGAGGAATTGAACAAGACAGCTGTCAAACCCTGAGTGCCTTGAGTGAAGATGGCAGGTGAAGTCTTCTCTTTCCTGCTAACAGCATTCATAACACCCACTTTTCAGATTCTTGATGGTATTTAATCAGGATAAGAGATGGAGAAGAGGAAGGGAGGAACTTTTCTTCTTTTCCTGGAGGCTGAAGGGAAGTTGGCTAATATTATTACCTAGGAGGCAGGATGACCGTGGAAGGGTCAAACTGTCTCAAATGCAGCATTTTTTTTCCAACTAGCATTCTGCACACAAAAAAACAGCACCTTTCTTTTTTCTCTCTCTCTCTGTCTAATCTAAATGAGTCTCTTTTTCCTTCTATTAAAGTCACCTAAAACTGCAGAAAACTTTACGCCATGTATCACAAGACGAGCGAAGGAGAAAAAAAAAGCGTGGAGAGATCCATCAAAATAAACAGCGTCTTGCCGCATTCTTCATCCGACAAACAACAGCTGCACAGAATGGGAAATAAATATTATCACTGCAACAGAAAAAACAATCAGACACCGTGAGGTAGTCGAGAGTCTCTCGCAAAGCTCCAACACTGTTCCTTTTTGCATCCTCGCCCAACATTTATTTAACACAAGAGAACTTGGAGTGCATTTTGGAGCATTTTAAGTGTAGACAGCTGTGGACAAAATACAAGTCAAAAATGTGTAAACTCATTTTCATCAAGTTGAAAGTGCCTTTTTTTTCCTTCTTTTTTTTAAAAATACTTCAGATGATGATTGAGAAATACAGCAAGGGGGGGGATTAACCACAGAGATTTCTCCTGACATGACCACGTCCTTAAAAGTCATCCAAAATTTCTACTTAATATGCAGCTTTTGGTGTGAGATGATGGCCAACAAATTCTCAAACAGATCCACACTAAATCTGTCTCCAACACTAACACTTGCTCCTCTCAAACCCACAAAAACCCAACTGCAATGTCCAGCAATTTCTGCAGAAACCTTCTCCACCTCCAGCAGCGACAGCAACGCTCCATCAGAACAAAACTGCTCAGAGAGGAAGGGGGCTGGTAGCTCAAGTTCTCCCTATTGAAATGCAGACACTTTGATATGGAAATTGGCAGTTACAAAAACCCGCTAGAATTCACACTAGCATTGCATTGAAGCCATTTGTGCAATGTGAGATGAGATGGCACTTCCTTCCCCGAGACAACATAGACAAATGGACCCAACCGGCAAGTCTGGGGCGGGTGAGGGAGTGAGAGAGAGAGAAAGAGAGATAGGGGAGGAGGACGGGGGTGAAGGTAGATAGAGGGAGAGGGTTAGGGGGAAAAGGAGGGTGAGAGGGATTGAACATTTGTTCCCCCTTACATCTTTGTGAATCCTCTCAATCTGCCGCTTTAAGCTTTGTTTGAGAAAATCTTCAAACCTGCGCCAGAATCTGAAAGTGCAACATGTAAAATAAAAACACATCCAAGTCCTCATTTCTGGCCTCCTATTGATTTAAATGACCTCTTCATCTATAAGGAATCAACTGACGGCCATGTCAGTAACGCACAATCACATCCAACATTATCCCGGCCTGGGAGACTTTCTTTTTCTTCTATGTCTAGTCCTCCAAAATGGCTGCAAAACTTCTCTGCCGCTGATTTGTGTGGGCATATCAATCCCTCACACTGTGCATATGGATTATATAATTTTGCGTCTGTCTTTGTTCAGAATCACTGTCAAGAACAATGCTCTTTGGTGTGCTTTTATTCTGTAAAACAGCTGTATTTGGGAAAGTCATCATCTATACTACCCTGCATGAAAGCTGTTATATAAGTATATGCCTGAGTAGCTCTCTGTTCCCCAACTTGTCAGTATATGGCTTATATAATGTTGCAGCACTATCCTGATTTGGCATTGACAGTATGGATTGAATGTTATTTAAGTTTCAGTCCGTCACAGACCGGCTCTCCTGAGGCTTCTCTCTGAAGTCTATGCGGCCCTATCCCTCTAAAAGCTTCACGTGAGAATCAGATATGGCTCCCCCAGCCTGTAAAAACTCTCTGTCTATGTGTGTGTACACAAACGTGTGAGTGTGTGTGTGTCCCATCATCACACATGGCTGCTTCAGGTCTGTAAATTATACATGCTCTGTGAAATGATCTTATTTTATAGCCGCAAAATGGAGAAGTAAATGGAGACAGTAGCTGACATCTAACTACTTAGCTCCTGGTGTCCTGGACTGGGTGGAGATGTTTGTGTGAGGACTGTTTTTTCACACCATCCTCATACAGACTGCTATCCTTCAGTATCTTATAAATCTGCTCTTGTTTGAATATCAGAGGTTATTTAGAAACCAGGACTTTCTCTACTTCAAGTGTGTCCTAAATAGGGAATAAACTCAACCCACCTGGAATCCCTTTTAATAAAACCATAGTCACAGATTTCATCATTATAAAGAAGTCTAGTTTTAGGCATTTAATTTAATTTAAACTAAACACACGCTAAGACCAATTGTATGTAAGAGACCTGATCAAATTTTCAACCTGAGGACTCAAGGTGCTCCAAAAGTATCTCTGTTTTATGAATTGATCTCTCATTGGTACAGTTTTAACTGCTCAAGGAGCCCGTGGGCCCGTTTTCTGACATTTGCCTTTTCACATCCAGAGAGTGTAAATAAATGGTATCGATCCAGCAGAGCATAACCCAGCATCTCCCTGGAAAGACTCAAAACATCCGCTTTTTAAGGGGGCTACTTACAGTGGTACGCTGTGCCAAAATATGGATCCCGGCATGGAGTGTGAATTTCAGATCAACACCCGAAGCCCCCTCCTCTCCGTTTTTCAGAAGAGGCCCCCAGAAACTAAGCAGCGGGTCGCACAAAGACGGCTGGGGCACGACTGCATGCTCCACTTTCCTCACAGCAGGCGGATGGTGTCGGTGGTGGTGGTAGTGGTGGTGGTGGTGGTGGGGTTTCCCGTAGCAGGTATGTGATCTTCTCCCAGCCAGCGCGTCCAGGACCGGACCGATAGCTCCATGTCGAGGGGCTCTATTCAAAAGTAATGATCGCTGCTGCTCCCCCTCCTCCTCCTCCTCCTCCAGCTCATGAGCGTGCACCCAGGCTCCTTCCGACGGTTACACCGCATAAAAAAGGGAGCACTTCAAGGAGAGACGAGATGCGCCCCAGTCTCGCTACCAAATCAAACTCCGGGCACGTCTTTTCTCTGTGCCAAGTCTGCACGCAGGTCTCCAGCGACCCGGTCCACAGGTACAGCCCGAAGAGGAAGAGGCAGGACTTCTTTAGGTCTGGGTTTTAGGAGTGCTCCCCGGGTTCTTCCCTCTGCGTCTCCTCCACACGCCGTGCAGTCAGTCGGAGCTACAGCCGGACTGGAGGCAAACAAGGCGAGAAGAAACGGCGCACCGGTCCCCGCTCTGCAGCAGCTGGCTGTGGAGGGAGGGGCGCAAAATCTGGAGCGGATTCCCTCTCAGCAAGCGGACCGGATCCTCGTGCTAATTATGACAGCCCATGTTACAGCTAATATAAAAGCCTCATCACTCATTTTTCATAGCACACACGAGTTCAGCTGTGTTTTCTGGAAGCTTCTGTACGGTGGCCGAGAACCGCCACAGCTGCAAATTAAAAAAGAATGCAAAAAAAAAGAAGTCAGAGGAAGTTACCGATGCAAAAAAAGGAAATGAATCTCGCTCCATTAAAAAAAAAGAAAAAGTGCAGATTAAAAAAAAACACTACAAAAGTTAACGGTACAAAAAATGGAGTGATGCAAAAAAAAATTAAAAGTAAATTACTGCGAAAATAAAAGAATGGAGAAAAAAAAGCCACAATGGGAGTTACCGATGCAAAAAAAAAAAATGAAACTGAAGCCTACTGCAATTAAAAATAGAAACAGTGCAGATAAAAAAATAAAAAAATAAAAAATACGCCACAATAGAAGCTAACAGCACAAAAAAAAGTGGCGATGCAAAAAAAAAAAAAAGTTAATTACTGCGAAAATAAAAGGATGCAAATAAAAAAAGCCACAAGGAAAGTGAGCTGCTGGGAACCCATAATGATAATGCACCGGTGTTTTACGAACTAGACGCAGAAGACAACGGCGAGAAGACTAGCAAAAAAGTTTGTGGAAAGGTTATTATTAAATTTAAGTAGATATAAAGTTGAAGTGGAGGATGCCAGTGTAGCTTTAGCGTCAGTATAACTTCCCCGGCAGCTCACTTCCGTTGTGGCATTTTTAAAATTTGCATCCTTTTATTTTTGCAGTAAATACATTTTTTTTTATCACCACTTTTTTTTTTTTTTGCTTTTTTTTTTATTAACAGCAGTGGCGGTTCTTGGCCGCCGTACTTCTGCTCTGAAAATATATCCAGGTTGTGCAGGTTTTAATCAGGTTCCCCTGCTGATTAATCAGGAGAGAAGTGTAAAAAGTACAAGGCCATTCATTACCAAAAACTTGTAACCGAATGCGGCTTATATAAATAGCACACTAATTTCTATCCTACTGGAATTTCACTATTGTTGGCAGCAGCAAGTGTGCACCTGGATAATTACATTTCATGATAAAAAGAAACAAAAATTAATGAGCCTGACATAAAGCTTGTTTTAATTGGGTGGGTCTGGGGACTTTACAAATAAAGTTGTGAAAGCAGAATGTATCAAGGTTAGGCTATAATATTATCACCTTTTAACACTGGCATTTGACTCAGGTAATAAAGATGTTCTCTGTCTATCAAACTCAGAGCACTGAAGAGATAAAAAAAACATCATTTTAGCTATATGTAAACATCAAATCACTGTAAATTCAACTGTAAATGTCAGACTAACTTCTTATCGCCTAGTGAAAGAGCAGACAGATACTGCTGTAAATACAGGAAAGCTGTAAGGATGATTCAGCTTATGTATTAGTCTATTGATAACAAATTTATCAGCAACTGTTTAGATTCTCTATAAATCCCTTAAGCCATTTATCAAGTAAAAGAAACGCCTGTTTCAGCCTCCCACTCCTGAAGATTACAGTAGCTTATTTTCTCTTTCCTTTATTGAAAATGAAAACAGGTTTGGATTTGGGGGCTAGTCAGATAAAAAAAGAAAAAAAACTTGACTTTAAGATATTTTAATATTTTTAAATTTAAGGATCAAGCAGTCACTCAATCTGTATATATATATATTAATCGTTAAAAACAATCAAGAAGATTTAACCCACAACCTTACCCTCACACACACACAAACATATGTCTATCACTACACAGTGTCAGGCTAGAAACAGATGCTGCTTTACGTTGAGTGCAAACATTCAGTCAACGTGTTCAGCAGCAAGAGACAGCAACATCCATTGCCTCCATTTGAATTTTATTCTTGTCGACACGGAAAAGCATCTAAAGAAGGATTCAGAACATAAAATGTTTTAGCGCTCCACTGAAATCTGAGGGATATGTCTGAACACTTTAAACATAATTGATAATCCCCAACACAAATGTCTAATGTATGAAGAAAATCCCTCTTCATGCATCCGTTTATGAAGAGGAGATATTACAACCAGTTCTGTTTTTTACCTTTTTTGCACCATTTAGGTAAACTGCCTGACTCATGTACACGCTGCTGATAACTACATCCTCAGTCTGTATGTTTTTATGACACCTTGATTCACATGTGAGAGTGTGAATGATCATATTAGATGTTTTTAATTTTGTCATTCCCTAAAATACTGATCATACTGACGTTGCACTTTCAAATGAGTATTCTCAATCCATTGATTTCCATTAACTTCACTGCAGTATAAAAATCCATTTGCAAACTCTTAAACTTTTTCGAGTTGTGAACCATCATAGTCAGCAAGTCTGTGCAGATTTTTTGGCACTTTATACAATTTTTAGACTTTCATGGAGAACTTTGAAATTTTGCTGTCAAAGCAAATCACAACAAAACAACAGTATAGATTAAAATGCATCTTGATGTGGACTGTGATGCGTAAGAAAGATCAAAGATGAGAAAAGACAATAATGTTTTTTTTCGCAATATTTTTATATTACTTTCTTGTTTTGTTTTTCTTTTATTCTCTGAATCAAAAGATTGCTGCTATATCACAAACACAAACACTTCTTTTAACAGCATAAAGTTCGGATGAAGATAGCACCGTGTGGTTATGACAAGGGATAAAAATACTAATTAAAGTCTCCTATTTTGACTGCAGGTACAATATTTAAGAGATCACTGTAAGGTAAGGTAGACTTTATTGATCCCGCATGGGGGAAACTATTTCACCACCAGGACAAGAAGACAGTATGAAGACATCAGAAAAACACAGACTCAACACCAGATACACGACAAATGAAGTAAAGGTCAATGAAACATGATTTAAAAGTGGGACAATAACAGATAAGGACATGATTAAATACAACAGGAGTCTAAAAAAATTGATAAATACTAAAAGAAATACCTCTACAAACTATGCAGCAGTGCCAAGTCACGCTCTTATTTTATGTATTTGTTTATTAATTGCAGGAAATAACATAAAAATGCATGTTTTAACCATCATTTCCACACATGCTTTCTATTAACTGAAGAATTGTCAGAGATACAAACAGAAATTTCATTGGATTAACCCCGCTGTCATTTGAAGGTGCGTCACTTTCCCCACATTGGTAGCAAAGCAGACAGAGCAAATTGTTGCCTGATTTTACAGCCATGATCATACAACTGACGGGAACTGACTTGGCATCCCCAAAACATGAAACTATAACTGAGTTGACTGGAAATAATTCCACTTCGTCGTTGAAATTACACTTCAAAGCAGAGAGCCCATTAGGATTTTACTGTGAGCTGCAAAACATTAGCATGAAATTGCCATTTGTGAACAAATATGATGTAATCTTAATGACAAACTGGACAACCACATATTTGTGCGCAGCAGATCCACAATTATTTTGTCATGATTAGTTCACTTCTTTGGATATGCCAGCTGCAGGCGACGTACTTTTTCTGTTTAACCAAAAAAGAGCAAGAAGAAAGAAGAAATAAATGTGTTTCATAATGTTCTTGAGGCTGAAGCTATCATTAGAATCATTACGTCCATGATGAGCCACAACAGCACAGCAAACTAATAGTTCCAGAGATCCTTACCACCAGCTGTGTCCTCGCTGCAAGGAGAGGTGTCTCTGCACAGCCACCTTTTTGTTCACGGGCGACGTGCCATTTTTAATATGCTGTCTGAGCTCTGTCATTTTTTCTCGAAATATCATGTGAAGTTTCTGTTGTCATTTCTCCACAATCGATGTACTGAAAGGAAAATGATCTGCCCAGCTGGAGACAGGTTTATGGTAACATTTTCCTCTGGTTTCCAAAGTTCAGCCCCATGCGGCTCTCTTTTGAACGTGATATTAGACCGTTAGTGGGAGCTTTCAATCTTCCCCAACACCTCACCTATTTTTAGATGCTAACTTTTCAGCATGGTAATAAAAAAAGAGCTACCTCTGTGGTGCAAAGGATATATTTGCTCAAGAAAACTCGGACTTAAAACAAACACTCGATGGCCAACTATAGAACTCTTAATGTCCTAAATATCACTTCACTTCTCTTCCTCTCATGAGTCAAAGTACACAGCCGGGTCAGTGGTCTCTGTTACACGTGGCTTCAATAAAAAACAGTCCCCCTGGCCGCACAAGGGAAATGTGAATTGGGTCAATTTCACCAGGTGGAAAGTGAGAGGATTAGTGCAGAGCTTGCATGTTTTCCGAGGCATACTTTTACATAATAAAGAAAAGCCGAGTAAAAAGAAAGCAGATGTAATGATGCCGATCCACTGGCACACATTCTTATTTAGAGAAACAATGTTTATGTATGGCCCTCTACTGAAAGTGTAAACTCTCGATTTCATTTGACCGGACCCAGGAGGGACGTGTTTTATTCATTGTGGTCAATGCAGTATATATGTAAATAACCACGGCCAGCCCTTGTCTGTGTTTTTCCTTCTTGCTGTCTTTTTCTTTTTCTAACACGATGAAGTTGTCAGAAAACGCTTTGGTTCGCTCTTTCGCCTCGACCTGTCATTCTCGCATGCATTTAAAGTGCAATCAAACCCCAGAGTAATACCACCAAAGAAAGAAAGAAAGAAAGAAGAGCGGGAGTCGGCTTTGCTGCTGAGTCATCTGTAGAGTGTAAATACATTAAACTGCAAGAGAGCAGACTTGATCAGAAGAAATGACTGTGCGGTAAATTATAGGTCTTTATGAACCTCCTGTTAAAGCTCTTGTAAAATTATACCAGTGCTCCTACTTCCTGTATACTCCCTCAGTTTATGATTTAACTTCTACAGAGACCACAGCCCTGAGTAACTCAATTTGTGTTAATTAACACTGGGGAGAGTAAATACCTCCCATATGCACACATGATGTTGGCAGCTTGCTTTTTGAACTGCCACTGATTTGGTCTGCATCATATGGACCTGCTTACCTTGCTCAGCTACATATTTACAATCACTTCCGTTCTGTTGTGTCAATATATTTCCTGATTGGGTCTTATTCCCCGCTGGTTAATTTATTACCACACTTAATTCACTGCAGTGGTGAATTTCCCCCGTTGCTTCGAGCTCTTAAGAAGAAATCTGCAGAAATTCAAGAGAAAGCAGCTCAAAGTCTGAAACTTCAGATGTTAGGCTGGATTAAAAGAGCGATGGTTAAATTTTTTGGGT